GGCCATCACTTCCCTGTCCTCCCGAAAATAGATATACACTCTTCAAAAAAAGAAACGCACAGGTAGTATGTTCTGATGAGCACAGGAAGATTTGCCGGACTATGTACAAGGATTAACAAAAAAAAAGATTTTAAAATGTTGTGTTATGTCGTAATGAAATAAGCATATAGACAGCAGAGATGCGCCTGAAGCTCACGAGGAGAAGATGAGGATGTATTGTCAGCACCTGAACACATTTTGGTTCAGATTAAAGTCGCTTTAGACGAGCGGCGTCAAACCCAATTCACGCACTCACTCACTATATATTGGCGGCGTTAAACCCAACTCAATCACTCACTCACTCTCTATACATTGGCGGTGTTAAACCCAACTCACTCACTCACTCACTCTCTATACATTGGCGGTGTTAAACCCAACTCACTCACTCACTCACTCTCTATACATTGGCGGCGTTACACCCAACTCACTCACTCACTCACTCACTCTCTATACATTGGCGGTGTTAAACCCAACTCACTCACTCACTCACTCTCTATACATTGGCGGCGTTAAACCCAACTCACTCACTCACTCACTACACATTGGCGGAGTTTCAAATGATCATTTTCAATACCGCGCGTGTTCCCCATTGGCTTCGTTTGACGTCATACGGTACTAAATGCCTCTATGAAGTGACGTCTGTCTGCAAGAGGGTTAGCGTGGGTTCGAATCTAACGACCAAGGTGGTCCCGGAGTTCAGAGTGAGCTGACCAAGTGAGTGAGTGAGTATGGCTTAACGCCGCTTTTAGCAATATTCCAGCAATATTACGGCGGGGATACCAGAAATGGGCTTCACACATTGTAGAGCGAACACTTTATCCACTAGGCTACCCGACCGCCCCGGAGCTGACCGAGGTAAAACGTTATTACTGTGCAGAAAATAACGTATGATGAGTGATGTGTGTGATCTTGCGTTGTCATGGTGAAACAAGATCCTTGGGATCTGTTGTAGGATGTAACCTCCCGGCCCAAATCGTTACGACACACGTACTCTAATATCTGCTCTAAAGAACTGGAACTGCTTTTAGAAATCATGATTCTCTGCCGGTTCCACTTCTGCCATCGTTTTACAGTGCGCCCACCTGTCTTTGACGTTGTTGTTAACGGGTCAAGGAATGTCTTTGCGCTCGAGAACCATGATGACGCAGTCGGCTGAACACAGTGGAGCGGGTCACAATATGTCTCTGGGCAGTTTATGCTGATGAAGTTACACCTAAGAAGCGATGGCCTCAAATGAAGAACGACCGAGAATTATCAATAACGATGTGGTTTCCCTGCGCCTGGCCACATTTGCGTGAATGAGTGAGTTTGGCTTCACGCCGCTTTTAGCAATATTCCAGCAATATTCCAGCAATATCATGGCTGGGGACACCAGAATTGGGCTTCACACATTGTACCCATGTCGGGAATCGAGAAATAGAAGAAGAAGAAGAAGGAGATATTTTATTAAAGTGTCACACACATATAAATGTTTCTGGCCAGATTTGGCCTATGAGACACTACAATTCAATAAATGTCTGTTAAAATATAGTTTATAGATATTGTTTTAAGATATATAAAGGTAACAATGACAAATATATATCATGTATGATGAAAGGGTGTGAAATTGTTAATAAATAAGTTAGTAATGTACATAATTATATATCAGCAAGTGTTGACCTTCATCGGTCGAACATTTGCGACACCATGGCAGCTAGGGATGTGATGTTATTGTCATAATTCAGCAGGTAGATAACCTTTTGTAATGAAGATTTTCCCCAAAACGAAATATAACGTTTGTGACTCACCAACTATGGCCGTAAGATATTTAATTCGGAGATGTATTAAAAATACTTCATACACGTGTATTTGTTTTTGCTGGTGGACTGTTTCATGTTATCAATCAGTAAACTACAAAAGAAAACTGCATCCCTATCTTACATACATAATGTGTTGCAAGACGAGCATATTTCTTTGACGCTTCCTTAACTTACAAGCAGTAGAGTGCCTGCACTTGTACACAACAGATGTAATTCAAAATTGCATGTCGTTTTTAGAATCAAACTCAAACTCTTTTTAACATCATCCTGAATGGGTCTGTTCCCAATTAGTGCATTATAGTGAGTGAGTATGGTTTTACGCCGCTTTCAGCAGTATTCCAGCAACATCACGGCGGGGGACACCAGAAATGGGCTTCACACATTGTACCCATGTCGGGAATCGAACCCGGGTCTTCGGCGTGATGTCTTCGCTTTAACCACAAGGCTACCCGACCGCCCCTAGTGCATTATAAACTATTATTGATTTTGTTGAGTGTGATATGGCACTCCGCTGAGCTGGCACAGGTCATCTACACGGCGAAGGAACTAAAAACACGGGCCAATACTTTCTGTCATGGATACCACTTTATAGCTGTCCTTTTGGAGACAAAAGAAGATGGACCTCAAAACTGTCAGGTAAATCTAAATCAAGGGCTTGAGCGTCTTTCAATGATTTTATGCACGCTTCAGCATTTTATGAACGTGTTCACTTACTCGGAAAACGTGAGCCCTGGCAGACAGTGTGGAGCAGTAGCAATTGTCTTCAAGAAATAGACATTACTCATACCGCAGCCGCACACAGACTACCTTCATTGAAGAGTGTAAAGGCTTCTCTCGGCAAATACTTCAGTGAAAGCGTCCCTGTTCAGTATTAGAATAATGAGAAGTGTTGATAATATAATGATAACCGGTGCCAACACTATCCCGACAATAATAGTGTCACTGACAACAGCTGACACAATGGTGAATCAGTATCTTGTAGCACACGTCAGTGAGGGGCCATTATAGACGCGTACTTACTTTACTTGCTGAAATCTCGACTACCGCCCTAATGGGTCCCCTCGCACCTACGGCACTTGTCACGACACTCGGGCAGTTTGGGGTACCTTACGGACATCGCCGACCACCACAGTAACAAGACAGTTGATGCCTGATGTGTGTCATCGTGCCCCTGACTACAATGGGTGACCTGTCTGATGTGTCTCATCGTGACCCTGACTACAATGTGTGACCTGTCTGATATGTGTCATCGTGCCCCTGACTACATTGTGTGACCTGTCTGATATGTGTCATCGTGGCCCTGACTACATTGTGTGACCTGTCTGATATGTGTCATCGTGCCCCTGACTACAATGGGCGACCTGTCTGATATGTGTCATCGTGGCCCTGACTACAATGGGTGACCTGTCTGATGTTTGTCATCGTGCCCCTGACTACAATGTGTGACCTGTCTGATGTGTGTCATCGTGCCCCTGACTACAATGTGTGACCTGTCTGATTTGTGTCATCGTGACTCTGACTACAATGTGTGACCTGTCTGATGTGTGTCACCGTGACTCTGACTACAATGTGTGACCTGTCTGATGTGTGTCATCGTGACCCTGACTACAATGTGTGACCTGTCTGATATGTGTCATCGTGGCTCTGACTACAATGGGTGACCTGTCTGATATGTGTCATCGTCCCCTGACTACAATGGGTGACCTGTCTGATATGTCTCATCGTGCCCCTGACGACAATGGTAGACCTGTCTGATATGTCTCATCGTGCCCCTGGCGACAATGGTAGACCTTTCTGATATGTGTCATCGTGCCCCTGACTACAATGGGCGACCTGTCTGATGTGTGTCATCGTGACCCTGACTACAATGGGCGACCTGTCTGATATGTGTCATCGTGACCCTGACTACAATGGGCGACCTGTCTGATATGTGTCATCGTGCCCCTGACTACAATGGGCGACCTGTCTGATATGTGTCATCGTGCCCCTGACTACAATGGGCGACCTGTCTGATATGTGTCATCGTGACCCTGACTACAATGGGCGACCTGTCTGATGTGTGTCATCGTGCCCCTGACTACAATGGGCGACCTGTCTGATATGTGTCATCGTGTCCCTGACTACAATGGGCGACCTGTCTGATGTATGTCATCGTGACCCTGACTACAATGGGCGACCTGTCTGATGTGTGTCATCGTGCCCCTGACTACAATGGGCGACCTGTCTGATATGTGTCATCGTGCCCCTGACTACAATGGGCGACCTGTCTGATGTATGTCATCGTGACCCTGACTACAATGTGTTATCGTGACTCTGACTACAATGGTTGACCTGTCTGATGTGTGTAATCGTGACTCTGACTACAATGGGTGACCTGTCTGATGTTAGTCATCGTGCCCCTGACTACAATGTGTGACCTGTCTGATGTGTGTTATCGTGACCCTGACTACACTGTGTGACCTGTCTGATGTGTGTCATCGTGCCCCTGACTACAATGGGTGACCTGCCTGATGTGTGTCACCGTCTATGGCGCCGCGCTTCGCTGTGCAGAGTTGCGGCCCTTGGGCACGCCAGAAACCTATGATTGTGGGTTCGAATCCCGGTTCGCCCCAGTTATGTTTCTAGGTTTGTCAGCACCATACGCGTGCTCGTTGGTTTCACCGAAGTGGTAAACATCTGAGACCTGCATCACTTCGAGCTTTCCTCCCACATTAAGCTGACACGCAGCGATATAACTGGAATAATGTTAAAAGCGGCGTTAAACCCAACTCACTCACTCACTCACTCCTTGCCTTCACACTCGATAATGTATCGGCCAAAGTGACACGGGATTATTGCTCACTGCAGCGTTCGACAGCATCTACTTGCTTGGGGCCTGTACATGGTGTCATGCCTTTGTTTCGTTCAGATAATGATAAATGGTTAATGAACTTTGTCGCATTTTCTTTTAAAACAATGTCTTGTCAACATGTAGTAATAAAAACAGTTTGTCATGCTTGTTCATACAGGGTGCAGTTTGCTTACAGAGCATTCACAGCAGTATATCATACGTATATCATCTGTATAGCATGCAGAGGCCACCATGTCAGTGTTGCCAGATACTGGTGTTAGTGCAAATACTCGTCCGTCACATGCAACACATTCACCTAGTCTTATCAGACAAAACGTTCAACATGGCGGACCAGGTTCGGGGATTCGATGCCTGGGACTATGTAGTATTTGGCGCCATGCTATTTATAAGTGCAGCAATTGGTGTGTATTATGCCTTGGTTGGAAGTAAACAGAAAAGTACGAAGGAATTTCTACTGGCGAGTAGTGGCATGGGAGTACTCCCTGTGGCTTTGTCCATCCTTCTCTCCTTCATGTCAGCCATCTTGGTTCTCGGAAACCCAGCGGAGATGTACACAGAAGGAACCCAGTTTTACACTAGAGTGATAGGGAGTCTCGGATGCGCAATCGCGTCCGTTATTTTTGTCCCTCTCTTCTACTCACTGCATACAACAAGCGTTTTTCAGGTAGGTAACACGTCTTAAAAAATACTTGTTTGTAGGATTATATTCTTCAGATTGAGTAAACATTTATAATATTCAGCGTCACCCATGGTTAATCACTATTTATAGACCTCGCCATTTAAAGAGAATCACGAAATATCGCGATGATTAATTGAATAATAAAGCTGCACGTTTGCTAATATTTATATAGCGAAAACAAACCATTCCGCCGATGAGGAACATTACTTGTAAAGAGCGTCGATCGATGCTCATGATATCAACCACTGGATTGTTTGGTCCAGACTCGATTATTCAGACCGCCGCCATATAGCTGGCATATTGTTGAATGTGGCGTTAAACAGGAAACAAACAAGCATTAAATAATACATCTGCACATATTTTTCTTTCAGTTCGTGCTGTTAATGTACGTACGCTGCACGCGCTGCTAAATATATCTGCTCGCGGGCATCTGACTGTCAATTCTTCCCCGGATTGCAACCACGTGATCAAAACTCAATGATGATGTTCATCGCTAAGAAAATGGACAGTTCTTGAAAAGGGCACTTTGAATTTTCTTTCATTGCTGTAAGCAATATTCCAAATCGACGGAAGGGCTTGTTTTTATTTTAAAAGTATCACGAAAGAAGTTGGTAGCAGTACTCTGGTTACCACTCCTGGTTTCTGATTGGTCGATTCTGTGATGACGTCACTTCCGGTTTCGGTTTGGTCACGTGACCAGCGCAGGGCATTGTGGGTCATGCGTGCGCCTCCAAGATGGCGGCACGTCCGTTTCCGGGAGGGTCATCTCCCCATCCAAGATGTAGACTCGGCGCCTCCAAAAGGGTGAGAGGAGAGAGGGCGGGAGGGAGGAGGAGGAGGTGGTTTTCTTGTTTTGGTTTGAGGGTAGTCAACGCAAAGGATGAAAAACATTCTTTCGGGAGAGATGGGTGGCCCTGAAAAGTAGATTACTTCTTCTTCCACCTGTCCCCTGACTGACTGGTGTGGCGTTGGCATGTGGAGATGATAGATCACTGAGACGACCTTTTAATACACAGTCGACGACCCAGCAACTTTGTTGCTAGGTTGACGTCATATCGGCGAAGGATCTTGCAACAACATTCCACAAACATGTCATCGGGTATGATGATGTGATTGTAAACTTTGAGGTGCAAGGTCTCGTTCCACAAGGCGATCGTATTGTAGCGCAATGACAGTCGTTCGTCTAAGTTTCAGTAGGCGAGTGGTGATCACCTTAGCGCTACGATAATGGTGTGGAACGGACGCCTGAATTCTAAAGGTGAATCGACATGCACAGACATAGACGTGGTGTAGGAATGCAAGAAGCGGTCAGATGTCGATCTTGTTTTGTTTTTGTTTTTCTCTGGGTTGTGCATGGCGATTTCCATCCTACAGACAACATAACACTTATGTTTGTTCTACTTCTCCAAAACGGCCCTTTTCAGGGCCACCTATCTCTCCCAAAAGAATGCTTTTCATCCTTTGCGTTGACTACCCTCAAACCAAAACAAAGAACCCACCTCCTCCTCCTCCCTCCTCCTCCCTCCCGCCTTCTCGCCTTCCCGCCCTCTCTCCTCCCACCCTCTTGGAGGCGCCGAGCCGCCATCTTTGATTGGGAGATGACCCTCCCGGAAATGGACGTGTCGCCATCTTGAATGCGCGCGCAGCACCGGAACCGGAAGTGCCGCCATCTTGGAGGCGCACGCATGAACCACAATGCCCTGTGCAGGTCACGTGGCCTGATGACATCATCAGTGGTCACGTGACCAAACCGAAACCGGAAGTGACGTCATCACAGAATCGACCAATCAGAAGCAAGGAGTGGTAACCAGAATACTGCTGCCAACTACTCACGAAGCTTTGCTCCAGTGTCCAGGATGTCATTGAACAAGAATAAAGTAATAATGAAAACGTGGTAATAGGTTCACAGGTTAATTACTATCAGCTAGTCGTAAGTATAGACCACAATCAAAAGGATCTAAATTCCAATTTACTCTGACAAAGATCACTGATTAATTAAAACACAACTATACAAGCTGATTAACTAAGCAACTGTATAACAGTAATAAAAAGAGGGTAGCTGAAACAACACTTAGACAAGTTATGACAAGTTGCATAGACAGCCAATTAAGTCGACTGCGACCAGTTAACACCTGGGAGATAAATAACTCAACACTCTAAGGAGTGAATAACCTCGGCTGGGTTAATGTGGGAGAAGTAAACGCAGAGGGCCTATCCTTAAAAAAAGTCTTTTGGACAATAAAATAGCCGGAACACGCCTGAATAACCAACTAATGACTAAAGACTCATAGATTTAGCAAGGCAATTCTAAGCTTGACCTAAGGACTATCCAGGCTCACAATCATTAAGACAGGTACTTGACCAAAAAAGTAACTTCACTCCCAATCGTAGATAGGTCCTTCATCTAAACCAGGCAATCAGGGGGAAATCGTTTATCCACGGATTACTATAAAAACGAAGTTAGAAAAACCCATGCAATTAAGTTTATATCAATACAACCAGAGTAAGTCAGCAAGAGATAAACACTGCCTAGTAATAACTTACAAACGAAACCTGAGTTTCGATTGACCACCCAGTAGCAAGACGACCCATTACGGTCAAGCGATCTCTGACAGTAAAGACACATGATTTCGCCAAGGGTTGTATGAGTGTGCGCGGACCTCGGAGAAGACAACCTGTCCCGGTCAGCCTGGGGAATGCTAAACTAAAGTTCTGTCGGAAATGCTAGAAAACTGCTTTTTGCCTTTAAAAAAGGATAGAATTTTTTGCAGACAGTTATTGAAATATCGAGTAGCTACCGATCGCCCTACCTGTGGTTTGAAGTATTTCAGTCACAAGGAGTCATATCGACAAGTTTACAGGAGACAAATTCGAACGAAAACAGGAAGTTAACATTTATTCTAAGTCCATTGATGGCAGTCTGAAACGGACTATAGAAATATGCGCACGTGACTCCGTAATAATAATAATAATGTAGTCTTCATAAAATATCTAATCCACACACAAAAATCATTTTGAGAAAATTCTAGATGTGCATCTTCTAAAATGACAAAATGACACTGCGTTTGTTTCGTTAACATTGCTCCCATGATGCATGTTACATTACACTTGCATAGCCATAACCATGGTACACGATATGGAGTCTGTATTGGGAAATCTATACAGGTTCTTTACACTTTAGAGAGATAGAGGGAAAACATTTATTAATTTAGATAATTTAAATTACCGAACTGCCCAAGCTATGGGGTTTTCAATTCATACCATCAAGCCTACGGCGTAATAAATAAAACAAAACAGGTATAGGGGTGGTCTCAAAAACAAAACTGGGACGTAAAAGGATATTAGACAGCTTTAATACAGGGTGATTAGGCGTATAGTATACAAGCTTTATGAGCAGAAGGTAACCTGACTTGTAGTAGAATTTGGAAGGAATTAAAGATACAATTAATGTTAACTGCACTAACTATTGCCCTCCAGGAGATGGGATTACGACGATGACCGAGCAATTTTCAGGAGGTGATGTGTTCATAGACTGGTTGGAACTTCAGCTATTGGCCATTTTAAACAACGTCAGTGTCATTGTCATAGATGAGGCGAGTTAATATTACGTCCGGGAATCAGATACTCTCGCCCAAACCATGAGTAGTCTGAAGGTGACCATACAGGAATATATGACATTGGTCGACTTCAGACCATATGAGACGAAAGTTCAACTCTTTGAGAAAATTCGGCTGAATACAAACCCTGTAAAGTACAGGACATATGTGCTGGCGGCACAACACGGTCACGATGTCTTACGTACGCCAGTCAGACATTGTGAGCTCAACCCTGTTGTGCCCATCATTGGCTAAGTGTACAGGTTTCGTGGCAAGACATAACACAACATTCAAAAGTACAGATTCATATACGTCATCAGCGGAGATAAATGCTACCTCAAGAAATCATCTGTAGAACAACAAATACTTTTAGATTCCAAAACCGAGACCTTCCAATACTCATCCCGTTTCATAGCTCTTAACTAGTCCATCATGTTTCCAAGCAAATATAATGCAGTGCATATCCTTAATTGCTACCCCATCAACGCATGTCAATTAAGTACAATACCAGCAATATTTTAAGATCACCCCCAACTCGGTGACATTTGCACCTGTGAGAATGCACGGGACGATGTGAGGTCATCACCTCGGGACAGGTGTTAGGTAATTATATCAGGGTATAGGCCATTTCATACATGCATGACAACACACGAATATTTTCTAAGTTGATCATCATTTTACCTGTAAAAGTACATTTAAAGGGTAATCACAATGTCAGTTAGGACAGGCTAGATTAAGGCAATTAGCGTTATTTTGATATATGCTCTTTTTATAGTGCTATGACTCGTATTTATTAATGAAGCAAGAAAAGCAGTTTTCTAGCATTTCCGACAGTACATTTAATTGTGCTGTCTAACATAGGGAAACCAACTACAAAACCAATACGGGAAATGAAGACAACAAAATAAAGCGCTGAACACAAGCTATCCAACGGTAACACTAACAATTTGCAAACAGGACAATGATTGAGGTGGCAAAATTGACCATAAATACAAGAGAAATATCTTCAATTATTAGATGATCCCGCTACTGCGCGAAAATATAAACCCATATATGGTAGATCGCTGTGCAGAGTAGATAGCAGTGTTCTAGTGTTCCAATTCGCCGCGTTTCGCTGTGCAGAGTTGCGCCTTTTGTCAGGATTCGCTGATCGCGAGTTTAAATTCCGACTGATGATGATCCCTTCTCTGCTCTTGCTATTCTCGTGGGCGTCACACATTAAGAGCAGACATACCGCAGAAGTAGAAGACACGCCCGCAGCAAACACATGTGAAGCGGACAAAGATACTATCAGCAGGCACACATGTTGAACTCACTGACGCCTGTAGGAGACATACAGAAACATGCAACAGTTGGTTTGTTGGTTTGTTGTTTAACGCCGCACTCAGCAATATTCCAGTTATATGACGCCAGTCTGTAAATAATCCAGTCTGGACCAGACAATCCAGTGATTGACATCATGAGCATCGATCCACGCACTTGGGATCGATGACATGCATCAACCAAGTCAGCGAGCCTGACCACCGGATCCCTTTTACGACAAACATAGTCGCCTTTTACGGCAAGCATGGGTTGCTGAAGACCTATTCTACCCCGGATCTTCACGGGTCGCATGTAACAGACACCTATGCTGCACACTGACGTCTGTAGCAGACATACACACGCATGTTACAGACATATATACCCTGCCCAAAGACATATGTAGCAGACATACACACGCGTGTTACAGACATATATACCCTGCCCAAAGACATATGTAGCAGACATACACACGCATGTTACAGACATATATACCCTGCCCAAAGACATATGTAGCAGACATACACACGCATGTAACAGACATATATACCCTGCCCAAAGACATATGTAGCAGACATACACACGCATGTAACAGACATATATACCCTGCCCAAAGACATATGTAGCAGACATACACACGCATGTAACAGACATATATACCCTGCCCAAAGACATATGTAGCAGACATACACACGCATGTAACAGACATATATACCCTGCCCAAAGTCATATGTAGCAGACATACACACGCATGTAACAGACATATATACCCTGCCCAAAGACATATGTAGCAGACATACACACGCATGTAACAGACATATATACCCTGCCCAAAGACATATTTAGCAGACATACACACGCATGTAACAGACATATATACCCTGCCCAAAGACATATTTAGCAGACATACACACGCATGTAACAGACATATATACCCTGCCCAAAGACATATTTAGCAGACATACACACGCATGTAACAGACATATATACCCTGCCCAAAGACATATTTAGCAGACATACACACGCATGTAACAGACATATATACCCTGCCCAAAGACATATGTAGCAGACATACACACGCGTGTAAAAGACATATATACCCTGCCCAAAGACATATGTAGCAGACATACACACGCGTGTAAAAGACATATATCATGCACAAAGGCACATTTTTTGTTTTGTTTTGTTTGTTGTTTAACGCCGCACTCAGCAATATTCAAGCTACATGAGGGTGGTCTGTAAATAATCGAGTCTGGACCAGACAATTCAGTGATTAACATCATGAGCATCGATCCACATAATTGGGATTCGATGACATGCATCAAATAAGTTAATCGCCTATTACGACAAGCATAGTCGCTTTTTACGACAAGCATGGGTTGCTGAAGATTTTTTCTAAATCGGATCTTCACGGGCCACACATGTTATCAACTTATTGCAGACACACCTGTAGCAGTAGCAGACTAACATGTAGCAGACACACTGTACCAGTGACAGACACATCCGTAATGGATACACTTGCATAATTAGCAGAGACGCTTGTTGCACTAACCGACACGCGAAGACCAACATGGAGTCTACCTTATCATAATATGCCTTGTTGTGTTTCAGTATCTGGAGAAGCGGTTCGACTCCCGTGCCGCCAAACTGACAGGGACATGTATCATGATAATTCAGCAGGTGAGTGAGTGAGTGAGTGAGTGAGTGAGTGAGTGAAACAGGGAGGGGGACGATCGATGTCATGTCTGTTTTGATTTTTACCGTGATTGCAATGTAAACCTGCCTTTGCAAAGACACAGTGGGTATTTAAATCAACAACTCTGTGTGATCCCTCATCACCTTCTTGTGACATCCTCAATAAGACTCTTTCCCTTCCAGGTGTTGTACATGGGAGTTGCATCGTTTGCTCCATCAACGGCTTTAGAAGCGGGTGTGTATATTTATTTGCTTTAAGTTTCACAAAACGTTTATCTGAAAACGTCCCTTTTCTGTTTGGGAAAATCTTTAGTGTTTCTCGAATTTCAATACGAAACCCAGTACGAAGGGTAAGGACATATGATGACTGTGTGAAATGATTGTTTGTATTTCAGTGACTGGGTTTCCGACATGGGCCACCATCATCACTGTAGGACTGGTGTCAACGTTCTACACCTCACTGGTGGGTACAGCGCACTCTGCAATAGTTGGAGTGAATACGGTATTTAACATAACACGGAGTAAGATCTTCAGTTATTAAAGGCGGATTATAAGACATATGCGCCACATTTCCGTGAGTTGCGTCCCTTGGATATGTCTGGATCCGTTGATCTCGGGGACGAATCATAGACTCGCCTTGGTATTTTTCAGTTTTGCTTGCATCTTTACTGCACTCACTGGCTTCACACCGTGAACTAACTGCAGCACTGGATTAATACGATACGATATCTCTGTTGATATATATTGTCTTGTATCCTATTTACATTTAATTCGTTAATAACGTTTTGATATATTCCCTGTATCCGCTACAGTGTGTACAACTGCATATATACCCCAACGTCCTGGCAACAGACTTTGTAATTCAAACTCATTATAGTAAAGCTACGCCGTGTATATTAACATTGACATGCGGAGGGCAGCTGGTAGTAAGCAAATGGATACAAACAAGCGTTCCTCTCCTCAAACCGTTTATTTGAAATTGTGGAAAGTAAAAAACGTAGGGATAAGATACATTCGTTGAATCATTATTCCCCGGGCAATACGTTTTGATATGCCATCTGTGTTGCCTATCTGTTGGAGGGGCACCAACACATAAGCCTACAACTAATATCAATTGTCTCAAATCTTTGTGGATGTTTTTTGTGATATTTCACGTCTATATCATTTTAGGGTGGAATGAAAGCAGTTGTGTGGACAGACGCATTTCAGTCAGTGGTGATGTTTACCGGACTACTAGCAATAGTCATTCAGGTATGATCGTGGATAATTATGTCAGAATGCATACATGTATATACCCAGTACAGCTACTGCAGCAGCCATACAACAACTATTCAAGCAAATGTAATTAGTGAATACGTCTCCACACATTACAATAGACTATTTTAAAATTCCTTGTAATATTGGTAGACAGTGATATTGGTGAACGTTTTAATAAATGGTACATCAAGTTTAATGTAAAAATAATGGGTGTATAGACTGACCTTAAAATAATGTTCAATTCCATGATTTCAGGGATCCATCGTGGTTGGCGGCATGGGAGAAGTTTGGAGAATTAACGAAGAATGGGGACGAATTAATTTCTTTAAGTCTGTATCACATTCTGCTGAAGAGATGTTCCATTAGTCTGACCCGATGTGTTTTGCATTTCTACTCGAATAAAGAATATACTTCAAATGACCCTCTATGAAATAATCTTTCAGCTGCTGTCTATGAAACAATATTGTAGGTTCATTCATCAAACATTCATTCTTACTGTTAAAGGAGAACATTACATAAATACACTTTCTGTCAGTCGCTGGCTAAGATTAATTTGTAACATGTTCCGCTACTAATATTGTTCCAAAGGGATGTTCTGAAAGTTTCAATCACTCTGACATGGATGTGTGTGCTTCACGTTTCAGCTTTGATCCAGATCCCACTGTCCGCCATTCCTTCTGGTCACTGGTCATTGGTGGGATGATATCTTGGACATCGACGTACGGGGTCAACCAGGCCAGTGTCCAGCGCTACTGTGCACTGCCAACACTGCAGAAGGCCAAACTGTAAGATGCAATGTGACACAGCTGATATCTGAATGATACCACGGGGGTGTGTGTATGGCTAGGATGTATGCATGTTTATATCCAGGCTACACTGACAATATTACCCGCACACACTTTGAAACTTTTATGCAAACTTATTTAACGACGGCTTCCGGAAGATTTCGAATTCGTATATAAAACAACAAACAACATATAGTTGTCCAGTTGTCCATAACCTGAACCATAACAATCAGCGCTAATTACTGTAGAGTGTTGGCTTCCATGGTCTTTTGCTAATCACCTATCAGCGCCAATTATATGTTGGCTTCCATGGTCTTTTGCTAATCATCTATCAGCGCCAATCATCTGTTGGCTTCCATGGTCTTTTGCTAATCACCTATCAGCGCCAATCATCTGTTGGCTTCCATGGTCTTTTGCTAATCACCTATCAGCACCAATTATCTGTTGGCTTCCATGGTCTTTTGCTAAACCTATCAGCGCCAATTATCTGTTGGCTTCCATGGTCTTTTGCTAATCACCTATCAGCGCCAATTATCTGTTGGCTTCCATGGTCTTTTGCTAATCACCTATCAGCGCCAATTATCTCTTGTCCTCCCTTGTTAGTTTCCCCATTTGTTATCTTATTTCCTTTGTTAATTGTCCTTACATGTACATATATATATATGCTCTGTGCCTCATAACATTTATTCACCTGATGTTTCCTCAGAATAAAGAAGTGGACAACCATAAATTCCCTTTTCTGAGAAAGCCATGGCATGACCCACAGCCCTGATATACATGTATTCAGTTTGTGCTGCCATTTCTAACACGTTTGGTTATTTAATATGTTGTCCGTTGTTGTATTATTTTTGACCTTGTATTGCAGGTCGGTGATGCTGAATGTAATTGGTATCTTCATTCTGTTCACCATCGTGAGTCTAGCCGGAATCATTGTCTTCGCCTATTACGCTAAAAAAGGATGTGACCCACTGTCTGCAAAATACGTCAGTAACTCGAACCAAGTAAGAACTGATAGAATGGGTATCATTTATTGAGGGGGCACGGGGGGCCCAATCTTTTAAGGCGCCGCCATTCGCTGTGCAGAGTTGCGTCCCTTGGGCACGCCAGAAACCTATGATTGTTGGTTCGAATCCCGGTTCGCCCCGAAGACACAATGTTATACTGTCTCGGTAATGTGCTTGTGCCCTACACAAGACAATCAAGAAAGAACTGAAGTTGCCAGTGCGACAGAAATCTCTTCTCATTTTGGATGTTTTTGCAGCCCATCGATGTCAAGATTTCCTGGATCTGTTACGCAAACGCCACTTCGTTTGTTTATTGTTTCCTTATTTTGATGGTACAAAATTAATGCGCATAAAATTAATACGACCTTCCGTCACTAATTTTTTGCATTTATATTCTGCTCGCATTAATTTCCTGTTTTACAGTATCTGGCTCAAAAGAAAGTAGCAGTCATAAAGATGTTAGCAACGTATCGTGGACTGAGGGTAGCCTCCTCCAGGCAGTGTTCAATTATCTGTTTGGGAATTGTTTGTCACTTCTTTTTTTCCAGCTGATACCCTACTTCGTGATGGAGGTGCTCGGATATCCCGGTCTCCCAGGATTGTTCATCTCATGTCTCTTTAGTGGAGCACTCAGGTAGGAAGTCTTCAGTATAGTGGAACACATACGTAGGAACTGTTCAGTATAGCGGATCACTCAGGTAGGAAGTGTTTTGTTTAGTGCAGCACTCAGGTAGGAACTGATCAGTACAGTGGATCACTTTGGTAGGAACAGATCAGTATAGTGGATCACTCAGGTAGGAAGTGTTTGGTTTAGTGCAGCACTCAGGTAGGAACTGATCAGTACAGTGGATCACTTTGGTAGGAACAGATCAGTATAGTGGATCACTCAGGTAGGAAGTGTTTGGTTTAGTGCAGCACTCAGGTAGGAACTGTTCAATTTAATAGAACAGTTATATATAAACCGATCCCTCTAGACGAGGGGGTGCACATTTCATGTTACTGAAGCAAAGAGGTTGAACCTTTTCTCTTTTGTGGATCTTATATATGCACTGATCCCATATGGGAACAACCCCGTCCACGCTTTTGCCAAACCTCTCTGATGTGGAATTATTTCGAGTTGTCAAGTTCATCAGTGTTTATAGCTTGGTGTCTTCTCTTATAGTCTTACCCACTCACATCACCATCTTTTGATAAGCAATCTTGTAACTTCTTGCAGCACGATGTCCTCCTGTCTGAACGCCCTGGCTGCTGTGTGCTGGGAGGACTTCCTGAAGCCAGTCCTCGGGGAAAGACTGAGCGAGGGACAGAAAACACTCGTCACAAAATTGTTGGGTTAGCTTGTCTAAGTTATTCATTTTCATTACAATAGAGGTACGAGTTCTTCAGATCAATATCAAAGTATTGAAGAGCATAAAAGAAAACACCCCCTGCCCAATACTCGGCTAATACTCGTATATCATTTTCTTGGAATGGAAAGCGTTTATCAGATCCATATCCACATGTGTAGAACATGAAGAGAACACCATTCATTTCAGTGGAAAGGAATGTAGATCTCGTGTTTTCAATGGAGAGCAAGGTCACCTGTAGAATTAGCTGCGTTAAATTAGTGAAGCCCTACATTGAACTTGACAACAAAACTATATAATAATTTCACTTTGCAGTTCTGTTTTTCGGTGGCGCTGGTATTGGCATGTCTTTTATAGCAATGAACTTAGGAGGAACAGTTTTACAGGTGAGATGTAGCGTTTTATTGAACAACGTTACCGGATCTAAATGGGTTCAATATCAACGGGAAACGGGTAAACATATTAAGTAGGCAAAGAGATGTTACAATTCGTTCACAAAACTGTATTTTCAAACATAGCTTAAGCTATGACTTTTCAAAACATACATTGATAAAATGTTCAGATGATATCTTTGTTATATACCCTTACAGAAAGTAGGGAACCATGAAATATATTATGTTAATACCAAGTATTGAAACAAAGATAAGTGTTGATGACACACATCCCATGCAAGGACGTTTATTTCTGAAAAACACCAAAACAGATCCTACAGTTTGCGGGAGCTTCAGTCTGTTTTGACACTTTCAAGGCAGGTCGATTGATCTCTGTGCACAACTATTTCTGTCAATCTTACTGATTCTGCTTCCCATTCAGATGTTCTTCATTTCATTCGTTGTTTGTGTATGAACTAGCGATGCGGCGTCATATTGCCAACAGACGTCAACGGCGTACACGAGGTCGAAACTGGGGGAGTCGTCGCTTGTCATGTGTCATCTTTTCAGATGAGTCCCGATACACCCTGCACTTCCTTGATAGGCGTGGTCGCGTCTGGCAACGTCGACATGAACGTCAAGCCAATGTACACCAGAGACCTGACAATTTGGCGGAGGATGGTTATGGTATGGGATGGCATCACTGTGACTGAGCGAACCCCACTCCATATTGTGCAAGGAAGGGTCACTGGACAGGACTATGGGGACATACTGACCGTTTACAAGGCATGGGTCGACGTTTTGTCTTTGAGGACGACAACGTGCTCACCATCCACGAATGGCCGAAGGTGACCTCTAGCACCACAACACCAATAGGATGTCATTGCCCGTCATGAGCCCAGAACGTGTGCGTCGACGTTGTAGGTCACGGACCATGTAAGCTGAATTTGGCAAGTATCTGCCAGAGGAGTGGGACAGACTCTTTGAAATCTACATTCGGAGACGTCATGCGCATTATACCTCGTCAAGTGAATTGATAAAATCGTGGCGGTATCACGCAACGTCAACAAACGTCAAATGTCCATTCTTACCCCCTATCGTCCTTCAAGATCGTTGATGGTCATAAAGATCCACAGTCACACTGCACTACTGGTTATGATGTGTTCCCAACTCCTTGAATATTATCATGTTACTAGAAACTAGTCTATCTTTCAGTTTCGGTACTTTTAAGTTATTTCTTTTTTTAGATATAAATGTTACCTTTAAGGCATCATTGAGCTTCTCTGGGGCTGCCTCGGGGCCTCTGCTGGGGATGTTTGCTCTCGGCGCCTTCTTCCCGTGGGCCAACTGGATTGTAAGTTGACACACAGATATAGCGGACACCTTTAGCTTCGCCATTTATCGATAATATATGTGTTTCACTTCACGTCAGTAATTAATGTGTCAAAATGCAGGTGTGTTGCAGGTGTTATTTCTACTCATTTACAAAGAATCCGTCCTCTTTTTTCAGTGCATTGGCGATCAATAATTTGAAAATAAGTTTCCAATATCAAAGTGTTTTCTCACTTCATGGTCACATATATAGCTAAATATAATATTTTTATTTTACCTATTTGTATCTGCTATTTTTAAAACAATCAGTGTGAAGAAGGGCCGGTTTCGATAGTTCGATTGTGTGAACATTTCTGGATGGAATGTTTCTATATGCAGCGTGAGCCTGAATCAGATCATATGTCTTGTAGGGAGCAGTGGTCGGCGGTATTCTGGGGTTGGCGTTTCCCTTGTGGATCAGCATAGGAGCCTACACGGTTGTGGGAGCTCCACCTGGCCTTGACTACCCAACATACAACTGCAGCGTCCCCAACATCACCGACTCCATGACAACAACAATGTCCACCATCATGACAACAGCTGGAGGGACTGTCGAGTAGTGAGTGGGCTAGCGTGTACACGTGTAGTGGTGTTAATGTCAGTGAGTGGGGTAGCGTGTACACGTGTAGTGGTGTTAATGTCAGTGAGTGGGTTAGCGTGTACACGTGTAGTGGTGTTAATGTCAGCACACCTATGTCCGAAGTACAATAATAATAATTTAAGACATTCCATGTTGTTAGGAAGATCAGACTTACGTTAATCGTTTACCACTTCTGTTCCTGAGCCACTCACAGTAAGTGAGTGAGTTTGGTTTAAAGCATATTTGATGTGGGAGGAAAACACGAAGTATGTAAGTCTTAATGTTTTAAAACTGAGCAGACACATGATACCGTATGGTACTGACAAAGATTCGAACCCATTTCTATAGTTTTTTGGTGGTAACTAATTAACCTTTACGGTATACTGTCAGTGAGGAGTATCTACTGTTTTCTTATTGTGATTAACATTATTCGTATTTCCACATGGATTTTGTTTCCAAATAAGGAAGCATTACAACAGCATGAAAACATCTGATCGCTGCCATATGTGTGCGTAAATACATATTGGTGAGATGGCCTTTGGGTCTGACAGAAGATGTTTGGATATGCGATGACCTCGCTTTCCCCGTAGTTTCTCTGTATATCAGTAGTGTTACTTTTAAACGCCCTTTGGTTCTGTATGCCTCTCACTTAAGTAGGTGTCGCTTCAAGTCCGGTCTTATTAGTGGTACACGTAGTCATTATTTTGTTTTGTTTCAGTGGCATCTCCACCCTGTACACAATGTCCTCTCTACCTCATCTCTACTCTATCATGTTTCAGTACTGGTATCTCCGCCCTGTACACAGTGTCCTCTCTACCTCATCCTTACTCTATCATGTTTCAGTACTGGTATCTCCGCTCTGTACACAGTGTCCTCTCTACCTCATCTCTACTCTATCATGTTTCAGTACTGGTATCTCCGCCCTGTACACAGTGTCCTCTCTACCTCATCCTTACTCTATCATGTTTCAGTACTGGTATCTCCGCTCTGTACACAGTGTCCTCTCTACCTCATCTCTACTCTATCATGTTTCAGTACTGGTATCTCCGCCCTGTACACAGTGTCCTCTCTACCTCATCCTTACTCTATCATGTTTCAGTACTGGTATCTCCGCTCTGTACACAGTGTCCTCTCTACCTCATCTCTACTCTATCATGTTTCAGTACTGGTATCTCCGCCCTGTACACAGTGTCCTCTCTACCTCATCCTTACTCTATCATGTTTCAGTACTGGTATCTCCGCTCTGTACACAGTGTCCTCTCTACCTCATCTCTACTCTATCATGTTTCAGTACTGGTATCTCCGCCCTGTACACAGTGTCCTCTCTACCTCATCCTTACTCTATCATGTTTCAGTACTGGTATCTCCGCTCTGTACACAGTGTCCTCTCTACCTCATCTCTACTCTATCATGTTTCAGTACTGGTATCTCCGCCCTGTACACAGTGTCCTCTCTACCTCATCTCTACTCTATCATGTTTCAGTACTGGTATCTCCGCTCTGTACACAGTGTCCTCTCTACCTCATCTCTACTCTATCATGTTTCAGTACTGGTATCTCCGCTCTGTACACAGTGTCCTCTCTACCTTATCTCTACTCTGTCATGTTTCAGTACTGGTATCTCCGCTCTGTACACAGTGTCATATTTGTGGTACCCGGCTATTGGAGCAGCGACATCAATCGTCGTTGGTCTCATTGTAAGCGCTATAACAGGTCAGTTTCCATATTTGTATTTGCAGGTAACTCATTCCTGGGTTCAGGTGTTCGATCTATCTATAAATGGTTCTAAACCTCGAGTGAAGTCATTATAGTGTTTCATGGGTGTTTCCTCTCAGAGATTTACCTCTCAGCAGGGACATTCTTCTATTCCAGGTATATTCTATTGAAAGTTACAAGTATATTTTATTGAAAGCTCCTTGTCCCAAGTGCATCCTGTTAAACGCCCCCTTGTCCGAGGTATGTTCAATTGAAAGCTCCTTGTCCCAAGTGCATCCTGTTGAAAGCCCCCTTGTCCGAGGTATGTTCAATTGAAAGCTCCTTGTCCCAAGTGCATCCTGTTGAAAGCCCCCTTGTCCGGGGTATGTTCAACTGAAAGCTCCTTGTCCCAAGTACATCCTGTTGAAAGCCCCCTTGTCCGAGGTATATTCAACTGAAAGCTCCTTGTCCCAAGTACATGCTGTTGAAAGCCCCCTTGTCCGAGGTATATTCAACTGAAAGCTCCTTGTCCCAAGTACATCCTGTTGAAAGCCCCCTTGTCCGAGGTATGTTCAATTGAAGCTTCTTGTCCCAAGTGCATCCTGTTGAAAGCCCCCTTGTCAGAGGTATGTTCTATTGAAAGCTCCTTGTCCCAAGTGCATCCTGTTGAAAGCCCCCCTTGGTCCGAGGTATGTTCTGTTGAAAAATACAACCCTTGTCCCAGGTATATACTATTGAAAGCCCTTATGCCGCAGGTATTATCTAGATACAAATGCTGACTTAAGGAAATGCTGTAACATAAAACAATAGTTCCCGCAATTTGGAGTCTACTGAGAAAGACCCGTGAAAATCCGGGGTAGAATAGATCTTCGGCTAACCATGTATCCCATAAAAGGCGAATATGTCGTAAGAGGCGACTAACGGGACCGGGTGCTCAGGCTCGCTGATTTGGTTTATGCATGTCATCGTATCCAAATTAAGTGGATCGATGCTCATGATGTCAATCCCTGGATTGTCTGGTTTAGACTTGATTATTTACAGACCGCCGTCATATAGCTGGAATATTGCTGAGTGCCGCGTTAAACAACAAATAACCTAAACTAGCCTACTTAGAAAACCACTTGGCAACAGGAGCGTTGATGCCCCTCATTACTATTAATAATCATTTTTTGCAATAACATGTACGCCCGCAAGAGAAAGATTACAAAGGTTCAATGAAGTGCGTTGGTAACACACCATTGTTGCTAAAACTTTCAGATTTGTCTTTCAGTTCAGGAAATGGGTAAAAGCCTCCTCCTCGGTCTTGACTGAAACTGTAAGCCTGGGAAATCGGGAAATTGGGTCAGGCCTTAGGGACTACATTCTCAGTCAAGAACTCAGAGTTTTTTTTGTCGTTCACTTAGCAACCATTTGGATTGTCATTTGGATAGGCCCGGAAAGAGGAAGGTCGTTGGTTCGATCGCCTGGCCGCGTCATATAACAAGACTTTTAACTTACACTTACACTTACATCTAAGCGTAAACTAACACTTACACTTACACTTTCTTGCTTGCTAGGGCCTAGCCTTAGATTTACACCAACATTTACATGTCACGTTAAGCTGGCACTTCCGACTACGCCTACACCTAAGCTTTTAAATTCACTTACCCTTAGGTTTACACTTTCACTTACGCTTTGTATCTACTTTCACTTACGCTTTGTATCTACTTTCGTCGACTTCTCCGAGATCCATTCACTCACTCACTCACTCACTCACTCACTGTACTTACAGGTAGGAATCGACTGGGTGATGTGGACACAAAGTATGTTGTACCTTTCTTCGACCAACTCGTTCACACCATACCGTGGATATGATATCTATTCCCATTGTACTCGCAGGTGTGAATCGACTGGGTGATGTGGACGCAAAGTATCTGGTACCATTCTTCGACCGACTCTTCTGCTGCCTCCCTGCTCCCATCAGCAGGTGTCTCCGCTGTAACCAGGAGTTCAGAGACCCGGAGGTAGGTGTCTCCGCTGTAACCAGGAGTTCAGAGACCCGGAGGAAGGTGTCTCCCCTGTAACCAGGGGGTTAGAGACCCGGAGGTAGGTGTCTCCGCTGTAACCAGGAGTTCAGAGACCCGGAGATAGGTGTCTCCGCTGTAACCAAGAGTTCATAGACGCGGATGTAGGTGTCTCCGCTGTAACCAGGAGTTCATAGACCCGGAGGTAGGTGTCTCCACTGTAACCAGGAGTTCATAGACCCGGAGGTAGGTGTCTCCACTGTAACCAGGAGTTCAGAGACCCAGAGGTAGGTGTCTCTGCTGTAACCAGGAGTTCAGAGACCCGGAGGTAGGTGTCTCCGCTGTAAACAGGAGTTCAGAGACCCGGAGGTAGGTGTCTCCCCTGTAACCAGGGGGTCAGAGACCAGGAGGTAGGTGTCTCTGCTGTAACCAGGAGTTCAGAGACCCGGAGGTAGGTGTCTCCGCTGTAACCAGGAGTTCAGAGACCCGGAGGTAGGTGTCTCCGCTGTAACCAGGAGTTCAGAGACCCGGAGGTAGGTGTCTCCGCTGTAACCAGGAGTTCATAGACCCGGAGGTAGGTGTCTCCACTGTAACCAGGAGTTCAGAGACCCAGAGGTAGGTGTCTCTGCTGTAACCAGGAGTTCAGAGACCCAGAGGTAGGTGTCTCCACTGTAACCAGGAGTTCAGAGACCAGAAGGTAGGTGTCTCCACTGTAACCAGGAGTTCAGATACCCGGAGGCAGGTGTCTCCGCTGTAACCAGGAGTTCAGAGGCCCGGAGGTAGGTGTCTCCGCTGTAACCAGGAGTTCAGAGACCCGGAGGTAGGTGTCTCCGCTGTAACCAGGAGTTCAGAGACCCGGAGGTAGGTGTCTCCGCTGTAACCAGGAGTTCAGAGACCCGGAGGTAGGTGTCTCCACTGTAACCAGGAGTTCAGAGACCCAGAGGTAGGTGTCTCCGCTGTAACCAGGAGTTCAGAGACCCGGAGGTAGGTGTCTCCACTGTAACCAGGAGTTCAGAGACCCGGAGGTAGGTGTCTCCGCTGTAACCAGGAGTTCAGAGACCCGGAGGTAGGTGTCTCCGCTGTAACCAGGAGTTCAGAGGCCCGGAGGTAGGTGTCTCCGCTGTAACCAGGAGTTCAGAGACCCAGAGGTAGGTGTCTCCACTGTAACCAGGAGTTCAGAGACCCGGAGGTAGGTGTCTCCGCTGTAACCAGGAGTTCAGAGACCCGGAGGTAGGTGTCTCCGCTGTAACCAGGAGTTCAGAGACCCAGAGGTAGGTGTCTCCGCTGTAACCAGGAGTTCAGAGACCCAGAGGTAGGTGTCTCCGCTGTAACCAGGAGTTCAGAGACCTGGAGGTAGGTGTCTCCGCTGTAACCAGGAGTTCAGAGACCTGGAGGTAGGTGTCTCCGCTGTAACCAGGAGTTCAGAGACCCAGAGGTAGGTGTCTCCACTGTAACCAGGAGTTCAGAGACTCGGAGATAGGTTTCAGCCTGTCGGTCTCAGTAAAATAATCAAAATCCTAGCTCTATGACTGACATATCGGGTTCAGGTTTGGACAAGGCTGCTTTGTAAAACAGAAGTAACTTCACTTGGGCTAAGGTTGACTGCTGCTGAGGTTGCTTTGTGAAACGGGTGTACCTCAGTTTCTGGCTTAAGTTGAATGGTGCTGAGGTTTTGTTGTGAAACGGGGGGTACCTCAACTTGTGGCTATTGTTGACTGGTGCTGAGTTTGCTTTGTGAAACGGGTGTACCTCAATTTGTGACAAGGTTAACTGTGCTGAGACTGATAAGTTTGCTTTGTTAAACGGGTGTACCTCAATTTGTGACAAGGTTAACCGTGCTGAGACTGCTGAGTTGGGTTTGTGAACCGGGTGTACCTCAATTTGTGACAAGGTTAACTGTGCTGAGACTGATAAGTTTGCTTTGTGAAACGGGTGAACCTCAATTTGTGACAAGGTTAACTGTGCTGAGACTGATAAGGTTGCTTTGTGAAACGGGTGAACCTCAATTTGTGACAAGGTTAACTGTGCTGAGGCTGATAAGTTTGCTTTGTGAAACGGGTGTACCTTAATTTGTGACAAGGTAAACTGTACTGAGACTGATAAGTTTGCTTTGTGAAACGGGTGTACCTCAATTTGTGACAAGGTTAACTGTGCTGAGGCTGATAAGTTTGCTTTGTGAAACGGGTGTACCTCAATTTGTGACAAGGTTAACTGAACTGAGACTGCTGAGTTTGCTTTGTGAACCGGGTGTACCTCAATTTGTGACAAGGTTAACTGTACTGAGACTGCTATGTTTGCTTTGTGAAACGGTCGTACCTCAATTTGTGACAAGGTTTACTGTGCTGAGACTGCTATGTTTGCTTTGTAAAACGGGGTACCTCAATTTGTGGCTATTGTTGACTGGTGCTGAGTTTGCTTTGTGAAACGGGTGTACCTCAATTTGTGACAAGGTTAACTGTACTGAGACTGCTGAGTTTGCTTTGTGAAACGAGTGTACCTCAATTTGTGACAAGGTTAACCGTGCTGAGACTGCTTAAACTGCGTGTTTAAAATGAATATTATACTAAGTTTTGTTGACGGCGAATTGAGCGAAAAGTTGTCTTATGCAACGAATGTTACAAAACGTTTTTGCAAGGTTGAACTGCACGAAAGTTGCCTTGTGAAAGAGGTCAGGTTCTCGAGGCTATTTACTGGCGGGAACAGGGACGATTTCAAAGTCGTAACAGTCTGTTCAGGTTGTAATCATTTACAACAAAATAACAAAATCATTTACTTTCTCACTGTGTTATTTTGTTACTATCAGGAAATAGCATCTGAAAAGGATGGGGAGATTGTGGTACCAGCGTCGGGTGATCTTGTCAGCAGTTCCAGCAGGGAGAAGTTACCCCTGGACGGGTCGGGACCTATGCCTGTGTATGGACTATCATATAAAGAGAACAACGAAACCAATACCGGAGTTAAAAACCCAGCTGCCGATGTCTTCAATGACCAGAAAGAGCAAAACGGAACACAGTTCTAAATCTCGCTTTCCAATAGTCTCAACGTTACCAAATCTTTTGACGTTCATTCATTTGATGTTTAGTTTTTATTAAAATAGTTTCTAGAACAAAATATATTCTAGCTAATTTAAAACTAATATCTCACCATCATGGATTATTCAAGGCTATGAATACAATCAGAAACTGTCATTTTACCTATCATGTCAGCATCTTCAGTCATCAGGAATCATTCATCGTCGTAGTTTTAGATATTCAGAAAATAATGATTATGTTCATAACCATTGTATCCAGTATAAGAAGCGCAGTGAGACATGTAGCAATGCAGCAACAGTTTTCAACACGGATGTTTCAACAAGAGAGAAACCTGCAGATCTGCCTACATACGTGATATAAGTATCACAACACACAGTCCGCTTTGTGTCTATTGGATATTTCCATCCTACATGCCACAACTGTTGACTTACACAAAGATATGAGACACACTGAGATTTCGAATTTGGATTTCGAATGGCGGTGACGTTTCATGATGGCTGGAACTGGGTTGATGTTTCTGCACGTGGACTGAAGTCCCCACGTTTCATCATAAGCTCTGCAGCATTTATCAATTTCAAAAGAACTGTTCATGCTGCCAACGTATTTCTTAAATGTTTTCCCATACTTATAAGCAGCCGAATCTCCCACTTGTATGTAATTCAAGTTTAGCATATCGTTTGTATTTTCTATTTCTAAAGGTTACTGCACGGCGCCATTTTGCTTTGTTTGTTTTTGATTTTAGAAAGATGTATGGGTAATATGATACAAGAAATAGTTGGACAGATGTTAACAGACTTTGAAAAGAAACTTTATCTGTGCATCACATATGTATAATGATATGTGTACATGCGAAATAATAAATCATTATGAAACTAGCTTTTATAACATCCATACAGTTATTACACTGGAAACGTTTGTGTCGGCAACAAGGATCAGAGGGAGTCGAGGTACAGTTTACGATCGTGTGTTTAGACTGCGGTAACTCACCTAAAACATAATATTAAGGACATATTTATAAATGGTGTGTCGACGGTTCATAAGTCGGATAAAACACTCCTAACGCTCTCAGTTTTACTACCTCAGTGACTGCATCCCGCTGGTTTTACAATGTAAACCAATACCGTCTAAGGCGCTGTCCAGAGTTGCGTCCCTTGGAGACGCCAGAAACCTATGACTGTGAGTTCGAATCCCGTTTCGCCCTGATTATGTTTCTAGGTTTGTCAGCACCATACCCGTGCTCGTGGGTTTCGCCGAAGTGGTAAACGTCTGAGACATGCATCACTTCCGGCTTTCCTCCCACATTAAGCTGACACGCCGTGATATAACCGGAATACTGTTAAAAGCAGCGTTAAAGCAAACTCACTTACTCACTCATTAGAAAGGTAACCTTTATAGAGAAGTATAAGGCATTGTTATATATAACACGTCCCATTTTAATTCTGGAAACCCATTTGTCCGGAAACTCTCCATGCTGTGGCCAGTCTCTGTCAAAGGTATTTACAAAAATGAACGTGCTGTTCTCATGGGTACATAAAAAGGAAGAAAAAAATGTAAAAAATATCTTTTGAATACTTAAAATTCAAACTATGTCGCCCATGGGCTTTTGCTCAAAACTCTGGCAAATACATAAAGGTTTGTCTACAAGCATCATGACACATGATTCAACTCATTTTAACTTAATTCATCTAATTTGTGGCTTTATTAAAATATGTTTTTCTTTGGCAAATACATAAAGGTTTTCTACAATCATCGTGACACGTGATTCAACTCATTTAAATCTAATTTAACTAAATTGTGGCGTTATAAAAGTATTTCGCTCATGTTTTGGACAGTCCCTTTGAAGTGGTCTACTGGTAGAGCGTCCGCCCGGAGAGCGGAAGCTCCGGGGTTCGATCCCCGGCCGCGTCATACCAAAAGACGTTACAAAATGGTACTTGTTGTTACCCTGTCTGGCGCTCGGCATTAGGGGGCTAAAACAAGTAATGGTCGTCTCGGAGTCAGTGTACTGTGTCTGAGTGGGGTATTCATGTTAAACTGCCGCATGGTATCTCAGTGGGCTAGCACTATAAATCGGCATTAGTCCGGACTAGTACAAGCAGCCACACACACGTGCATGCACGTCGCTATTTTCACCTCACTTCACATATTGGAGGGGTGAGTTCAAAATAACGTTCATTCTGAGTCGCTTGTTTCAGATCCCCTGGTTTGAGTTAGTCTTCAGCAAACCATGCTCGTCGACAGTGACGACAAACAGGATGGACTGGCCCTGGTCAGGCTCACTGACTTGGTTGATGCATTTCATCGTATCCCAATTCGATGCTCAGGATATCAGTCACTGGATTGTCCATGCTCGATTACACGCCACCGTCATTTATCTGTATTATTGTGCATCTTCAAACAACAAACACATCACAGTCAACATCGAGTCCAAATGCGTTCCACATACTGACTGCAACATGTTATCACACACAGGACGCCATGACACTGTAGTGTACATAGCAGCAATGCTATGCCAAGATAGGAGATGATCTATCTTGATACATATTTTTTTACCAACCATACCAGTTTAGTGCAAAGGAAAATACAACATTATTATAACTGTGCGTGTACTTTTACCATGCGTGAAAGACCAGTGAGTCTGGGTTCGAATAGGTCCCCGGGTATATTCTTCGTAAAGAAATAAATCTCAAGTTTCAGGCTCTGTGCGGTAACACAAAGAAAGGTAATCTTTCATTAGAAGGTGAATCTTCATTCTGATCATGACGAGTTCAGTGCAAAGCGATTCCGAGAACAATCGTAGGTGGCATGTAGCTTGTAACCAAAATAAGAACCAAGACATTTCCATTCAATCCAAGCTATTTATTCACTGAGTGAGTGAGTACGTTGTGTTTAACGCCGCTTTTAACAGTATTCCAGTTATATCACGGTGAGTCAGCTTAATGTGGGAGGAAAGCCCGAAGTAATGCGGGTTTTAGACGTTTACCACTTCGGTGAAAAAAAGGTTTTTGACTTAAGCCATCTGATAATTGTGGCAGAATACAGGTGTGCTTCCAACAATTAGCAATTGCTATAGAGAGATTGCTATATGACTAATCATACCTCGACAAACAATATAATAGAGATCATTATACGAGCATATGTGTTCAACTGATTTTCCGAAACGAGTGTCAGAATTCTTGTATTTCACGATCCGAGTGTGAGGGCAATGCATCAATTCCTACACGAGTTTCGTAAAACACACATGCGAGTGCATCAATTTCCTTATTACCCATTAGATCTTATCATCTTGAGCTTCCTTTAAGGGAAATTCACTAATCACGACTGCTGTCATAAAAATAGATAATTGACGAATAAATTCATCAATATTCAGCTTTGACGTCGTTTCTATTGTGACGACATTCCGACAATAAGATTTGAATGACGCCAACAATGCCATCTAGATGACGTAAACTGAACACTGGTGCGCGTGATCGAAGTGATATTTGCACGCGTGCTTATCTGATTTTAATGAAGGGTTATTTCATACCCTGAGATTAAAACTACTGGATATTACTCATACCGCTTGCTTCGCAAAATACAAAGGAATCAAGCGACTATTCCAAAATGTCTAGTAATGTCTCGATGAGGAGGCACAGTTCCAACTGGAAAGTAAATAGTGCACACACGCACATTGTTGCTTTGTCATTGAGAAGTGTTGCGTTGCTAAGTTCAGTATCTATTCACTGTATTAGGGCGGTTTATCAGACTGAACTGACGCGCGAAAGAACATATGTGGCCATGTTATATTGTGGCTAAAAATGAACCACACAAGAAATAGCCATTCGATGGTGATGTATTTGACACGGCTATCATAGTTGTGTTTGGAACATCACGTTTGCAGTGTTTCGGCGACTGTTTCAGACTATTTACGTTCTGGTAACGTGTGTAATTGTTTGGTGCATCCAATTTTCGAGTGTATATTTCTTTTGCCCTTGCGAGGAAGTATAAGGCTCTTGAACCAAATGTTGCGTCATATCTCTACATACAGCGTTGAATATTATACGGCATCAAGAAATCTTGAAAGCAGAGAATAAATCCGCTTGAAGTTGTACACTCTTTGACATGGCGACAGCATATCTTGGAGTGTGGGACTATGTGGTGTTTTCACTGACGTTACTACTCTCTGCTGCTATAGGTGTTTACTACGCCATCAAATCAAGGAATGAAAGTACAATTCAAGAATTTCTGAAGGCTTCTGGAAATATGGGCGTTGTACCTGTGGCTATGTCGCTGCTTCTCTCCTTCATGTCCGCCATCTTCATCCTTGGTTTCCCTGCAGAGATGTACACAGCAGGAACCCAGTTTTACCTGCAGGTGCTCGGCAACATGCTTGGCTGTGCTTTAGCAGCGCTCCTGTTTGTCCCCATGCTTTACCCTCAGAAATTAACAAGCACATTTTCGGTAAGTGAAACACTTGAAGGAATGAACCACAATGTTTGAAAGTGGCGTACAAAATCATGGTTTTGAATGTCAATAATTTCTCTGATTACATCACAATATGTACATGTACGTCCACCCCGTACAATACGTCCGGCGTGTACCAAACAAACTCAGGGAGAGTTAGCTAGAGTGTCCCTCGAGTAACAAACTAACTCAAATTTTAGTGTCTGCCTGAGCGTCCACCCATACAAAACTGATCATGAGTCAGGTAGTGTTAGCGAGAGTGTCCACCCATACTATGGGAAATCATTGGGTTGTAGATACATGTACTACACATGTTATGAGTTGCCGAATCTATCTCATGTCGGGGTGCAGACATGCTTCTTTTGTCAGGATTCCCTTTCCGCGGGTTTGAATTCGCACTGATTATGATCCTTGGCCTATCGTGTTGTGCACGTGGGTTTGAGGAATTCGGAGTGGAATATAAGAAGCCTGCAGCAGACACATGTGATGCACACAAAGACACACTTATCAGGCACACATGTTGAACTCACGGACAACTGTAACAGACGTTTATCCTGCACAAAGGCACATGTAGCAGACATACACACGCGTGAGGCAGACGTATTTCCTGCACAAAGGCACATCTAGCAGACATACACACGCATGTAGGAGACGTATATCCTGCACAAAGGCACATGTAGCAGACATACACACGCATGTAGCAGACGTATATCCTGCACAAAGGCACATGAAGCAGACATACACAAACCTGCAGCAGACGTATATCCTGCACAAAGACACATGTAGCAGACATACACAAGCATGTAGCAGACATATATCCTGCACAAAGACAGATGTAGCAGACATACACACGCATGTAGGAGACATATATCCTGTACAAAGGCACATGTAGCAGACATACACAAGCATGCAGCAGACGTATATCCTGCAAAAAGGCACATGTAGCAGACATACACACGCCTGCAGCAGACGTATATCCTGCGCAAAGGCACATGTAGCAGACAAAAACACGCATGTAGCAGAAGTATATGCTGCACAAAGGCACATGTAGCAGACATACACACGCCTGCAGCAGACATATATCCTGCACAAAGGCACATGTAGCAGACATACACACGCCAGCAGCAGACATATATCCTGCACAAAGGCACATGTAGCAGACATACACACGCATGTAGCAGACGTATATCCTGCACAAAGGCACATGTAGCAGACATACACACGCATGTAGCAGACGTACGTCCTGCACAAAGGCGCATGTAGCAGACATACACATGCATGTAGCAGACGTATATCCTGCTCAAAGGCACATGTAGCAGACATACACATGCATGTAGCAGACGTATATGCTGCACAAAGACACATGTAGCAGACATACACACGCATGTAGCAGACATATATCATGCACAAAGACACATGTAGCAGACATACACACGCATGTAGGAGACATATATCCTGCACAAAGGCACATGTAGCAGACATACACACGCATGTAACAGACATATATCCTGCACAAAGGCACATGTAGCAGACATACACACGCATGTAGCAGACATATATCATGCACAAAGACACATGTAGCAGACATACACGCGCATGTAGCAGACATATATCCTGCACAAAGGCACATGTAGCAGACATACACATGCATGTAGCAGACATATATCATGCACAAAGGCACATGTAGCAGACATACACACGCATGTAGCAGACGTATATCCTGCACAAAGGCACATGTAGCAGACATACACACGCATGTAGCAGACATATATCATGCACAAAGGCACATCTAGCAGACATACACACGCATGCAGCAGACATACACACGCATGTAGGAGACATATATCGTGCACAAAGGCACATGTAGCAGACATACACACGCATGTAGCAGACGTATATCCTGCACAAAGACACATGTAGCAGACATACACAAGCATGTAACGGCAACTGTAGTAAACATTCTCGTATCGTACACACTGTCTCAGTTATGACGAACACGCAGCAGATGCATATGGAGCATTATCATGTAGCAAACTCACTGCACCAGTGGCGTACGCTTCACTACCAAACACACTGCACCGGTGACGTACGCTTCACTACCAAACACACTGCACCGGTGACGTACGCTTCCCTACCAAACACACTGCACCAATGACGTACGCTTCCCTACCAAACACACTGCACCAGTGACGTACGCTTCACTACCAAACACACTGCACCAGTGGCGTACGCTTCACTACCAAACACACTGCACCGGTGACGTACGCTTCACTACCAAACAGACTGCATCGGTGACGTACGCTTCACTACCAAACACACTGCACCAATGACGTACGCTTCCCTACCAAACACACTGCACCAGTGACGTACGCTTCCCTACCAAACAAACTGCACCGGTGACGTACGCTTCCCTACCAAACACACTGCACCGGTGATGTACGCTTCCCTACCAAACACACCGCTCAGTGACGTACTCACCCCTACTAAACACACCGCTCAGTGACGTACGCTTCCCTACCAAACAAACTGCACCGGTGACGTACGCTTCCCTACCAAACACACTGCACCAGTGACGTACGCTTCCCTACCAAACACACTGCACCAGTGACGTACACTTCCCTACCAAAAACACTGCACCAGTGACGTACACTTCCCTACCAAACACACCGCTCAGTGACGTACTCATCCCTACTAAACACACCGCTCAGTGACGTACGCTTCCCTACCAAACGCACTGCACCCGTGACGTACACTTCCCTACCAAACACACTGCACCAGTGACGTACGCTTCCCTACCAAACACACTGCACCGGTGACGTACGCTTCCCTACCAAACAAACTGTACCCGTGACGTACGCTTCCCTACCAAACACACTGCATCAGTGACGTACGCTTCCCTACCAAACACACTGCACCAGTGACGTACGCTTCCCTACCAAACACACTGCACCAGTGACGTACGCTTCCCTCCCAAACACACTTCACCAGTGACGTACACTTGCTTGAATGAGTGAGTAAGTGAGCCGCTTTTAGCAATATTCCAGCAATATCATTGTACCTATGTCGTACCCGACAGAACCCGGAAATAGAACCCGGGTCTTCAGCGTGACGAGCGAACGCTTTAACCACTAGGCTACCCGAGCGCCGACTAACGCATTGCTTAACTGACGCGTACCTTATCATGATATGTGTAGCTATGTTTCAGTATCTGGAGAAGCGGTTCGACTCCCGTGCCGCCAAACTGACAGGGACATGTATCATGATAGTTCAGCAGGTGAGTGAGTGAGTGAGTGCGTCTGTAAATTGCTTTCTTTCCATCGCTACATCCATTTATACCAGTGCTTTGTAATATGACGTTCAATTATAATTTCACTTCAAGGTGTTGTACATGGGAGTTGCATCGTTTGCTCCATCAACGGCTTTAGAAGCGGGTATGTATATTAACTATTTTATTTGACCAAAAATGGCTTCAGAAAATGTCTATATTCTGTTTAAGAAAGTCTTTAGTGTTTCTCGAATTTAATTTAATTTTACAAAGTGCGAGACACCCCGTGGGGGCCGTCCATAGATTTACCAACTTGAATACCAGTAATGAAACTTGTCGATATTGTTCCTGTAATTAACATATGGATTTCACCTTCATCACAGTAACCATAGTTACAGCTACCAAAGCCAGTTGTCTTAAACATGCCGAAAAAGATCCCTTTTTAATAAAAAAAACTATACGAAAGGTAAAGACGTATGATGACTACAGAACTTCTGTGAAAAAAATCTTTATCATACAATGTCCGTTTTGTTACTAAACCACTGTTGGGCGCTCAGTATAACGTATGGTGACTGGTTGAAGTTGTTCTATACATTTCAGTGACTGGGTTTCCGACATGGGCCACCATCATCACTGTCGGGCTGGTGTCAACGTTCTACACCTCACTGGTGGGTACAGCGCACTCTGCAATAGTTGGAGTGAATACGGCGTTTAACATAACACGCAGTAAGATCTTCAGTCATTATAGTTGGATTATTAAGGTAAGCGCCACATGTCCCAAAGCTGCGTCACGTCTGGATCCGCAGATCGTTGAGTCCAATCATAGTGAGTGAGTGAGTATGGTTTTACGCCGCTTTTAGCAATATTCCAGCAATATCACGGCAGGGGACACCAGAAATGGGCTTCGCACACTGTACCAATGTCGGGAATCGAACCCGGGTCTTCTGCGTGACGAGCGAACGCTTTAACCACTAGGCTACCCGACCGCCCCCCAATCATAGAGTCGCCTGAATGTTTTTGAGGGTTTGCCTGTATCCTTACCTTTAGGTAGCCTAGTGGTTAAAGCGTTCGCTCGTCAGGCCTAAAACCCGAGGTCGATTCCCGAATTGTGTACAATGTGTGAAGCCCATTTCTGATCTTGCTGGAATATTGCTTAAAGCGGCGTAAAACCATACTCACTCACTAGAACTCAAATACGTCCATTTTGGTGATTAATAACGTTTTCATACAGTTCATTTAACCGCTACAGTGAGTACAACTGCATATATGACCCGCCATCCTGGCAACAGACATAATAATTCAAGCTCCTTCCAACAAAACAGCGTTGCGTAGTGTGTGTTATAGTCGACTTCAGGCGTGGCGATGTGGAGCTCTAATGGCAATATGGAAATGGTGACAAACATGGGCTTCGCATCTCAATCTCCATTTGTTTTTAATGGTGAAAAATGATAAACATGGCGGTTAGATAAATTCGTTGTATGATAATTGCTCGGCCACCCTCTGTGTTGCCTCTCGGCTCAAACAACACTTCCACACGGATGGTACAGTAACTTAACGTCATTTCACTCACGTCTCTGTGTATTATATGTGGGGTATTTCAATTTATTTTAGGGTGGAATGAAAGCAGTTGTGTGGACAGACATGTTTCAGTCAGTGGTGATGTTTGCCGGACTTCTAGCAATAGTCATTCAGGTATGATCGTGGAGAATAATGTCAGAATGCACAGTTACAGTTACTGAAGCCGTCATTAAACATAATTAAAGTCTCCCTTTTTTATCAGGACGCATTATTAAAACAAATGTAATTTCTGAAGAGGTTTCGACACATTAAAATACAATATTTACATTTCGAAATAATATTGGTAGACATTAAAATTGGTAGACAGTATGCTAATGCTATATCAAGTTTCAAGTAAACAGAATTTGTAGACATTATAATGCATAGTTCATAGCGTTTAAAGTTTAAACAACGGATACATTGCTTGACCTTGTAATGCATAATTGTTCAGGTTTACAGTGCAAAAATTGGAAAGTGGCTGACCTGATAATGCATGGTTCATCGCGTTAAAAGTAAAACAAATGGATGAATTGGTTGACCCTACAGTATATGTTCATCTCGTTTGAAGTAAAAGTAATTGGTACATTGGTAGACTTTATAATACATGGTTTATCACGTTGAAAGTAAACAGAATGGGTAAAATGGTTCCCCCTATAGTAAATGATTCCTCTCGTTTGGAGTAAAATATAAGACCCCTTCGCAAAATAATCGCAACTAACAATGAAGAACGAAGCGTAGTATATTTCACTATACAACACTGTTCTAGCATGACGTCATTTCTGGAGATTCGAACATTCGCTCGCAACTTGATTACGTCGTAAATTGGACAACGTTATTTTTGAGAGAGAAGCTGGACAGCGCAGATGAACGCAATGGCCAAACGATCGTTCCCAGCAGTAGGAGAGATATGACGATCAATATTGGGAGAAAAGGTGCAGATAATCGACGTAGAAATTATGAGAATACCAATATTATATATAAGAAATAAACGACTCATGCTCGTTGTTTATCGCTCAATAAAACACTGCAGGGAGAATAAACCATGAGGGGCGCATATGGGTATATTGGTTGACCCAACAAAATATGGTTCCCAGCGTGTCAGGTAAATATAATGGCTTCTTCAGTTGACCTTATAATATATGGTTCTTCACGTTCAAAGTAAAACGAAATAGGCAAATAGTCGGACCTTATTATTGATGGTTCATCGCGTTTAGAGAAAGAAACAATAGGTGCGTCAGTTGATCTTATAATAAATAGTTTTTCGCGTTTAAAGTTAGAAATGGGTAAAGTGGCTGGCCTTATAGTGGCAATAATAGTAATAAGGATGGGTAAAGTGGTTGACCCTTCAATGTGTGGCTCGTTGTGTTTGCGGTAAAATAATGGGTAAAGTGGTTGACCCTTCAATGTGTGGCTCGTTGTATTTGCGGTAAAATAATGGGTAAAGTGGTTGACCCTTCAATGTGTGGCTCGTTGTGTTTGCGGTAAAATAATGGGTAAAGTGGTTGACCCTTCAATGTGTGGCTCATTGTGTTTGCGGTAAAATAATGGGTAAATTGGCAGACCTTGTAATACATCGTTCATCAGATTTAAAGTGAAATAATGGATAGACTGGTTGAATACATGCTTCAAAACGTATAAAAGTGACTGGGTTGACCTTATAATCAATGTTCCATTCCATGATTTCAGGGATCCATCGTGGTTGGCGGCATGGGAGAAGTTTGGAGAATAAACGAAGAATGGGGAAGAATTAATTTCTTTAAGTATGCATCACATTCTTCTCATTCGCTGTTTGTTAGTCTGGCCCCAATTATGTTCATGTGTGTGTATAAGAATATACTTTCTACTGAGCCTCTACGAAATGTTCTTTCAGGGGATGTTAGTGAAGCATGCTTTGTAGGTTTACATATGATATTTACCAAACATTCATTTTTTTGTTAAAAGAGAAAATCACATGCACACAGAGGTTTATTTACGCTGTTCAGGAAACACACTACACTTAGCGATTGAGCCCCCTCCATACCGGTCCTGTTCGACTACGTTGGAATCCTGAAATATTTCAATTGTCCTCGCCACACTCGGGCACGATGATCTGTGAAGTCTAGACAGTATCTCGATTCATCAGTTAATCGTCTGTCCAATTAAAACGTGTCTGATGTCGGGTCAGTGGGATGCCAGCCTCACGGTGATGATAACGCACTGTCTGAGTAGAAATATATTACCGCTGGCGTTCCGCAGATCATTTCTGTGTGTGGTGGCAGTCACAAAATGATGATAGCGTGATCCTACCACTGTGCGGCGGAACGCTGTCGACCAACTGCATGTCGCTGTCAATGATTTTCTCATCAATGATTTTCAGAGATCCTTTCTTTTGAGTCAACTGCCATCATATTTTAATACGAAAAGACACTGAATAAAACATAATAAATAAAGATTTCATTCAGATGGACCGCGGAAGTCTATTGTCTGATGCTAATATTGTCGACGCTGATATCGATGCACCAACACATGGCGTCGCTACATCAGTTTTTTCATTTGGGAAGTTGGAAACATGACGATCGCTCCCATTGTTAAAGTGTGTACACCCTCATGTTCATCAATAAAATCATACCCATTTTGTCTATCGTTCTGTTTACTTACAAATTTAATAGCCGACCTTCGTCATCCACATAAATCCCCGGGCGTGAACGTGTCCCTTTCTTCTACATAAGCCGTGCCATTACTGGACAACTGCTCAATCACTCTGACATGCACGTTTACGTTCCCGTTTCAGCTTTGATCCAGATCCGACTGTCCGCCATTCCTTCTGGTCACTGGTCATTGGTGGGATGATATCTTGGACGGCGACTTTCGGGGTCAACCAGGCCAGTGTCCAGCGCTACTGTGCACTGCCAACACTGCAGAAGGCCAAACTGTAAGATGCAATGTGACACAGCTGATATCTGAATGATACCACAGGGTGTGTGTATGGCTAGGATGTATACTAGTTTATATCCAGGCTACACTGACAAAATTAACCGCGCACACTTTAAAACGTTTGTGTAAAAGTATTTTACTAGGACTACCTGAGGATTTCGAATACGCACATGGCGATATAAAGCAACAGATCCGTGGCACCTTTCATTAACGCAAGTTAAAATATTGTTTGCTCTCCTCCTGCCCGGGAAAGCTAAAAGCTATAGCCTGACCAACGACCCTGATATACATTCATCTTTGTTTGTCATATATCATTTATATGTTTATTTGTTGTGGTAATATTTTTACCACTAATTCAAAACATTTTATTCAGGTCGGTGATGCTGAATGTCCTTGGTGTCCTCATTCTATTGACCATCGTGTGTCTAGCCGGAATCATTACCTTCGCCTATTACACACAGAAAGGATGTGATCCACTGTCTGCAAAATACATCAGTAACTCAAACCAAGTAAGACCTGATAGAACGGGTACCATTTATTGAGTGGAAAAATCCCATAAGGCATGTTTTATCTGGCAGAAAGCAAAGTAACAGCCATTCAGATATTAGCACCATACAGAAAGAGTACATCCATATGTCTGCAAAGGTGTACACTATACTGGAAGATAGCTGTGTGTGTGTTTTCTTTATGGTGTGTGCGTGTGCGTGTGCGTGTGCGTGTGCGTGCGTGCGTGCGTGCGTGTGTGTGTGTGTGTTTGTTTTCTTTATGGTGTGTGTGCGTGCGTGCGTGCGTGCGTGCGTATTTGTGCGTGTGTTTGTGTGTGTTTGTGTGTGTGTGTGTTTGCGTGCGTGCGTGCGTGTTTGCGTGTGTGTGTTTGTGTGTGCGTGTGTGCGTGCGTGTGTGTGTGTGTGTGTGTGTGTGTGTGTGTGTGTGTGTGTGTGTGTGTGTGTGTGTGTGTGTGTGTGTGTGTGTGTGATCTGAGGTCTTCAAGTTTTCAAGGCCCATGTTCGAATTCCCACATGGGTACATTATAGAGTAGCGGCCAAGCCTTAAAAAGAGGACTTATCTAAGGAGTAACCCCTCCCACAGTAGAACAAAGCACAACCACATTTTCGTCACCAGATATCATTTATGCGTTAGAAAATGATGGTTGTGGTGATTCCCTTTGGTGGCAGACATGGTTTTTGGTGGTGAAATGCACATTTGTATGACAGAATTTAGTAAATCAAATAAATGGCTCAAATAAAATAACAAATCAGTTTGCATATTGCAATGCTCATTTTATAATCAAATTCAGTAAGCTGACTTAGGAAAATTAACATAGAACAAATAAACAAGTTGCAAAATGGTTTATGTCGAGTTATCGACCAAAATGTGCCAAAAACAGGAAAAATCACTCAATTTTCAATTTCAAATTATTACAAAACTAAAGATAATGTAACCTTCATAGTGACAATCATGTCGTGTGATATCTCACAATCTGCTTGAATGCTTCAAGATCTTATAAAAAAATCAACAATTAATATAGGTATAATATAATGTATGACAGTTTACTATATGTGATCCCACCAAACATCCTGTTTAAAACCCACAAATAAAAAATAGCATTCTTGTACACCAAATTGTTTTATTTGAACACATGAATCGTTTAGGTATCTTCCATATATGAGCTTGAGAAATTTGATTTATCCAATATGGCGGACAAAATGGCCTCCAAGAGGGCCACAAATACAGGAAAATGACAATATTTCGTCTTCACATCGGACTGCGTGATAAATGTAAATGTCAAAATTTAGGTTTCGACCAGGAACTCCATCTATCGTGTTATTGTCCTTTTTAAGATAATTCACCTATGTTTTGTGCTACAGTTGCTGATGATATTGACTTACTTTGAAGTGTCAATGTGAAGCACTTCTATACAATTGCTTCAACATTGTCAGTAACTCATTAATGAATCCATTATTTTTCTCCAATACAGTAAGAAACATTTAGTCAGTGCCGCCACTGTCACTGTCACTCAAGCCTTCAGATTCATCATCGTAGGCCGAGTTTTGGCTACCAGAGCAGGTGCAGTGTTCAGTATGTGGCAGTCCAGATCTGTTGCTGCAGATGAGATGACAGATATGTCTGCAGCCATATTGTCTTCTGAAACATGGCACTCACCATGTGTTGCTTGAAGGCATCTGCTGAAGGTGGGAACACAGTAGCTGCCTTGTCAGTGTTGGAAGCCTGGACTTAGCCTTGGTCATCCAGGGTGTGGCAGGAGGACAACTGATCTAGCCGAGTTTAGGGACACTTCCAGCTGGCGCAATCCAACTTGACAAGTTCTTCAACATTTCAACATGTGTCAGCAATATTGAGAAGCTGTCTTCTTTGAATTTATAACCAGACATCACCATAAGAATATCACGTTTCACAATGTTCTAGATCCAGAGAATTTCCAATCTTCATTATCTCAGCTCAGTGCAATTAGGCTATTGAAGCTTGGGCTGACTGACATCGCAGACGGTTGACATATCTCTTCTTGACTCTTCTTGACTCTTGATAGAACGATTGTTACGACAGTAGATGTATGTAAACGTAATGTCAACACACAAAGACTTTCAGCTACATAAATCCCAAACATGTTTACAGCTAAGTATGTTTAAAACTTTCTTATACCACAACACATTATGACGGTCTACAAACATGGTAACATTCAGTACTGCAGCAGATAACATCACAAAATATTGTTGAATAATTGAACGTCAACACCAGAGGATAACCAGTCTCGAATATCCGCCAATACAGATTCTAGTGGGAAAACAGCAAAATAGCCGTGACAATTATAGGAGTAGATCACTGAAAATCATTCAGAATGGTTATCATATACTGCCCTACCGGTAACACCTGCACTCACAAAATTTGCCTTAACCTTAGCGTTGTATGCGTTCCATGCGACGGCAGTGTTTAAAAAGACCATAGAATCAAGAAATGGACCAGACAGAATATCCTGTGACACGATAATGTATTAACTGTGGAAACTAAAAACTTACATGTTTATTTTGAATTCCGTCTGCTGTGTACAAGAGAAGTGTGTTTGGAACGCAGCATGGCTACATAGCCACACTATTGTTTTTATGCCATAAGTAAAGATATTTGTCGGTTATATCTCGGTCATATTAATTTGTTGTTACACTTGACAGTCTAGTCATTCCGAACTGTACGCGGTTTAAGTAACGTCCTGTTATGAAGAATCATGTATATAATTACAAATATATTCATATAGTTCACTCCTTGGGTGTTGAGAGCAACAGTATATTTATAAATATTCTGATATATGTCAGATTATGAGTGTGTGAGTATGGTTTTACGCCGCTTTTAGCAATATTCCAGCAATATCACGTCGAGGGACACCAGAAATGGGCTTCACACATTGCATCCATGTCGGGAATCTAACCCGAGTCTTCGGCGTGACGAGCGAACGCTTTAACCACTAGGCTACACGACCGCCCATCAGATTATGAGGTTTCGGTACCTTTATGTAGTCTTTGAATGACATTTAGAAGTGATACACATAAGGAAGACTTCTTTATTATGAGCAAACATTTCGAAGAATATACTTACTCCTTCATCAGATGAATAAATGCTATAAGTGAGTGAGTAAGGTTTTACTCCGCTTTTAGCAATATTCCAGCAATATCACGGCAGGGGACACCAGAAAAGGGCTTCATACATTGTACCCATGTCGGGAATCGAACCCGGGTCTTATGCGTGACGAGCGAACGCTTTAACCGCTAGGCTACCCGACCGCCCAAATGCTATGAAGCACAGAACATATATATATCTAACCCGAGTCTTCGGCGTGACGAGCGAACGCTTTAACCACTAGGCTACACGACCGCCCATCAGATTATGAGGTTTCGGTACCTTAATGTAGTCTTTGCTGTCATGAGACAGCGAAAGTACTATGTATGAAACTGATATAAAAAAGATGATGGACTAACGTGGACTTTATTATTTTATTATATATTACATGTACACCGAGTGAACATTTACCTCATTTTTGTATATATATATATATATATATATATGTACCTGTAAGAACAAAAAAGTAATAAGATAACAAAGGTGGAAACTAAGCAAGGGAAGCCAACGGCTGATTTAATCGCGGATTTCAGGTCCAGTTTGTTGACACAGGACTGATGTTCTTTGAGTCTGGTGATGAGGAATCTGAGGGTTTCTCCAATGTATTGGTGGCCACAGTTGCAGGGGATCTGGTATATACATCCTCTGGGACTGGGACTTGCGCTGCTGGTGCCTCTGCCATTGGCTCGGAGACCTTCGTCCATTGCTATCAGCGCCAATTAACTGTTGGCTTCCCTTGTGATGTTTACATCTTTGTTATCTTATTACTTTTGTTGTTCACACAGGAAAATATACGTTCTCTGCTTCATAGAGGGGTATAAACTCCTAAACGTTTTGTTCCTCATAATAAAGAAATTGACAAACATAAATCTATACCTTATATACCTCTGTGTCTTGAGATTGAGTCCACAGTGTCATCTGCTTGTCCATTTATAGGGGGAGCAGCTATTTTGATCTTTTTGTGCACATTTTTTGTTTGTTTCCTCGTATAATCTATGGGGCTTAACCACGCATATCCAGAACCAGTAACGAAAGTTGTATGTGCATTTTTTAATACTATCTATGTATTAATTTAGAACTTGTCCTTTAAAGTGACATTGGCCTTCAAATGTACCTCCTCGGTATTTAAAATAATCATTGACTTTGGGCAAAACCTTTAATAATATCCAATATAGACATGATATTTTCAAACGGTGACATGTATGTGTTGTATAATCTATTATAAACGAAATAATTTTGAGATATCAAATGGCTTGGTTGTTAACCATACATGATAGAAACACGGACTTCTTTAATGCATACATTACCATTTAAGGAGACTTTATTTCATTTTCTGTATTTTCACAAAATGAAAGTGCACTTAAACAGTATCTGCCACCAAAACATTTGATCACAACTATTATTTTCTAGTCCGTGTACAAAAACATAAGTAAATCTAAGTTTGCTTTGTTCTATTATATATGGGGAGGTGTATGTCGGCAGTTTGAGGGTCTGGCCACTACTCTATCATATAAAGCTAAGTTCTGATGTCCCTCGACGGGATGTTTCTGGAATACTGCTGAAACGGTTTAGAAGTATCCTCGCGCACTCTTTTCTTTCCAGCTGATACCCTACTTCGTGATGGAGGTGCTCGGATATCCCGGTCTCCCAGGATTGTTCATCTCATGTCTCTTTAGTGGAGCACTCAGGTAGGAACTGTTCTGATTGATGGAGCACTCAGGTAGGACCTGTTCTGATTGATGGAGCACTCAGGTAGGAACTGTTCTGATTGGTGGAACACTCAGGTAGGAACTGTTCTGATTGGTGGAACACTCAGGTAGGAACTGTTCTGATTGGTGGAGCACTCAGGTAGACACCGTTCTGATTGGTGGAGCACTCAGGTAGGAACTGTTCTGAGTGATGGAGCACTCAGGTAGAAACTGTTCTGATTGGTGGAGCACTCAGGTAGAAACCGTTCTGATTGGTCGAGCACTCAGGTAGGAACTGTTCTGATTGGTGGAACACTCAGGTAGGAACTGTTCTGATTGGTGGAACACTCAGGTAGGAACCGATCCCTTTTGACGAGAACTGTCCCCTCGGATGTGTAATTATTGCGTGTGTGCCAAAATTATCAGTGTTTATGTCTTGGTGTCTGCTCATATACCGTAACCCTCAAACATCACCGTCTTTTAATAATACCATGTAGGTGGGCCTAGCAACAGGTGAGGACTTCTTAACGTTATCCGTCTTTGTCGTCTTACATAGCCTTACCGGGAACATCACCATATTTTAATCGGCAATCTTGTAACTTCTTGCAGCACGATGTCCTCCTGTCTGAACGCCCTGGCTGCTGTGTGCTGGGAGGACTTCCTGAAGCCAGTCCTCGGGGAAAGACTCAACGAAAGACAGAAAACACTCGTCACAAAATTTTTGGGTTAGTTTTTCTAAGTTATTCATAATGATTACAACAGAGGTAGAGGTCTTCAGATCAATATCAAAGTATAAACAGCGCTATTTTATTTTCTTTGAATGAGATGTAGATCGCATTTGTACAGTGTAAAGCAAGGTTACCCGGAGAACCCTTAGAATTTGTCTTGTCCAATTGTCGTTTATTTAACTTTGCACAACAAAATCAAATAATATTTCCATCTTGTAGTGCTGTTCTTCGGTGGCACTGGTATCGGGATGTCTTTTATGGCAATGACGTTGGGAGGAACAGTTTTACAGGTGAGATGTTGTATTATGTTAAACAGCGTTACCGGATCTACAGCATTCTGAACAGTTTTACAGGTGAGTTGTTGTATTATATTAAACAGCGTTACCGGATCTACATCAGTTCAATATTAATAATAAAAGTGTAAACATATTGAGTAGGCAAATTCGTGTGACAGTTCCCCGGGCACAAAACTGTGTTTGCTGACGTAGTTTGATCTGATGGGTTTTTTCAAAACATTTTGATCGAGTGTTGAGATGACACCTTTGTTCTATGTCGTCACTAAGGCATCGTTGAGCTTCACTGGGGCTGCCTCGGGGCCTCTGCTGGGGATGTTTGCTCTCGGCGCCTTCTTCCCGTGGGCCAACTGGATTGTAAGTTCAGTCAGATATAGCGGACACCTTTAGATTTAGTCGTTATCGATACTGTATGTCTTCCATAGTAATTGAGGTGTATGTAAAAAGGCATATTTCAAGGGTAATTTCTACTCTCACTTACAAATATATCGTCGCCCCTTTATGCGCATAAGTAACCAAGGTTGTAATATGAAAAACAGGTTGCCAAATATCGGAGAGTTTTCTTACTTCATGGTCACATATCTCAATTATAGATATATTTTTGTATTGTACATAGTCGAATCTGCCTTTCTTAAAACAATTGGCGTGAAGAATGACCGGGTTTGATATTCCACATTGTGTGAATATCATTTCTAGCAACCCACGCGAATATTGCTATAAGCAGCCTCAAAACTCACTCACTCACTCACTCACGCACGCACGCACGCACGCACGCACGCACGCACGCACGCACGCACGCACGCACGCACGCACGCACGCACGCACTCACTCACTCACTCACTCACTCACTATATGTCTTTTAGGGAGCAGTGGTCGGCGGTATTCTGGGGTTGGCGTTTCCCTTGTGGATCAGCATAGGAGCCTATACGGTTGTGGGAGCCCCAACTAGCCTTGAGTTCCCCACATACAACTGCAGCGTCCCCAACATCACCGACTCCATGACAACAACAATGTCCTCCATCATGACCACAGCTGGAGGAACTGTCGAGTAGTGAGTGGGTTAGCGTGTACACGTGTAGTGATGTTAATGTCAGTGCGTGGGTTAGCATGTACACGTGTAGTGGTGTTAATGTCAGTGAGTGGGTTAGCGTGTACACGTGTAGTGGTGTCAATGTCAGTGAGTGGGTTAGCGTCTACACGTGTAGTGGTGTTAATGTCAGTGAGTGGGTTAGCGTCTACACGTGTAGTGGTGTCAATGTCAGTGAGTGGGTTACGTGTACACGTGTAGTGGTGTCAATGTCAGTGAGTGGGTTAGCGTGTACACGTGTAGTGGTGTTAATGTCAGTGAGTGGGTTAGCGTGTACACGTGTAGTGGTGTTAATGTCAGTGAGTGGGTTAGCATGTACACGTGTAGTGGTGTCAATGTCAGTGAGTGGGTTAGCGTGTACACGTGTAGTGGTGTCAATGTCAGTGAGTGGGTTAGCGTGTACACGTGTAGTGGTGTTAATGTCAGTGAGTGGGTTACGTGTACACGTGTAGTGGTGTCAATGTCAGTGAGTGGGTTAGCATGTACACGTGTAGTGGTGTTAATGTCAGTGAGTGGGTTAGCGTGTACACGTGTGGTGATGTCAATGTCAGTGAGTTGGTTAGGGTGTACACGTGTGGAGTTAATGTATAGTCTGTCATGTTTCAGTACTGGTGTCTCCGCCCTGTACACAGTGTCCTCTCTACCTCATCTCTACTCTATCATGTTTCAGTACTGGTGTCTCCGCCCTGTACACAGTGTCCTCTCTACCTCATCTCTATTCTATCATGTTTCAGTAGTATTGTCTCCGACCTGTACACAGTGTCCTCTCTACCTCATCTCTACTCTATCATGTTTCAGTACGGGTGTGTCGGCCCTCTACACAGTGTCCTCTCTACCTCATCTCTACTCTGTCATGTTTCAGTACTGGTGTCTCCGCCCTGTACACAGTGTCCTCTCTACCTCATTTCTACTCTATCATGTTTCAGTACTGGTTTCTCGGCCCTCTACACAGTGCCCTCCCTACCTCATCTCTACTCTATCATGTTTCAGTACTGGTATCTCCGCCCTCTACACAGTGTCCTCTCTACCTCATCTCTACTCTGTCATGTTTCAGTACTGGTATCTCCGCCCTCTACACAGTGTCCTCTCTACCTCATCTCTACTCTGTCATGTTTCAGTACTGGTGTCTCCGCCCTGTACACAGTGTCCTCTCTACCTCATCTCTACTCTATCATGTTTCAGTACTGGTGTCTCCGCCCTGTACACAGTGTCCTCTCTACCTCATCTCTACTCTATCATGTTTCAGTACTGGTATCTCCGCCCTGTACACAGTGTCCTCTCTACCTAATCTCTACTCCATCATGTTTCAGTACTGGTGTCTCCGCCCTGTACACAGTGTCCTCTCTACCTAATCTCTACTCCATCATGTTTCAGTACTGGTGTCTCTGCCCTGTACACAGTGTCCTCTCTACCTCATCTCTACTCTATCATGTTTCAGTACTGGTATCTCGGCCCTGTACACCGTGTCATATTTGTGGTACCCGGCTATTGGAGCATCGACAGTGATAGTGGTTGGTCTCATTGTGAGCGCTATCACAGGTCAGTCACCTCATTTGTTGTTGAGTTCAGTTCTCGTTCGATATATCACTACATGTTGTCAGTCTCTGTGTGGCAGTGGCACAGTGGCTATTGTTATCTTTTGACCCCCACAGTCCGTGAAACATAGTCATACATGTAGGTTAGGTGAAATTGGGTTTAACGTCACGTCCAAGATTATTGCACTTATATGCGACGTGCATGCACGTGTGTGTGTGTGGCTGCTCGTACTAGTCCGGACTGATGCCGATTTATAGTGCTAGCTCACAGAGATAGCACGCCGCAGTTTAACATTAATACCCCACTCAGACACAGTATACTGACTCCGAGCCGACCAGTCCTTGTTTGGGCCCCGTAATGCCGAGGGTCAAACAGGGTAACAACAAGTACCATCTTTTAACGTCTTTTTGTATGACGCGGCCGGGAATGGAGCCCCGGACCTTCCGCTCTCCGGGCGGACGCTCTACCACTAGACCACGGAGGCGGTCACCTAGTCATAAGTACAACGACATACAAAGGATCAGCGACCTTTGAATATGTTTACTGTAGTTTTCTTTAATTATTCTCGCAACTTAGAGTACACAAAACAACACCATCCATCCAACACAACCTGATTGATTATACAATCTTAGGGGGCAGGTGTGAACGGTCACGTCTGTGGCTGTGATAATTGTCTTTTACTTTGAATTGACAATGTGATGACAAAAACTGTTTTAGCAGAAACACGATTGTTGATACCAAAATGGGGCCTATTTGACATACAATGACGACATTAACATGTGAGTGTATCCGCTTTTAGCAATATTCCTGCAATATCACAGCAGGGGGCACCCGAAATGGACTTCACACATTGTACCAATGTCTTGAATCGAACCCGGGTCTTCGGCGTGACGGGCGAACGCTTTAACCACTAGGCTACCCCACAGCCCCTACATGAACATGTAAAAACGAGTATCCACGGTCATTCGGGCTTGTGAATCTTGGTTTTCTCATTTCTCAACAGACAATACTGATATGTCAGGCACAGAGACGATCGGACCAGAATATTCTGACTATATCTATAATGTGGACAAATAATGTTTGATATTAACAGTTATCACAGCTGTGTTAAGAGCAACTGTAGAAAACATAACTGGACACTTCACAAACTTTCAGGTAGCTGAAATGACAAGAGAGAATTTGGTTCCAAGACATCAAAAGTATTGACATAACACACCGGCCAGGACAGTGACGATTGTGGATATGGATGTAACTATGTGTATCGCTTCAACAGTCAAGTAATTTCCAAACTAAGCATGCATGTAAATATAACCGAATCATTGTGAATACTTTGAAATATGTGCATTAAAATTAATACCTACACTATTCCAAACGTCACGAAATAGACTTTTTCGTGTCGTGATGGTTATAAACCTCTTGTGACGTCATCCTATTAATTTTTTTCGTTAAGTAGCCTTTCACCAGGCGCTTTATGCAGACTACCCCGGGTATATTGTATTGAAAACCCCTCTACCCAGGTATATTGTATTGACATCCCCTCTATCCAGGTATATTGAATTGTAAACCCTCTATCCAGGTAAATTGTATTGTAAACCCTCTATCCAGGTAAATTGTATTGGAAACCCTCTATCCAGGTATATTGTATTGACATCCGCTCTATCCCAGGTATATTGTATTGACATCCCCTCTATCGAAGTATATTGTATTGACATCCCCTCTATCCAGGTATATTGTATTGACATCCCCTTTATCCCAGGTATATTGTATTGACATCCCCTCTATCCAGGTATATTGTATTGACATCCCCTCTATCCCAGGTATATTGTATTGACATCCCCTCTATCAAGGTATAGTGTATTGACATCCCCTCTATCAAGGTATATTGTATTGACATCCCCTCTGTCCAGGTATATTGTATTGAAAACCCCTCTATCCCAGGTATATTGTATTGACATCCCCGCTATCAAGGTATATTGTATTGACATCCCCTCTATCCAGGTATATTGTATTGACATCCCCTCTATCCAGGTATATTGTATTGACATCCCCTCTATCCAGGTATATTGTATTGACATCCCCTCTATCCAGGTATATTGTATTGTAAACCCTATATCCAGGTAAATTGTATTGTAAACCCTCTATCATGGTATATTGTATTGTTAATCCTCTATCCAGGTAAATTGTATTGTAAACCCTCTATCCAGGTATATTGTATTTTAAACCCTCTATCCAGGTAAATTGTATTGGAAACCCTCTATCCAGGTATATTGTATTGACATCCCCTCTATCCCAGGTATATTGTATTGACATCCCATCTATCGAGGTATGTTGTATTGACATCCCCTCTATCCCAGGTATATTGTATTGACATCCCCTCTATCCAGGTATATTGTATTGAAAACCCCTCTATCCCAGGTATATTGTATTGACATCCCCGCTATCCAGGTATATTGTATTGACATCCCCTCTATCCAGGTATATTGTATTGACATCCCCTCTATCCAGGTATATTGTATTGTAAACCCTATATCCAGGTAAATTGTATTGTAAACCCTCTATCAAGGTATATTGTATTGTAAATCCTATATCCAGGTAAATTGTATTGGAAACCCTCTATCTAGGTATATTGTATTTTAAACCCTCTATCCAGGTAAATTATATTGGAAACCCTCTATCCAGGTAAATTGTATTGTAAATCCTCTATCCAGGTATATTGTATTTTAAACCCTCTATCCAGGTAAATTGTATTGGAAACCCTCTATCCAGGTATATTGTATTGACATCCCCTCTATCCCAGGTATATTGTATTGACATCCCATCTATCGAGGTATATTGTATTGACATCCCCTCTATCCCAGGTATATTGTATTGACATCCCCTCTATCCAGGTATATTGTATTGAAAACCCCTCTATCCCAGGTATATTGTATTGACATCCCCGCTATCCAGGTATATTGTATTGACATCCCCTCTATCCAGGTATATTGTATTGACATCCCCTCTATCCAGGTATATTGTATTGTAAACCCTATATCCAGGTAAATTGTATTGTAAACCCTCTATCAAGGTATATTGTATTGTAAATCCTCTATCCAGGTAAATTGTATTGGAAACCCTCTATCTAGGTATATTGTATTTTAAACCCTCTATCCAGGTAAATTATATTGGAAACCCTCTATCCAGGTAAATTGTATTGGAAACCCCTCTATCCCAGGTATATTGTAGTGACATCCCCTCTATCCAGGTAAATTGTATTGACATCCCCTCTATCCAGGTATATTGTATTGACATCCCCTCTATCCAGGTATATTGTATTGGAAACCCCTCTTTCCCAGGTATATTGTATTGACAGCCCCTCTTTCCCAGGTATAGTGTATTGACAGCCCCTCTATCCCAGGTATATGGTATTGAACGCCCCTCTATCCAAGGTATATTGTATTGAAAACCCCTCTATCCCAGGTAGATTCTATTGAAAACCCCTCTTTCCAAGGTATTTTGTATTGAACGCCCCTCTATCCCAGGTATATTGTATTGCCAGCCCCTCTATCAAGGTATATTGTATTGAAAACCCCTCTATCCCAGGTATATTCTATTGAACGCCCTTCTATCCATGGTATATTGTATTGAACGCCCTCTATCCCAGGTATATTGTTTTGCCAGCCCCTCTGTCCCAAGTATATTCTATTGAACGCCCCTCTATCCATGGTATATTGTATTGCCAGCCCCTCTATCCCAGGTATATTGTATTGCCAGCCCCTCTATCCCAGGTATATTGTATTGAAAACCCCTCTATCCCAGGTATATTGTCTTGAAAACCCCTCTATCCCAGGTATATTGTATTGACAGCCCCTCTATCCAGGTATATTGTATTGAAAACCCCTCTATACCAGGTACATTGTCTTGAAAACCCCTCTATCCCAGGTATATTGTATTGACAGCCCCTCTATCCAGGTATATTGTATTGAAAACCCCTCTATCCCAAGTATAATGTATTGAAAACCCCTCTATCCCAGGTATATTGTCTTGAAAACCCCTCTATCCAAGATATATTGTATTGAAAACCCCTCTATCCCAGGTATATTGTCTTGAAAACCCCTCTATCCCAGATATATTGTCTTGAAAACCCCTCTATCCCAGGTATATTGTATTGAAAACCCCTCTATCCCAGGTATATTGTCTTGAAAACCTCTCTATCCCAGGTATATTGTATTGACAGTCTCCTTGTCCCAGGTATATTCTGCAGAAAATCGATTTCACCAAGATCCATTCACTCGTTCCCTGTACTCGCAGGTATGAATCGACTGGGTGATGTGGACACAAAGTATCTGGTACCTTTCTTCGACCGACTCTTCTGTTGCCTTCCCGGCCCAATCAGCAGGTGTCTCCGCTGTAACCAGGAGTTCAGGGACCCGGAGGTAGGTGTCTCTGCTGTAACCAGGAGTTCAGAGACCCGGAGGTAGGTGTCTCCGCTGTAACCAGGAGTTCAGGGACCCGGGGGTAGGTGTCTTCACTGTAACCAGGAGTTCAGGGACCCGGAGGTAGGTGTCTCTGCTATAACCAGAAGTACAGAGACCCGGAGGTAGGTATTTCCATCGTAACCAGTAGTTCAGAGACCCGGAGGTAGGTGTCTCCGCTGTAACCAGGAGTTCAGAGACCCGGAGGTAGGTGTCTCCGCTGTAACCAGGAGTTCAGGGACCCGGGGTTAGGTGTCTCTGCTGTAACCAGGAGTTCAGAGACCCGGAGGTAGGTGTCTCTGCTGTAACCAGGAGTTCAGAGACCCAGAGGTAGGTGTCTCTGCTGTAACCAGGAGTTCAGAGACCCAGAGGTAGGTGTCTCCGCTGTAACCAGGAGTACAGAGACCCGGAGGTAGGTGTCTACACTGTAACCAGGAGTTCAGAGGCCCGGAGGCAGGTGTCTCTGCTGTAACCAGGAGTTCAGAGACCCGGAGGTAGGTGTCTACACTGTAACCAGGAGTTCAGAGACCCAGAGGTAGGTGTCTCCACTGTAACCAGGAGTACAGAGACTCGGAGGTAGGTGTCTACACTGTAACCAGGAGTTCAGAGGCCCGGAGGCAGGTGTCTCTGCTGTAACCAGGAGTTCAGAGACCCGGAGGTAGGTGTCTCCACTGTAACCAGGAGTTCAGAGACCCGGAGGTAGGTGTCTCCGCTGTAACCAGGAGTTCAGAGACCCGGAGGTAGGTGTCTCCGCTGTAACCAGGAGTTCAGGGACCCGGGGTTAGGTGTCTCTGCTGTAACCAGGAGTTCAGAGACCCGGAGGTAGGTGTCTCTGCTGTAACCAGGAGTTCAGAGACCCAGAGGTAGGTGTCTCTGCTGTAACCAGGAGTTCAGAGACCCAGAGGTAGGTGTCTCCACTGTAACCAGGAGTACAGAGACCCGGAGGTAGGTGTCTACACTGTAACCAGGAGTTCAGAGGCCCGGAGGCAGGTGTCTCTGCTGTAACCAGGAGTTCAGAGACCCGGAGGTAGGTGTCTACACTGTAACCAGGAGTTCAGAGACCCAGAGGTAGGTGTCTCCACTGTAACCAGGAGTACAGAGACTCGGAGGTAGGTGTCTACACTGTAACCAGGAGTTCAGAGGCCCGGAGGCAGGTGTCTCTGCTGTAACCAGGAGTTCAGAGACCCGGAGGTAGGTGTCTCCACTGTAACCAGGAGTTCAGAGACCCGGAGGTAGGTGTCTCCCCTGTAACCAGGAGTTCAGAGACCCGGAGGTAGGTGTCTCTGCTGTAACCAGGAGTTCAGAAACCCGGAGGTAGGTGTCTCCGCTGTAACCAGGAGTTCAGAGACCCAGATGTAGGTGTCTCCGCTGTAACCAGGAGTTCAGAGACCCGGAGGTAGATGTCTCCGCTGTAACCAGGAGTTCAGAGACCCGGAGGTAGGTGTCTCCCCTGTAACCAGGAGTTCAGAGACCCGGAGGCAGGTGTCTCCGCTGTAACCAGGAGTTCAGAGACCCGGAGGTAGGTGTCTCCGCTGTAACCAGGAGTTCAGAGACCCGGAGGTAGGTGTCTCCGCTGTAACCAGGAGTTCAGGAACCCGGAGGTAGGTGTCTCCGCTGTAACCAGGAGTTCAGAGACCCAGATGTAGGTTGAAGCCTGCCCGTCTCACATAATTGTTTCAGTAAACCAATCAAGATTGAGGCAAGGCAGCTGAGGCTGCTTTCTGAAACGCACGTGCCTCAATATTTCGCAAAGGCTACCTGTGCTGTAATTGCGGAAGCTGCGGGTTGAAAAGAAATGTAGCCCAGTTTAGATGAAGGTCGACTTGAGCGACACGTTGTTTGTGAAACGGATGTAGCGAGACGTTTCAGGTTTGGTGGAATTGCGAAGGTTGTCTTGTGAAAGAGTTCCTGATTCTCAAAGTTATCTACTGACGGGAATAGGGTCAATTTCAAAGTCGTAAATCTTTAATAATTTATAATCATTTTAAACAAAATTATTCACTTTCTCACTGTGTTATTTTGTTCCTATCAGGAAATAGCATCTGAAAAGGATGGGGAGATTGTGATACCAGCGTCTGGTGATCTTGTCAGCAGCTCCAGCAGGGAGAAGTTACCCCTGGACGGGTCGGGACCTATGCCTGTGTATGGACTATCATATAAAGAGAACAACGAAACCAATACCGGAGTTAACAACCCAGCTGCCGATGTCTTCAACGACCAGAAACAGCAAAACGGGACACAGTTCTAAATCAGCATATTCAAATATCTCAATATTATCAAATCATTGAACGTTTATTTATGTAAAGTTTAGTTTATTTACAGCTATTTTTATAGAACAATGGTTTAATTCATTCATATCTCAAAGTTGATGTTGACATTGAAACGTCCAACAAAATGGATAATATGTTTCGTTAAATATATACACACATTTCTAGAAGAATTATTTTTTTTATGTCATTTGAGATACAGAACAGTCTAACAATTCGCCAGGTGTGTGTTGGTCACAATTAAACGATCTACGCATTATTCCTCTCGTTTTGCATAATATATTCAATGGGCTCATCCTTTGTTAAATAGTGTGACCACAGGATATTAAACTGTTTCACTTTGTTTCTCCAGGAATTGAAAAAAAGTTTGAAACTGTAACCCGTGCCATGTATCCCGTTGGTGGAGCCTCATACGATTATCCTGAAAATTCTGTACTATTAGAGCTTTTCCCGCATCTTTTATTGTGTAATTCAGACATCAGATGAAGAGAAATAATGATATAATAATAAACAAATACATCCATTGGTGAATATAATTTTGTATGTTTTGAAATATTCTTTTGAGTATTTGATTAAGTAAAACTGATGCGAAACAGGTGAATGTGTTGTCCACTTAAGATCGATACACCGTAAACTGTCTAATTGTTTAACTATTCAAGACATCATTGAAATTGTAAAAGCAGTCATTCCGTTTTGTCGTTCAGATATTAGGCAGTGTTTTGTTCGCTCACAATTCCGTAAAGCTGCTAAATAAAAATAATTCGTCGCACAGTATTTTTATCGGTATACGATAAAAAGCGGAGGAAATTCCTGTTTTTCAACGCAGAATAAATTATCGGACAACACTTAGCAGTGTCATTTTTTTCAAACCGTTTAAACATTTGCAGTTAAATTTACACCATCAGCTAGGAAATTTAATATTCTACATCTCTGCGTAAGTGTATAGCCGGAGGTAGATCCAGTGCCGCGTGATCGCAATTCACGTTCAACCTTCACTTTTTCGATCTTAGGAAAATGTGCGTCAGAACAAAACTCGGCATCCAGCGGGTTAAATATAACAGCTGCTTGCAAAAATGTTAAGTGTACTTGTCCCTTGTCAGTAACGTTTTAGTATTTTATAACTATTTTTTACGGTTTTCATTCATTCTAGAGGGGCGGTCGGGTAGCCAAGTGGTTAAAGCGTTCGCTGCTTACACCAAAGACCCGGGTTCGATTCCCGACATTGGTACAATGTGTGAAGCCAATTTCTCACTCACTGCAGGTTTCTCTCTTGTTGAAATATTCGTGTTAGAAAACTGAAAACAAGAGAGCGGGCTGGGGAAAGACAATAATATAAAAAAAATGTACGAAAACTGTTTTTCACTGATTGTGTAACTTTTTAATGTCTTTTGTAAAGCTGTAACGTTTAAAACACTCGCTACATGTTATTAAACGCTAAACCACACATGCTTTGAAGTTGGTTGATAATGGTTACAGCGTTCAAGGCCTCGGTAAAGCTGTGAACAAGTTTTATGGTAGACACGTGGAGACAATTGCCAAATTTCAGTGACAAACATGACGTCGGATGCAATTCCTTATATCGACCTGTACCATATATTCCGGTGTCTGTTTTTGTTGTTGTTGTTGTTGTTCAACTCATGTACCACGGAGGGTTATATCGTGTAATGAAAGAAGGATAGAAAAAAAGAAGTCCATGCGAAAACATTTGCGTTTCGCTTAACCCCAAACCACGGGTGCGCCTGTTCCGGACGAAGACGGGTTTCGCCGGCTCGACGTATATTATCTAAAGTCTGAACTGGTTTCAGAAAAAAACAAATCTGCAACTCTGAGAGTGCTGGTGCCAGTCTACAGGATTTCTACTCCTACCACACCAAATCAGAATCAGTTGTTCGGCCAGCAGCTTTCGTAGAGGACGATTTAATGTAGATTGAGAAATGTGGCAGCTGTGATTGGATGAACTTGTGTGAGATTTGTTGATGTTTTCAAATGTACATCTATTGAGTCAATTAAAAGTGACCACGATTTTTCAATATTAAGTTTTGTCTTTTTAAACAGGATGACTAAACCTGATTGGTGTGTTTCTTTTCCTGTACTCGTAAAAGGAACTGGCTGAGCTAGCCAAAATTTGTGTCTTTATTGTAGCTTTAAGTCCAGACTTGCACACGTGGAAATGTAGTGACTGTTGAAAGCCAAAAAGTTATTTATATAATATACACACACACACACACACACACACACACACACACACACACACACACACACACACACACACACACACACACACACACACACACACGCGCACACACACACACACACACACACACACACACTAGTACCACCACTAAGCATTAATATTGCTAAACGTGTCATACCATACTGGTGTAAGTAAGTATTAACTTATCCTAATAATATGATGGGAAACTATATCACGAGAACGAGAAGGATATGTTCATTGTGTGACTCCCAAGTAATTGGTGACGAGTTCCACTATTTATTCAGCTGTAATTCACCTTTAACATTACGTACTGGATGTGTCAATGAATACTACACACACTGGCCAAACATGATTACATATCCTAAACTGTCAAAGTTCCTCAGACATTTGAATGCTATACTGTGACGTATTCTACCATGTATGCTATCTAGCTGTACATCTATTACTGTGTTTTTTGTTGTTGTACAACTCATATACCACCGATGGTTGTTATCCAGTAATAAAAGAGAGAGAAAATGTCATGCAAGACAATCTGATCTCGGGAATGTCGGACACGTCTATTTTATGAACAGAGGTATAAAAGTTTGGTATCTCCTGAATATTCTCACAAACACAAACAATTGACGGCCATAACTCTACCTTTTCTCCCACTGTCGCCTACGCTTGGATGCCATCGTCCTGGCATTGCGTGCATCTGTTTTGCCAAGCTATAGCTACATCTAATGAGAATATCTCACTACCCCCGCCATTTACGGCATCATTTAGTTGCGAAGGCATGTTCGAATCTCCAGAAATGACGTCATGATAGAACAATGTATTGTCATTAAATAAAACCCACCTCGTTATCCGTTGTTCTTTTCGATGTATCGGTAGCTGTCTCATCTGTTTCAATTTCTCACAAAGTAGTCGCTTTAGTTTACCTGAGTGAGTGAGTGAGTATGATTTTACGCCGCTTTTAGCAATATTCCAGCAATATCACGGCGGGGAACACCAGAAATGGGCTTCACACATTGTACCCATGTCGGGAATCGAACCCGGGTCTTCAGCGTGACGAGCGAACGCTTCAACCACTAGGTTACCCGACCGCCCCTAGTTTACCTGAAGGGGTAACATTCAAAACATATTATGTATGTGTTCATGCTTGTATCAAAGGCATTTTACGACACTCGCTCGAAAATACAGCTAATGCTTTTTTTATTTGTTTTACGCCGCAATCAACAACAGAAAAGCTGTGACAGCCGCCTGTAAATAATCGCATTCGGACCAGAGACGTCAGTGATTAATATGTTGGGCACCTGCCCACGCCGTCGGTGACAGACTTTCACCAAGTCATGGAGCCTGACCATCCGATCCATTTAGTAGCCCTTTAATTACATCCATGGGTCCCCCGTGAAGATCCGGGGTAGAATAGGTCTTCAGCAACTCATGCTTGCCGTGAGACCCGTGAAGATCCGGGGTAGAATAGATCTTCAGCAACCCATGCTTGCCGTGAGACCCGTGAAGATCCGGGGTAGAATAGGTCTTCAGCAACCCATGCTTGCCGTGAGACCCGTGAAGATCCGGGGTAGAATAGGTCTTAAGCAACCCATGCTTGCCGTGAGACCCGTGAAGATCCGGGGTAGAATAGGTCTTCAGCAACTCATGCTTGCCGTGAGACCCGTGAAGATCCGGGGTAGAATAGGTCTTAAGCAACCCATGCTTGCCGCAAAAAGCGACTTTGCTCGTCGTAAGAGGCTACTAATGGGACCAGATCGTCAGGTTCGCTGACTTGGTTGATGCATGTCATTGTATCCCAAATGCGTGGATCGATGCTCATAATGTCAATCACTGGACTGTTTGATCCAGACTCGACTAATTACAGACAGCCGTCATATTGCTGAGTGCGATCTACAAAAACAAAAAAACAAACATCCATAGGTTGGTAGAGACTAATTATAATCTGTAATCCCTACGGGGTGAATACTAAGTGATACAATACAGTCGTTTCATAACGTCAGTATGACAGTATGGATGTAGCTATCTGTATCTACCGCGGGGACTATGTGACGTCCTTGTGTTTACTGGAGATATCTGCAGGGTGGCAGGACGATAGGAGATAATAGGTGAGGGGCGTGGACTGAAATATGGCCGCTATCACTTCGTCATCACAGCAACACAGGTAAATATACTGCATTTATATATACATCGTTCTTATACGGTATTGAACTGGCGGTGTCTTGAAGTAAGATTTCCATTCAATATACGCTTAGTGAAAGTCTGCTAGAATACATAATGAATGTGATCCTGATGTTAACATAAATTTGGTACATTTAACGAATGTGTAAAGCATTGTTTTGATGTTGCGTGGTAGAGTACTGCTATTTACAAGGTTGTGATCTGGGCCCCATTCAACAAAGCGATATTAGCACTAAACCTGATCTTAGTTTAACACTGACTTGCGACAATCGCCACGCTGACACCACATTGAAGAATGGCGCCCTGATTGTGAGTTATCAACACATTGTGTCCTCGTGTACTTACCACTGTCTAGTGCAACACGAGTCGGTGCATCAGAATGTTTTCCTATTTGAAATGTTCAGGAACGTGTTTCTCAGGTTTCAACCTGCGAGCAACGAGGAATTATGGTTTACTCTGTGTGTGAATTAAGCCCCGCACATTGGCGGGTGACTAACCTTCCGTAATTTGTAGCTGAGAGTAGCTTATGTTATAGGCATTTTACTGAGAAAATGTATGGGTTTCAGGATCACTACGAGAAACAGGTCGGTCAATCATATGACTGTACGACGTCACATAAATCCAAAACATGAAAACAATGGACCAATAGGTGTTAAAGCAAAATTAATGATGCTCTATGAGAATGGCTAGAAAAAATGCACCGATATATTTTCCCTGTTGGTAATATACTAATAATTACAGTAATATTTGAAGATGCCTTCATACATTGTTCGACCCATGAAGATCCGGGGTAGAATAAATAAGTCTTCAGCAACCCAAGAGGCGAGTAACGGGGTCGGGTGGTCAGACTCGCTGGCTTTGTTGATGCATGTAATCGTGTGCCAATTGCGTGGATCGATGCTCATAATGTGGATGAGTGAGTGAATAGGTTATTCTCTAAGTATTTTATTCTTGGGTGGGTGAGTAGTGAATAGGTTATTCTCTAAGTATTTTATTCTTGGGTGGGTGAGTAGTGAATAGGTTATTCTCTAAGTATTTTATTCTTGGGTGGGTGAGTGAGTGAATAGGTTATTCTCTAAGTATTTTATTCTTGGGTGGGTGAGTAGTGAATAGGTTATTCTCTAAGTATTTTATTCTTTGGTGGGTGGGTGAGTGAATAGGTTATTCTCTAAGTATTTTATTCTTGGGTGGGTGAGTGAGTGAATAGGTTATTCTCTAAGTACTTTATTCTTGGGCGGGTGAGTGCGTGAATAGGTTATTCTCTAAGTATTCTATTCTTGGGTGGGTGAGTGCGTGAATAGGTTATTCTCTAAGTATTTTATTCTTGGGTGAGTGAGTGAATATGGTTTTACGCCGCTTTTAGGGGGACACCAGAAATGGGCTTCACACATTGTACCAATGTCGGGAATCGAACCCGGGTCTTCAGCGTGACGAGCGAACTGGGCTACTAGGCCGCCACATTTAATTCTAGAAGTTACGGAAAGAATATATCACACATTGAAAAACAAAGGGAATGTCATGTGTATTGTTCTAGGTGCAGTATTGAATGATCAGATCAGCAACCCTCATGGTGCCCATGCCATCATGTTGTTTATCCAGACTAAGGTTTTATGTGTTTCTCCATCCAAGGATGTGGGGATTCTCGATCTACCTTTGGATGTTGTCGTTGCTCACGCTGACGTCGTCCCAGACTATCCAGGCCCCGGATCCCAGCGTGTGCACTCCCTCCGACGGCAGCAACCCAGGTGGGTGTGGTGGTGAGGGCAGGCGGTGGGCGGAGCTAGTAGTACTGGTGGGGTTGGGGTGGAATGTACTGGTGAGGGCAGGCGGTGGGCGGAGCTAGTAGTACTGGTGGGGGTGGGGTGGAATGTAGTGGTGAGGGCAGGGGGTGGGCGGAGGTAGTAGTACTGGTGGGGGTGGGGTGGAATGTAGTGGTGAGGGCAGGGGGTGGGCGGAGGTAGTAGTACTGGTGGGGGTGGGGTGGAATGTACTGGTGAGGGCAGGCGGTGGGCGGAGGTAGTAGTACTGGTGGGGGTGGGGTGGAATGTACTGGTGAGGGCAGGCGGTGGGCGGAGCTAGTAGTACTGGTGGGGGTGGGGTGGAATGTAGTGGTGAGGGTAGATGTGGGACGGAGCTAGTAGTACTAGTGGGGGTGGGGTGGAATGTACTGGTGAGGGCAGGCGGTGGGCGGAGCTAGTAGTATTGGTGGGGGTGGGGTGGAATGTAGTGGTGAGGGTAGATGTGGGACGGAGCTAGTAGTATTGGTGGGGGTGGGGTGGAATGTACTGGTGAGGGCAGGCGGTGGGCGGAGCTAGTAGTATTGGTGGGGGTGGGGTGGAATGTAGTGGTGAGGGCAGGCGGTGGACGGAGCTAGTAGTACTGTTCGGGGTGGGGTGGAATGTAGTGGTGAGGGCAGGCGGTGGACGGAGCTAGTAGTACTGGTGGGGGTGGTGTTGGCGTGGAATGTGGTGGTGAGGGTAGGTGTGGGACGGAGCTAGTAGTACTGTTCGGGGTGGGGTGGAATGTACTGGTGAGGGCAGGCGGTGGACGGTGCTAGTAGTATTGGTGGGGGTGGGATGGAATGTATTGGTGAGGGTAGATGTGGGACGGAGCTAGTAGTACTAGTGGGGGTGGGGTGGAATGTAGTGGTGAGGGTTGGTGTGGAACGGAGCTAGTAGTACTGGTGGGGTTGGGGTGGAATGTAGTGGTGAGGGTTGGTGTAGGACGGAGCTAGTAGTACTGGTGGGGGTGGGGTGGAATGTAGTGGTGAGGGTGGATGTGGGACGGAGCTAGTAGTACTGGTGGGGGTGGGGTGGAATGTAGTGGTGAGGGTGGGTGTGGGACGGAGCTAGTAGTACTGGTGGGGTTGGGGTGGAATGTAGTGGTGAGGGTTGGTGTAGGACGGAGCTAGTAGTACTGGTGGGGGTGGGGTGGAATGTAGTGGTGAGGGTGGATGTGGGACGGAGCTAGTAGTACTGGTGGGGGTGGGGTGGAATGTAGTGGTGAGGGTGGGTGTGGGACGGAGCTAGTAGTACTGGTGGGGGTGGGGTGGAATGTAGTGGTGAGGGTGGGTGTGGGACGGAGCTAGTAGTACTGGTGGGAGTGGGTGGAATGTAGTGGTGAGGGTGGGTGTGGGACGGAGCTAGTAGTACTGGTGGGGTAGGGGTGGAATGTAGTGGTGAGGGTGGGTGTGGGACGGAGCTAGTAGTACTGGTGGGGGTGGGGTGGAATGTAGTGGTGAGGGTGGGTGAGTGACGGAGCTAGTAGTACTGGTGGGGCTGGGGTGGAATGTAGTGGTGAGGGTGGGTGTCGGACGGAGCTAGTAGTACTGGTGGGGGTGGGGTGGAATGTAGTGGTGAGGGTGGGTGTAGGACGGAGCTAGTAGTACTGGTGGGGATGGGTGGAATGTAGTGGTGAGGGTGGGTGTGGGACGGAGCTAGTAGTACTGTTGGGGGTGGGATGGAGCTAGTAGTACTGGTGGGGGTGGGATGGAGCTAGTAGTACTGGTGGGGGTGGGTGGAATGTAGTGGTGAGGGTGGGTGTGGGGTGGAATGTAGTGGTGAGGGTGGGTGTGGGACGGAGCTAGTAGTACTGGTGGGGGTGGGATGGAGCTAGTAGTACTGGTGGGGGTGGGATGGAGCTAGTAGTACTGGTGGGGGTGGGTGGAATGTAGTAGTACTGGTGGGGGTGGGGTGGAATGTAGTGGTGAGGGTGGGTGTGGGACGGAGCTAGTAGTACTGGTGGGGTTGGGGTGGAATGTAGTGGTGAGGGTTGGTGTAGGACGGAGCTAGTAGTACTGGTGGGGGTGGGGTGGAATGTAGTGGTGAGGGTGGATGTGGGACGGAGCTAGTAGTACTGGTGGGGGTGGGGTGGAATGTAGTGGTGAGGGTGGGTGTGGGACGGAGCTAGTAGTACTGGTGGGGGTGGGGTGGAATGTAGTGGTGAGGGTGGGTGTGGGACGGAGCTAGTAGTACTGGTGGGAGTGGGTGGAATGTAGTGGTGAGGGTGGGTGTGGGACGGAGCTAGTAGTACTGGTGGGAGTGGGTGGAATGTAGTGGTGAGGGTGGATGTGGGACGGAGCTAGTAGTACTGGTGGGGGTGGGGTGGAATGTAGTGGTGAGGGTGGGTGTAGGACGGAGCTAGTAGTACTGGTGGGGATGGGTGGAATGTAGTGGTGAGGGTGGGTGTGGGACGGAGCTAGTAGTACTGGTGGGGGTGGGATGGAGCTAGTAGTACTGGTGGGGGTGGGATGGAGCTAGTAGTACTGGTGGGGATGGGTGGAATGTAGTGGTGAGGGTGGGTGTGGGACGGAGCTAGTAGTACTGGTGGGGGTGGGATGGAGCTAGTAGTACTGGTGGGGGTGGGACGGAGCTAGTAGTACTGGTGGGGGTGGGTGGAATGTAGTGGTGAGGGTGGGTGTGGGACGGAGCTAGTAGTACTGGTGGGGGTGGGATGGAGCTAGTAGTACTGGTGGGGTTGGGGTGGAATGTAGTGGTGAGGGTGGGTGTGGGACGGAGCTAGTAGTACTGGTGGGGGTGGGTGGAATGTAGTGGTGAGGGTTGGTGTGGGATGGAGCTACTACGAGAGCTGGTCAGTAAGATCTGAGCCTAACTTTCAACTATGGGCCACAACAAAGTGAACAAGGCAATGTTGTACAATTTCTGAAACTCAGCAGAGTTGGCCTTAAGGGCCAAGACATCTTAAAAACTGTAGGCCCAGTGAAAAAAAATGTAGGCCCAAACATTTTTTTGCTAAAACAGGTAGACATACTTTCACCATATAAATTCCAAAACACAACCAGTCAACCAGAAGCTTTTACTGCTTTCACCCCGAGTTCCAGGAGACTCGGCGGTGATAGATAAAGGCTGCATTTATCAGGAAATTATCAGCTTGTGAAACATCTTTGCAATTACATGGCATAGACCATTTGAAAAATCTAATCCTATTTTCTATAAATATGAAAGTTATTTTTATCACATTACTTGAAAAATTAACAAATAATTACTTGAATAAACCGCAGACTCGTATCAGATATTATTCATGAACATTTACAGATAGATAACATATCTGCTCGTTGGGTGCCAAAGGTTCTATATTCTGATTTTAAGGAAATGTGAACTGACAATGCCAGTAAATTTAGGGCAAATCGGGGAGGATTTCGTCAAATTCAAAAAGAGATAATTAGTAACGGGTGGTGAACCATGGGTCTTCCACTATGATCCCGAGTGACAACGTCAATCCATGGAATGACACCATTCCACTTGTCCGGCCCTTCTCCAAAGAAATTCAAATCTTCAAGATAAGTGAAGAAAGTTATGACCACTGGATTCTGGGATGCAAAGGGTGTGATCCTTGTTGATTACTTACAAAGTCAAAAAGACGATTACCGGTGCCTACCATGCTGATTTGCGTCATCGCCTGATAATTTTGTCAAAGAAAAGCGGCGAGGAATGTTGACTGCTGGAGTTCTACCCCCACCTCTTCTGACACCTCTCGACGTGGAAGGGCTGCTCTGCGGCAATGTGGGTTCGAAGAGCTTTTTCACCCTCCATACTCGCCAGACCCTGCACCAAGTGATTTCCGCCTGTTTCCTGAACTGAAGAAACACCTTCGTGGCAAGCACTATGACAAAAACGAAGAACTCAAAGCTCCCGTGGATGTTATTTTCCAAGTGGCTTCAGAAAACTTCCTCCTGTCCTCCTGACTGGAATTGAAAAACTTCACTATCGATATGAGAAGTGCATTGAAAAGCAGGGCGACTGTGTTGAAAAATAAGATTAAAAACACTTTCACAATTGTTGGTTTTGTTTGTTAAACCTAGAACATTTTGACCAACTTTCGTAGTACTTGTGGGGGGTCACACGGGGGAATGACGTGGCGGTGGGTGTAGGGAAAATCATATGGGTGGATGTTGGGGCGGACATTGTGGAAGGGGCGGGAATGCGGTTGAGGCAGCGGCCAGTCTCTAAAGAACGTCCTCGCTGGGGTAGTGGTAGTGGTGGATGTTGAGATGCGGTGTCAGGAGACGTTGGAACGGCAGCAGCAGTACATCATGTTTACCCTGTGTTGGCGTTGACATAGCTGTTTTCCGCGCCACAATAGTCGCGGTTGATGTTCTGCGTTCGTCCTGCAGTATCATGGCGTTAGGTCCCCATTCAGTACCATTGCAAGAGTATACACGTCCATACCAGCCTGTACAGACTGTACATCATGCGCAAGTCATTGATATAATATACATCATCAGAAAATGGACCGTGTCATGACAGAACGAATATCTAGTAATGTCCACTAAGCCGGCACATACTACGACCCGTGAGGCCCGCCACGCGGCCCTGTGGGGTCTGTCGTAAAATCGTGGCACCTAAGGTAAATTCATTTTTTGGTAAATATTTATATATGCGGAAGACTCCACGCCTTGATTAATGTAGTTGATCATTTCTAGTGAGTGAGTAGGGTTTAACGCCGCTTTTAACATTATTCCAGTTATATCGCGGCCTGATCATTTCTGAATTATAAGATGAGTTTATATGACCATTGTGTTAAGGACCGACGCCCAAGCTGCCCGACACGTTCAGCGCTCGAGTGGAGTGCAACATCCTCGACAAGAACTACACGACGGACGTGGAAGAATGGTACGACCAGGTCGGCAACAGGGGCGCCGTACAACAGTGGGAGATGGGCGTCAAGGCAAACATCATCTATGACTACACGGCCGGCGAATACATCATGGTGTTGGAGGCCATCGGTAAGATGGACATGTGGTGGAATCGGGGTACATCACATATTGCAGGGCGTCGGTAAGATGGGCAGGTGGTGGAATCAGGGTACATCATATGTTGGAGGGTGTCGGTAAGATGGACATGTGGTGGAATCGGGGTACATCACAGATTGGAGGGTGTCGGTAGGATGGACATGTGGTGGAATCAGGGTACATCAGTGTGTTGGAGGGTGTCGGTAAGATGGACATGTGGTTGAATCAGGGTACATCACATGTTGGAGGGTGTCGGTAAGATGGGCAGGTGGTGGAATCAGGGTACATCACATGTTGGAGGGTGTCGGTAAGATGGGCAGGTGGTGGAATCAGGGTACATCACATGTTGGAGGGAGTCGGTAAGATGGACATGTGGTGGAATCGGGGTACATCACATGTTGGAGGGCGTCGGTAAGATGGACATGTGGTGGAATCAGGGTACATCACATGTTGGAGGGTGTCGGTAAGATGGACATGTGGTGGAATCAGGGTACATCACATGTTGGAGGGTGTCGGTAAGATGGGCAGGTGGTGGAATCAGGGTACATCACATGTTGGAGGGTGTCGGTAAGATGGACATGTGGTGGAATCGGGGTACATCACATGTTGGAGGGCGTCGGTAAGATGGACATGTGGTGGAATCAGGGTACATGACATGTTGGAGGGAGTCGGTAAGATGGACATGTGGTGGAATCAGGGTATATCACATGTTGGAGGGTGTCGGTAAGATGGGCAGGTGGTGGAATCAGGGTACATCACATGTTGGAGGGAGTCGGTAAGATGGACATGTGGTGGAATCGGGGTACATCACATGTTGGAGGGCGTCGGTAAGATGGACATGTGGTGGAATCGGGGTACATGACATGTTGGAGGGTGTCGGTAAGATGGACATGTGGTGGAATCGGGGTACATGACATGTTGGAGGGTGTCGGTAAGATGGACGCGTGGTGGAATCGGGGTACATCACATGTTGGAGGGTGTCGGTAAGATGGACACGTGGTGGAATCAGGGTACATCACATGTTGGAGGGCATCGGAAAGATGGACAGGGGGTGGAATCAGGGTACATCATATGTTGGAGGGTGTCGGTAAGATCGACACGTGGTGGAATCAGGGTACATGACATGTTGGAGGGTGTCGGTAAGATGGGCAGGTGGTGGAATCAGGGTACTTCACATGTTGGAGGGTGTCGGTAAGATGGACACGTGGTGGAATCAGGGTACATGACATGTTGGAGGGAGTCGGTAAGATGGACAGGGGGTGGAATCAGGGTACATCATATGTTGGAGGGTGTCGGTAAGATCGACACGTGGTGGAATCAGGGTACATGACATGTTGGAGGGAGTCGGTAAGATGGACAGGGGGTGGAATCAGGGTACATCACATGTTGGAGGGTGTCGGTAAGATGGGCAGGTGGTGGAATCAGGGTACATGACATGTTGGAGGGTGTCGGTAAGATGGGCAGGTGGTGGAATCAGGGTACTTCACATGTTGGAGGGTGTCGGTAAGATGGACACGTGGTGGAATCAGGGTACATGACATGTTGGAGGGAGTCGGTAAGATGGACAGGGGGTGGAATCAGGGTACATCATATGTTGGAGGGTGTCGGTAAGATGGGCAGGTGGTGGAATCGGGGTACATCACATGTTGGAGGGTGTCGGTAAGATGGACACGTGGTTGAATCAGGGTACATCAGTGTGTTGGAGGGTGTCGGTAAGATGGACATGTGGTGGAATCGGGGTACATCACATGTTGGAGGGTGTCGGTAAGATGGACACGTGGTGGAAACAGGGTACATCACATGTTGGAGAGCGTCGGTAAGATGAGCAGGTGGTGGAATCAGGGTACATCACATGTTGGAGGGTGTCGGTGAGCTGGACACGTGGTGGAATCAGGGTACATCACATGTTCGAACGCGTCTGGTATGATACCAGGTGTTCGCGAAAAGGTAAGCGCGTCCTGACACACTGGTGGGACCCGTCACAAACACATGCAAAGGCAAGTCAATTGTATCATCCTGTCCCAAATGCGTAGATCAATGCTTATCGTGTCAATCACTGGATGGACTCGACCATTTTTAAACCGCTGCCATATTACTCGAATATTGCACATAAACAAACATCATACCATCTGTTCCTGTTTCAGATGGCACGTTCGAGGGATGTGTCGTCCAGCCTCTCTCACAGACAAGCAACAAGTACCTGTTTGGGATGACGAAAAGTCCGAATGGGTCTGAGAGTATTTATTCCGTTGGAGGGGCGATGAGATTTGGGAGGACTCTGAAGGAGACGTACTTAGGGGTGAAGCGCGTTAGGGGGATCCTGGTGGACCAGTTTGAGTCCTGTGCGTATCTGCAAGACTTCAATGCCTCAGCCAAGATCCTCTGGTCATTCACAGGTGAGATGTGTCGACTGTCTGCCGTAATGAGCGGATGAATTGGTGAGTAGGTGAGTGATTGACTGTACACAATTTGGTTGAGTACAGATTGGATGGGTGGTTTGATGATTGAATAAAGGAATGTCTTGTCAAGTGGATACATAAGTGCTTTGGTGAGTGGTTGGGTGAGTGCTTTGGTGAGTGGTTGGGTGAGTGCTTTGGTGAGTGGTTGGGTGAGTGCTTTGGTTAGTAGTTGGGTGAGTGCTTTGGTTAGTGGTTGGTGAGTGCTATGGTGAGTGGTTGGGTGAGTGCTTTGGTGAATGGTTGGGTGAGTGCTTTGGTGAGTGGTTGGGTGAGTGCTTTGGTGAATGGTTGGGTGAGTGCTTTGGTGAGTGGTTGGGTGAGTGCTTTGGTGAATGGTTGGGTGAGTGCTTTGGTGAGTGGTTGGGTGAGTGCTTTGGTGAGTGGTTGGGTGAGTGCTTTGGTGAATGGTTGGGTGAGTGCTTTGGTGAATGGTTGGGTGAGTGCTTTGGTGAATGGTTGGGTGAGTGCTTTGGTGAGTGGTTGGGTGAGTGCTTTGGTGAGTGGTTTGGTGGGTGGTTTGGTGAGTGGTTGGGTGAGTGGTCGGGTGTGGTGTTGAGTGAGCGGTTGAGTGAGTGGTTGGGTGAGTGGTTGGGTGAGTGGTTGGGTGAGTGCTTTGGTGAGTTGTTGGGTGAGTGGTCGGGTGTGGTGTTGAGTGAGCGGTTGAGTGAGTGGTTGGGTGAGTGCTTTGGTGAATGGTTGGGTGAGTGGTCGGGTGTAGTGTTGAGTGAGTGGTTGGGTGAGTGAGTGGGGAGATATGTCAACTGGCTGCCGTGATGAGTGGAAGTTAGTGAATAATGGAGAATTTGGTTCTGATTGGGTAGGTGGTTTGTGAGTGAATGGTAGGGTGAGGGGTCGGATGTGATGTTGAGGGAATGATTGAGTGAGTGGTTGGATGAGTGGTTGAGTGAGTGGTTGAGTAAGTGGTTGAGTGAATTGTTGAGTGAAATGTTGGATGAGTGGTTGAGCGGGTGGTTGAGTGAGTGGTTGAGTGAATTGTTGAGTGAATTGTTGAGTGAAATGTTGGATGAGTGGTTGAGCGAGTGGTTGAGTGAGTGGTTGAGTGAGTGGTTGAATGACTGGTTGAGTGAGTGGGTGAGTGAGTGGTTGAGCGAGTGGCTGAGTGAGTGGTTGAGTGAGTGGTTGAGTGAGTGGCTGAGTGAGTGGGTGAGTGGGTGGTTGAGTGACTGGTTGAGAGAGTGGTTGAGTGAATTGTTGGATGTTGTTGAGTGATGAAGAAGTTGATAATGAATGGTTGAGAGAGTTAGTGGCTGAGCAAGTGAAGCTGATTCTGTACATGCCGTTGGGACAGAGCTTAAATCATGTTGACGTCGGAATACGTCACAGGGGTCTGTATAATTGGTCTACACCATAAACTAAGTACGCAGACAAAGGAGGCGATAACTGAAAGATTTAAATCCAGGTGCCAGTGTGTCCGATCCTATCTTCTCTTTACTATGTCTACCCGTGAAGGTCTGGGGTAGAATAGGTCTTCAGCAACCCATGCTTGCCGTAAAAGACGACTACGCTGGCCGTAAGAGGCGACTAACGGGATCGGGTGGTCAGGCTGACTCGGTTGATGTATGTCATTAATCCCAATTGCGTGGATCGATGCTCATGATATTACTGGATTGTCTGATCCAGACTCGATCACTTACAAACCACTGGCATATTGCTGAGTGCGGCGTTAAACAAGAACTTGACTCTGTCCGTCGCAGCCAAGGACTCCTGGAACACTGCTATAGCCAGGACGCAGGTGCCTGTCCGCTGCGAGATCGTGGGCAAGAAGACGGTGAACGCCGGCACCAGCTCACCCTTCCACCACATCTACGACTTCACCGACTTCCAGACCAGCGTCGAGGATGACAAGTATGAGGTTCGTCAATGAACTATTGTCACAAATGGGGACACGGGTGGTCCAGTCGTCTAAGGCGCCGCGGTTCGCTGTGCAGATTTGCGTCACTTGGGCACGCCAGAAACCCATGGTTGTGGGTTCGAATACCGGTTCTTCCTGATCATGTTTTAAGGTTTGTCAGCACCATACCCGTACTCCTGGGTCTCACCGAAGTGGTAAATGTCTAAGACCTGCATAAAGTCGGGCTTTCAAGCTGACATGCCGTAATATGTAACTGGAATACTGTTAAAAGCGGCGTTAAACCCATCTCACTCACTAATGTAAGAAATGTTATATTTGGGATAATACTTTCTTAGGTTCTTTTAGGTTGAGTCCCATGCGGGATTCGAACCCACACACCTAATCGCCCAGCACACAAAGTCAGCGATCTAACCCACTCAGCCACCGAGGCTTCCTCAAAATGAAACTGGTAGCCTAGATCACGTACTTTGTGTACCCCTTTGACAAGTGTAAATTAGCACTTGGCCGAATGCCAGGAATACAAAATGTATCCTAAACTCTTGTACTTTTGTTATCCCAAATATAACATCCCGGGTGGGAGTCAACCCCAATAGGCACTAGAATATGAACTTTACTAAGAAAGTTATTAACACACGATGCCATTTAGAAAGAGGTCAGATGTAAAAAAAAGTTATATTTGGGATATAGAGATTACTACACGAGTGTCTGTCAGACACCATTTATCTTGCAACGAGTTGCTTCAAAAAGTCTCTAACGAGAGAAAGCGAGTTAGACGCGCTTTGAAACAACGAGTTGCATGATCAATAGTATCTGACAGACACGAGTGCAGTAATCTCTTTCTTACCCACCCTAAAATCGCACAAACGGTTCTAGACATATCAGTGACGTTGCAGAATTATCATTAGTGATTTAGACCGCCTCCGTGGTCTTGTGGTAGAGCGTCCGCCCGGAGAGCGGAAGGTCCAGGGTTCGATCCCGGGCCGCGTCATACAAAAAGACGTTAAAAGATTGTACTTGTTGTTACCCTGTCTGGCGCTCGGCATTAAGGGGCTAAAACAAGGACTGGTCGGAGTCAGTATACTGTGTCTGAGTGGAGTATTCATGTTAAACTGCGGCATGGTATCTCAGTGAGCTAGCACTATAAATCGGCATCAGTCCGGACTAGTACAAGCAGCCACACACATACACGTGCATGCACGTCGCTATATAAGTGCAATAATCTTGGACGCGACGTTAAACCCAATTTCACCTCACCTCAACTCATTAGTGATTGGATATAAACCATTAATATCATATTTTTGAAATTCATTTCTTCGAGTAAATATCCGACATTTAGATTTCTAAACACTCAGTAAATAACGCCGTGAATGGTGATTTGATTTTGTAATTTGTCAAAAATGGCGAGATTTACGATACGTACCTAATTTTCAGGGGTCATTTTCAGTAATTTTGCTTTGCCTGAAATGACAGTGAGTAATATCACAGAAGAAGAAGTGAATGAGTGTGCGTAGTGTATTTTGAATTGTATTCGACTTCGAAATGAGGGTTGAAGAGGAGTGAGTGAGTTAGTGAGTTAGGTTTTACGCCACTTTTAGCAATATTCCAGCAATATCACCGCGGGGGACACCAGAAATGGGCTTCACACATTGTACCCATGTCGGGAATCGAACCCGGGTCTTCTGCGTGACGAGCTAACGCTTTAACCACGAGGCTACCCGACCGCCCCGGGGCTGAAGAGGAGAGACATATATACTACTCAAAAGAAGTTAAGGATCACCAGATTCTTTCATAATGGGAAGGTTAATCTGTCATGGCATGAGAGATTAACTATTGTAATATGAAAGAATCAGGTGATCCTTAACTTCTTTTGAGTAGTATATGTTGTTGTGGGTTTACAATCTAAATAACGTAATGTTCAACACAGACGTAGGTGAACATTCGACCGAAGCACGAGCAACTTATAATGACTTACAATCAGGAAAGTAGTCCGTCATAATCTTATATCAGGTCATCACGGACCTGGAATTCGATCTCACACATATGTTTGATTCCAGTTAATTCAAATGGGTTTCTTACCCACAGGTGTGTAAGAAAACACTTTCTTAGTAAAGTACAGATTCTAGTACTTTTTTGGAGTTGAGTCCTATCCACACTGCCACCTAGTCGCCAATTTCAACAAAGTCAGATCGCTCAACACGCTGACTTTGTGTGATGGGCCACCTTACTAGCTAGGAACCGTGGGGACTTACAATACTTTTGCTACCTGCACGGTTCCACAGCAAGATTTACACCATCCCTTCAGCTGCTGCTGATGGTACGCAATGAAGCCATTAGTTAAAATAAACAAATATTCTACGTTTAAAACTGAGGTATGAATAATGTACTTTGAATGATGTGGCCTTACATTACCTTACTAAGAAAGTGTTTTCCTAGACATAACATTTGCTACACCTGACCGCATTGTGTATTTATGACCTACTCGGCAGTCTCGCCATTTAATACACGATTTCGGTCGCTGCCTCAGGACATACTGTCTTTTTCTCTGTACGGAGGAGTCGAACACTCAGAGAACAACATGTTTGAATTTTGCAAACCTGAGATTCAGTGATTTTATTCTGATGCTTCTGCCACAAAATATCTTCTTCTTTTTTTAAAAAACCCTAAAAAAACCGTCCACCGCCCCTCACTCACTCCACTCACTCACTCACTCACTCACTCACTCACTCACTCACTCACTCACTCGGGATCGGGTGGTCAGGCTCGCTGACTTGGTTTGATGCATGTCATCGTATTTAGATTGTGTGGATCGATGCTCATGATGTCAATCACTGGTCGAGACTCGATTATATACGTACCGCCGTCATATAGCTGGAATATAACTGAGTGCGGCGTTAAACAACAAACAAACAAACAAGTTAAACTGGTCTCCTATATCTACAGATCCCAAAAGGTGCCTACTGCCCACACCGCAAGAATACAAAGTCGCTGCCATCTTTGAACGATTTCTTCCACTATTATGCCGAGATTGTAATCCCCGAGGAAAAGAGCATCGGCTTTATCAAGGTGAGATTAACAGGTGTTTAAAGTGAGCGAGTATGGTTTTACGCCGCTTTTAGCAATATTCCAGCAATATCACGGCGGGGACACCAGAAATGGGCTTCACACATTGTACCCATGTCGGGAATCGAACCAGGGTCTTCGGCGTGACGAGCGAAAGCTTTAACCACCAGGCTACCCGAACGCCCCGTTTAAACCATATTAGGACATGATTTAAAACCCCAATGCGTTGGTCATGATGAGAGTGTGTTTCGTGTGACGCCTCCTTGAACAGTATGTCGGTTGTATCGCAGCGTGTCAACCTGAGGTTGGAGGAAAGGCGGAAGTGATACAAGTATTCCACGATTGTCACTTCGGTGAAACCACCGAGCACGTGACATACCTTGAAACATTATCAGGGCAAAGATTTAAACCCATTACAGAGCTTCAGTTAAGCAGCGTATTTGTGCAGTATATACCCCAAAAATATACAAAACCCAATTACCTTCACTTAACTTGCGTATAGCAACGCATGCATTAAATGAGAACACATGTGTATAAAAACAGCTCACGTAATCTCCCAATTAAACTTTTGCAGCACACGAACAACGGAGCCACTTTCCGGAGCACAATTACGAGCTAATTTACTTTCCGAGTCAAGCCTATATATCTAGAACAGTTATATACATCTAAAACATTATTTCACTTTTTTGAAATCTTAAAATGTTTTCTAGTTTTGGGAAAACAACCCATTAGTGTGATGAATAGATGAGTAAAAAAATGGTTACCCAATGAAACATGTAATAACCCAAATAAAATAGAAACTCCAGAGTAAGAACTCAATTGCCCACACAGTTATCTGGAGCTCTGCTATTATCATAGGTTTCTACCATGCGTGAGGGAGGCACAGACACAGACACGGTAGTGTAGTATGATGCATGTCTCCTTTTCCTAACCGATACTCCCCCAAAAAGAAACGCTCGGGTGAAAATATTTACATGCGTCGCCTTCACTTTAAATGATGTGTCTGAACCGAGGCAAATGTCAAACTGAACGTAAAACTTGGCATGATGAAAAGCTGTTGTCAAATATGACTGAAATAAATGTCATACAAAGGTTCACACAGAGATGCAGGTGTTGATATAGACAGCGTGATATGGCAGCGGTAACGTCAGTACCTGTCATGGTCACCATTGACCTGTATCACAGTTCTACAACGCTACTCTTTGACTGAATGAGTCGCTGAATTAGATCCTGTGGTATTCGTGGCCATGTTTCCTGCAATGCCCGGCGAGGCTGCGGAAGCGTTTGAGTCGGCGGTTGACGTCTTCGGATACGACGATCGGGTTCATTCGATAGATGTTCAATTGGGTATACCGCTGCAATTGGACCCGTGACGATCCGGGGGAGAATAGATCTTCACTAACCCATGCTTGCCGTAAGAGGCGACTATGCTTGTCGTATGAGGCGACTAACGGGATTGGGTGGTCGGGCTCGCTGACTTGGTTGATGCATGTCATTAATCCCAATTGCGTGGATCGATGTTCATGATGTCAATCACTGGATTGTCTGACTCGATTATATACAGACCGCCATCATATAGCTGGAATATTGCTGAGTGCGGCGTTTAACAACAAACAAATAAACAAACAAATCAATTGGGCTTAAATCGGGCAGTACCACCCTTTTATACTCAACACCTCTACCATCGGCATTCAGATGTTATTCCACTCATATTTCGTGACAATTTCGAAAAATCGGTTTAAATTTATTCTAAAATAATTAATTACCAAATAGTATGTTTGGGCCATGAAATGCAATCCAAACTCACTGTAAAGTGACATTTATGAAATAAGTAACATCATCAATCATTGTAGGCGAAATATCAGGAATGTTTTTAAAGAAAATCACCTGTGCGTTTCCGTTTTGGGAAAGTATGTTTGTTTTATTGGACCCATGGGAAAAATGTCAATAGATAAACAAATTAAACACCAACATGTAATTAAACCAATATTACTCATGCAAATATTGAACGTTTACTACTTTGGTTGGGGGGCTGACAAACCTTGATATATCAGCCTCATCTGGTATTCTACAATGTTTGTTAGCAACATATAAACAAGAACAGCATACACAGGGTCATGTGTAGTCACAGCATTGACAGGGTCATGTGTAGTCACAGCATGGACAGGGTCATGTGTAGTCACATCATGCACAGGGTCATGTGTCGTCACAGCATACACAGGGTCATGTGTCGTCACAGCATGCACATGCCTGAGGTCCGCCTGATTCTATTACTGCGTCACGTTTATAAGGAGGGATATATTTTGATGTTACTACGAATCCCGGTGCGCCCCGATTATGCTTCTAGGTTTGTCGGCACCATACCCTGCTCGTGGGTTTCACCAAAGTGGTTAACATCGAAGACCTGCATCACTTCCTCCCACATTAAGCTGACACCCCGAGAGACCAAATGAAATAATGGTCACGTCCTGACATTAAATGATTAAATGTTATCTAGTTTCTTTTCATTTGCAGGAGAGTTACGACTACACAATCAACCTGGTGAGCTACAAGTACTATCCCCCGGCCCACTCCCCATACGGCACCGACGTCCTCGTGGAGGTGCACGACTACAACACAGGTGAGCTATGCAGTATATCGCCCCACAACACAAGTGGGTTACGTACAATACATTCCTACAATACAGGGGAGTTATACACCATATTTCCCTCTACAACACAGTCGAGTGATACAGCAAATCTCCCTCTACAACACAGGCGTATTATACACCATATCTCCCCCTACAACACAGAGGGGTTATACACCCTATTTCCCTCTACAACACAGTCGAGTGATACACCAAATCTCCCTACACAACAGGGGCGAATTATACACCATATCTCCCCCTCAACACAGGCGAGTTATACACCATATCTCCCTCGACAGCAAAGGCGAGTTATACACCATATCTCCCCCTACAACAGAGGCAAGTTATACATCATATCTCCCTCTACAGGGCAGACGTGTTATACATCATATCTCCCCCTACAACACAGGCGAATTATACACCATATCTCCCCCTACAACACAGGGGAGTTATACACCATATCTCCCTCTACAACACAGGCGAGTTATACATCATATCTCCCTCTACAACACAGGGGAGTTATACACCATATCTCCCCCTACAACACAGGCGAGTTATACACCATATATCCCTCTACAACACAGTCGAGTTATACACCATATCTCCCACTACAACACAGTCGAGTTATACACCATATCTCCCACTACAACACAGGCGAGTTATACACCATATCTCCCTCTACAACACAAGGGAGTTATACACCATATCTCCCTCTACAACACAAGGGAGTTATACACCATATCTCCCTCTACAACACAGTCGAGTTATACACCATATCTCCCACTACAACTCAGGCGAGTTATACACCATATCTCCTTACAACACAGGCAAGTTATACACCATATCTCCCTCTACAACACAAGGGAGTTATACACCATATCTCCCTCTACAACACAAGGGAGTTATACACCATATCTCCCTCTACAACACAGTCGAGTTATACACCATATCTCCCACTACAACTCAGGCGAGTTATACACCATATCTCCTTACAACACAGGCGAGTTATACACCATATCTCCCTACAACACAGGCAAGTTATACACCATATCTCCCTACAACACAGGCGAGTTATACACCATATCTCCTTACAACACAGTCGAGTTATACATCATACCTCCCCCAACAACACAGGCAAGTTATGCACCATATCTCCCTACAACTCAGGCAAGTTATACACCATATCTCCCTACAGTACAGGTGAGTTATGCACCATATCTCCCTACAACACAGGCAAGTTATACACCATATCTCCCTACAGTACAGGTAAGTTATACACCATATCTCCCTACAACACAGGTAAGTCATACACGATATCTCCCTACAACACAGGTAAGTCATACACCATATCTCCCTACAACACAGGTAAGTCATACACCATATCTCCCTACAGTACAGGTAAGTTATACACCATATCTCCCTACAACACAGGTAAGTCATACACCATATCTCCCTACAACACAGGTGAGTAATACACCATATCTCCCTACAACAACGGCGAGTTATACACCATATAAGCCTACAACACATGCGAGTTATACACCATATCTCATAACTTGTTTAGAAGTCATTGTCACGGGAAGCCCAGCTGGGCAGGCGAGCAGACGACGCACTAAGGGACGTAACTCTAATTTCTTACCACCCGGGCTGATATCAAACGGCCATTCAAAATGCATTGACAAGCCATTTGAACCCGGCGGTGGGTGTAATACGGGTCTGGTTATGACACCCCCTGTGATATGACCGTCTCTATGTTGGCTCTATCGCTCATGCAAACTGCATCATAGCATTGATAGGTATATGATAAAACAAACTAGTGAGGTACTTGTGTAGATGTATACAGCGAGCCTAAAACGCATTCGAGGATATACAAGTATCGATAACATGTTGTCACATTGAGTCAACTAGTCTGCGGCTAGTCTGCTGCTAGTCTGGTGCTAGTCTGTTCCTCCGCTCCAGGTGTGGCCTATATAACTGACCCTATGCTGGGCAACTGTTCCGCCAGGCGTATTGAAAGTACCAGTTTGGACGCCCATGTCATCAACGGCAACGACGTCCGCATCCGAACATCGCAGGAATTTTTCAACTTCAACAACGCAAGTTACCACTACATCGGAGAGGTAAGTCTGTGTTAAATGATCGTCTATTGAAATCAGTTTTGTTTGTTTGTTTGTTGTTTAACACCGCACTCAGCAACATTACAGCTATATGACGGCTGTCTGTAAATAATCGAGTCTGGACGAGACAATCCAGTGACTGATGTCATGAGCATCGATCTACGCAAATGGGATACGATTCCATGCATCAACCAAGTCAGCGAGCCTGACAACCCGATCCCGTTAGTTGCCTCTTACGATAAGCATAGTCGTTTCATAGTCAGAAGACCCGTTTAACCTAAGTAAGGAACGTGTCAGCATTAGGGTAAGTAGATGTAGCCACTAGGCTACCCATCTGCCCAGAGATGACAGGAAACGTTGCGTATCTTATGTTTCTATGTATACGTTCTCGTCCGCAGCGGACCGTGCGGAACGTGAAGTGCGACGTGTGGACTGCGTTGCGGCATGACTGGCCGGCAGGGGTCACGGGGGTCAACTCCACGTTTGAGTGGTACTTTGCTCAGGTACTGACTGACCACAGGTGACTCAATATATGTATAGCGATATATTTGAGAGTGAGTGAGTGTTGTTTTACGCCGCTTTTAGCAATATTCCAGCAATATCACGGCGGGGAGCACCAGAAATAGGCGTCACACATTGTACCCATGCAGTAAATCGAACCCGGGTCTTCGGTGTGACGGGAGAACGCTTTAACCACAAGGCATAACTCAATGCATAACTCACGGAAAAGGATAAGAAATAGCTAAATGTCAAGGTAGCACTGGCAGCTGCAACACTGTGTAGGGATTATCCAAAGCCGCATCAGCAGTGTTGTAGCTGTTCCAATTAGCGCTGGTTGATGTTGATCGTTGTTTAACGCCGCACTTAGCAATATTCCAGCTATATGACCGTGGTCTGTAAATAATCGAGTCTGGACCAGACAACCCAATGATTGACATCATGAGCATCGATCTACGCAATTGGGATATGATGACGTGCATCAACCAAGTCAGAGAGTCTGACCACCCGATCCCGTTATTCGCCTCTTACAACAAGCATGCTCGCCTTTTATGACAAGCACTTGTTGCTGAAGACGTATTCTAACCCGGATCTGAACGGGTCGCTAGTAGTAATAGTGGTGGTGGTGGTAGTTGTAGGAGCAGTAGTTGTAGTAGTAGTGGTACTGGTGGTGGTGGTAGTTGTAGTAGCAGTAGTTGTAGTAGTAGTGATACTGGTGGTGGTGGTAGTTGTAGTAGCAGTAGTTGTAGTAGTAGTGGTACTGGTGGTGGTGGTAGTTGTAGGAGCAGTAGTTGTAGTAGTAGTGGTACTGGTGGTGGTGGTAGTTGTAGTAGCAGTAGTTGTAGTAGTAGTGATACTGGTGGTGGTGGTAGTTGTAGTAGCAGTAGTTGTAGTAGTAGTGATACTGGTGGTGGTGGTAGTTGTAGTAGCAGTAGTTGTAGTAGTAGTGGTACTGGTGGTGGTGGTAGTTGTAGCAGCAGTAGTTGTAGTAGTAGTGGTACTGGTGGTGGTGGTAGTTGTAGCAGCAGCACTAGTTGTAGATGTAGTAGTGGAATTATTACCAAACACCTTCCGCAAGTACAGTAAGGTGTGTGCACGAATTCCTTCCCTTGCATGACGCCAATTTTAGCATCCTCGCTCTTTGAAATAAAAGCTGTCGTATGTTCATGTAACTTGTTGTCACCAAAACTAATGATTAATATGAATAATTTTATGATTAAAGCCACACTAACAATTTTATTCACTGGATGTTTTCTTATTGTACATAAGACTACACTGTTTTTGTTTCTTGTTTAACGATGCATTCAGCAATATTCCAACTATATGACGGCGGTCTGTAAATAGTGAGTGAGTGAGTGAGTATGGTTTTACGCCGCTTTTAGCAATATTCCAGCAAGATCACGGCGGGGGACACCAGAAATGGGCTTCACACATTGTACCCATGTCGGGAATCGAACCCGGGTCTTCGGCGTGACGAGTTAACGCTTTAACCACTAGGCTACCCGACCGCTCGGTCTGTAAATAATCAAATCTGGACCAGACAATCCAGTGATTGATATCAGCTGGAATACGATGACATGCATCAACCACCCGATCCCGTTAGCCGCCTCTTCCAAGCATTGGTTGTTGAAGGCCTTTTCTAATCCGGATCTTCAGTAGTAGTAGTAGTAGTAGTAGTTTTAGTAGTAGTAGTAGTAGTAGTTTTAGTAGTAGTAGTAGAGGTAGTAGCAGCAGCAGTAGTAGTAATAGTAGTATTTTTGGTAGTAGTAGTATTAGTGGTAATAATAGAAGTAGTAGTAGCAGTAATAGTAGTAGCAGAAGGGGTAGTAGAAGTAGAGGTATTTTTTGTAGTGGCAGTAGAGGTAGCAGTAGTAGTTGTAGTAATAGTAGTAGCAGCAGTTGCAGAAGTAGTGGTAGTAGTAGTTTTAGTAGTAGCAGTAGTAGTAGTAGTATTTTTGGTAGTAGTAGTAGTAGTAGTAGCAGTAGTAGCAGTGTGTCTGACGGGTGCTATACGCTGCTGCAGCCCCAGGTGACGGAGGAGATCGGCTACAATAACGCGGAGACCAAGGTGCCCGTCATGCTTGAGGTCACAGTCGCCATGGTAAGTTATTGTGTTTTTACCTAAACGTCCTCTGATTTCACATACACTGCTGGATCTTTGTTTTTATATTAAACTGTGGAACATACGGGCTTCACAGAACAGTTCTTGCCTTTATCACATTCATTGCCATGGCAACAATACAACAAAGTTAACATCATGCAGCGTATTGAAGCTCTGACCGACAGTCTGCTTCAGTTTGAAAATACAGTCAAGTCCCGTTAATCCGACATGGTTGGTTGCACATGAGTATGTCTGATTAACGAGTATGTCGGATAAATGAAATTAAGTGGTATGTATATTCGTGATCGAAAATCGGACAACTACACGATAGATAACTCCTGCAAACACGTAATAAAAAATGAAATATGAAATAATCAAATTGTTGTTACAGTGTTAGCGGAATAAGTTTTCTAGGCATGCAACCTCTAAAGCTTAACACAATATTACTGTTGACTGATTCAAAATACTTTTGAAAGAACTGTCTGGAATGGATGTGTACTTCCTGTTATCTCATTGGTCGGTCAAAGTTCGCGAAAGATCATCCTGACGTGACCTGTAATGGGATGTCCTCAGCGGAAGCTGATTTTTTTAGATAAATTTAGCATGTGATTTTTTAATAGTGAGTTTGGTTTAACGCCTCTTTTAACAGTATTCCAGTTATATCACGGCGTGTCAGCATAATGTGGGAGGAAAGCCCGAAGTGATGCAGGTCTCAAACGTTTACTACTTCGTTGAAACCCACGAGCACGGGTATGGTGCTGACAAACCTAGAAACATAATTGGGGCGAACTGGGATTGGAACCCACAATCATAGGTTTCTGGTATGCCCAAGGGACGCAACTCGCGGCCCCCTTAGACGACTGGGCCACCCGTGCCCCCGGTCCCTCAGATGAATCGGACACATTGGTAAACGGGGAGCCGGCAACTAAAAATATGTGCGATGAAACCCAAACGCTATAAATGTGCCACGTGTGATGCAGACTCAACAGAACGCCCACTTCGTGTACAACTTCTACGACTACGACGAGGACCAGCCTATGATTTGGAATTTCGACATCAGCCCGTGTTTCAACTACCTTCACAGAAAGTCCTTCAAGTTCGCCCTCCCCGGTCAGTGCCCGACAGCCTGGAGCACGAGGGGTACAGACGGTTTTATGCCCCCGGCTCGTGGTATAAAAACTAACGCCAGACGCAATAAACCCCATGTACCCCTCGTGATCCTGCTTCATCGAATTTATCTTACCGACAAGTTATAATATGACATTGTAAAGTAATTCAAATAAATTCCAAATTGATAGAAAACAGATGTTCGATTGAACAGAGGTGAGCTTCCGCTATGTCACGTGACGTCCATTGGCTCGGAAAAAGAGTCTGGCTTTTTGCTTTGAAGCGGGGTATAAAGGATTTATTCTGTCTCTCGGAAATGCACGTGCAGCCTATAGTGCTCGTGGCAGGGTAGAAAAGATTTATTTCCCCCGCTGAGAAATTTATTAAAATCCAAGGCCGGTAACAAAGTATTTTATCAAAATCACCTGCCATTCTGACAAGGAGGTATGATAGACGCAGTTATACACGTGTTAAGTTTAACAAGAACATCTTCACAACCATCAATTCTCTTACTTCTAACTTCTGGTGCCCCCGCTGTGATATTTTTGGAATACTGCTAAAAGCGGCGTAAAACCGAACTCACACTCTTACTTCTCGCTTGGAATATTCCAGGCAGCTTCCGTCAGGTCGTGAAGGTTGATGAGGACTTGTTCAAGTATTACCTTATAATGGAGGTACAGGCTGTTACAGACGTCACCCCTCTCAGGATCAACAACATCAGGGTAAGGTAGGCTACAAACAGGTACAAAGGTTGGAGACTCGTGAAGATCCGGGGTAGAATTCAGCAACCCATGCTTGCCGTAAAAGGCGACTATATGCTTGTCGTAAGAGGCGACTAACGGGATCGGGTGGTCAGACACGATGACTTGGTTGATGCATGTCATCGTATCCCAATTGCGTGGATCGATGCTCATGATGTCGATCACTGGATTGTCTGGTCCAGACTCGATTATTTACAGACCGCCGTCATACTGCTGGAATATTGCCGAGTGCGGCGCTAGGCAACAAATAAACAAACAAAGGTGTCCAAAAAGCCTCTAAGCGCTACGACGTTTTAAACCACGTCGTGAACCGACACTTAAATATGCGTGCCGCTTCACAAAATGTCCTAACTTTACACCTTATCGTAAACAACCTCCTAACCTACGATAGGTTAGGTCCACATGTAATTAGCCTTCGACATCCTAAGTCAGCGCCTTATATGGCGACACTTTTGAGAATTGAAGAAATTTTGAACAGGAGAAACTTTTGTCGAGAGCGAAGTTTCAGGGACAGGACTAAGTAGATAAGCGAGTGTGTACGTTGGGTTTCACGCCTCTTTTAACTGCATTCCAGTTATATCAGGGCGTGTCAGCTTAACGTGGGAGGAAATCCCGAATTAATGCAGGTCTCCCGACTCCCGAGCATGGTGCTGTCAAACCAGGAAACATAATCGGGGAGAAACGGGAATCGAACCCACAATCATATGTACGCGCCCAAGCAACGAAACAGTGCACGATGACTTGCGGCACCTTAGACGACTGGGCCACCCATACCCCAAGTAGATAAAATAATGTTACTACGATGTGTTCCTATTATTGCAAGGCGTGATGCTCGTTGTTTCCTCGTCACAGGTAGACTACGATCAAACCGATCTCATTGTGTCCTTCACCTTGCTAGACGTTCCGCCGCTCTCTGGTGACGTCACAAGCCACGTGATCGAAGTAACTCTGGCGGCTGCAGTCACGAAACTGACTACGGCCGTCAACCAGGGGAAATTCAAATTGCGGATTGTGTCTCCAAGTTTAAATGGCGTAAGCTGATTTCTTACACTGTTCACAGAATAATGTGCGAAACTAAACGAAGCTTTGACTTGGAGTATAATAATGTTACTGCGAGCTTCCGCTGCAACTACTGCTATTTTAACAAACCCAACCACTACTGCTACAGCTACTACAGCTACAACTACTACAACGACTGCTTATGTCACAACTACTCCTTCCCATGTAACAAATGTCATATTTGGGATAACACTTTCTTAGTAAACTACAGATTCTAGTTCTTTTGGGGGTTGAGTCCCATCCGACAAAGTCGCCAGTACACAAAATCAGCGATCTAACCCACTCAGTCACCGAAAAAAATGAATGTCAGACAACTGGTATTCTAGATCACGTACTTTGTGTACCCCTCTACCAGTTATCTGACTTTCATTTTTGTGGAAACCTCGGTGACTGAGTGGGTTAGAGCCCTGACTGTGTGTGCTCGCGAATAGGTGCCTCAATCTGTCAGTGTGGGTTCGAATATCGGATGGGACCAAACCCATTAAAGTACTAGAATCCGGCACACAAACACGCACAAGCACGTTGCTATACAAGTACTAGAGTCCGGCACACAAACACGCACATGCACGTTGCTATACAAGTTCTATCATCTTTTGCTACTGCAACTTCAACATCACATCGTATCCAAATAGCATAGATCGATGCTCGTGATGTCAATCACTGGATTGTCAGGTCTAGACTCGATTATTTACAGGCTGGAATATTGCAGAGTGCGGCGTTAAACAACAAATAAACAAAATTTAACATCAAGTACCACTACTACTACCACAACCACCACCCCTACCACCACCACCATCACCGCCACCCTTGCCAGCGTTACCAACGTAGTTTTTTCCGAAAATAATTTTCTACTACCATGTCCATTTGATAATGATATTCGTCAGACTCTTAATAAATTACCCAATATATTTTAAAACCCTGCTTTTGTCAATAATACACAAGATGCAAAATAATGATATTAATGTAAAATGCCCCAGATGTCGCCGGCTTTGGCAAAATGTGTTTTATACTGTATCCCCGGCGAAAACGCTTTTTAAACGTTGTTTAACCAAATTAATTTTATCAAAGTTCCATTTTTTCAAATTTAATACACTTGCTGTACATTTTATAATTATGCTAAAAATATAGAAAATAAGTAATACATGTTTTAGTGTATAGTGTCTCCTCGGCCTGTACTGGCCTTGCATAAACTAAAAACATGTTTTAATTATACAACTTTTTTTTATGCGTGACACTTATATAAACAATTCATTCATTCATTCATTCATTCATTCATTCATTCGCTGTTTTCCAGCCGGTGCAGATGACAGCCAAGGCCTACAGCTCCTCCAGCTGGGACGTGACGGTCAACGAGGACACAGCCACACCCGGCGTGGGCTATAGTGCAGGTGGGTACCGCTGATCTACCTCTACCATGCCCCGTCCCAGCGGTTTACAACCCTGGAGTTGGCTATAGAGCAGGTGGGTACCGCTGATCTACCTCTACCATGCCCCGTCCTAGCGGTTTACAACCCTGGAGTGGGCTATAGAGCAGGTGGGTACCGCTGATCTACCTCTACCATGCCCCGTCCCAGCGGTTTACAACCCTGGAGTGGGCTATAGAGCAGGTGGGTACCGCTGATCTACCTCTACCATGCCCCCACCCCAGCGGGTTACAACCCTGGAGTGGGCTATAGTGCAGGTGGGTACCGCTGATCCACCTCTACCATGCCCCACCTTAGTGGGTACAACCCTGGAGTGGGCTATAGTGAAGGTGGGTACCGCAGATCCACCTCTACCATGCCCCACCCTAGCGGGTTACAACCCTGGGGTGGGCTATAGTGAAGGTGGGTACCGCTGATCTACCTCTACCATGCCCCACCTTAGCGGGTACAACCCTGGAGTGGGCTATAGTGAAGGTGGGTACCGCTGATCCACCTCTACCATGCCCCACCTTAGCGGGTACAACCCTGGAGTGGGCTATAGTGAAGGTGGGTACCGCAGATCCACCTCTACCATGCCCCCAACCTAGCGGGTTACAACCCTGGGGTGGGCTATAGTGCAGGTGGGTACCGCTGATCCACCTCTACCACGCCCCACCCTAGCGGGTTACAACCCTGGAGTGGGCTATAGTGAAGGTGGGTACCGCTGATCCCCCTCTACCATGCCCCCACCCTAGCGGTTTACAACCCTGGAGTAGGCTTTAGTGCAGGTGGGTACCAAAGACCGCACCTTTATCACTATCACACCCAAACCCTACCCACCACGTAACATTTACAACGCTCTTATGAAGCACAGTTCCGTGAGTATAACTTCTTAGTCGCCTACGGCTTTCAACGTGATTGAGTATATGTTAGGAGAGGAAAATCCAGAGTAGAACAATAGGGCGCCGGCCCCGGGGGTTAATAATTTTTTTGGGGGGTGAGGGGTGGGGGTTGGGGTGGGGGGGGGGGGGGGGGTGGGGGTGGGGGTAGAATCTGAGAACAATATTTTTTCAGATGACCAAATGGCCACCCCCTAAGTCAGAGAAGAAGAGAAATGTAAGAACGTTTGGTGGCGTTTTAATTTAGTGTTCTTTTGTATCGAAGAAAAACTAATGTCACCATATCCCTCTGTCCGTGCATGTGTAAATGTTGTGACAGTCTGTTTCAAGCAGGTCACAAGTAGTGCATAAACATTGAGACCTGGATATCTTTTCCTACGAATATTGCTTAACGCTGCGTCAACAAATAACAGTTCTTCACGGCGATTCTGTTTAACGCCACATGGGCTCTATCACCGATATTAACAGCGATACTGCTTAACACATCAGCACTATCACACACACACACACACACACACACACACACACACACACACACATATATATATCACCGACATTCTGCTTATAAACTTAGCACAGTGTTACCTGCATTGCATTAGGTTCCTGACAACCTCGGGTAAAACTGGTAATCAGATCATCTTCCAAACTTACAATTGACGTTTTATAAACTGGCCTCTTGATATGAACAGAAAGTAACGTTTTTGTACATGTACATGAAAGTGCCATGACTTGAATCGAACCCTCAACCTCACATATTGTATTAAGCTTTTTAACCCACCGTTTTCCCACTGGGGCAGCTGAAGAAAACTTGTTCAATTTTACATGTCATAACTCCAGCTGGTCCATGTTGCACGCGGTTTTTCTCTCGCAGGCTTTGATCGAATTCCCTTTATACTGCGACACGCTGTATTGTTTCACTACAAGGCATCTCGAAGGTTATTTTTTCTGGTATTTCTTGCATTTAGACGGTTCGTAAGTTGGATAAAACACTTCTTCTCGGTTTTGGTTAAACTGTTTAATCTTAATCTCGCGAAAAGCAAGCTCGTGGCTTTACAATTTTAACCCAAGCCCCGGGGTTGTATCCTATACACCCCATCAGCACTATCACCGATGTTCACGGCGACGCCACCCGGGTTAGAATTGGTCTTTAGAAACCCAAGCTTGCCATACCAGGCGACTTTGCTTGTCGTTAGAGGCGACTAACGGGATCAGGGAGTCAGGCTCGCTGACTTGTTTGATGCATGTCATCGTATCCTAATTGCGTGGATCAACGCTCATCATATTTATCACTGGATTGTCTGGTCCAGACTTGATTATTCAAAGTCCGCCGTCATATAGCTTGAATATTGCTGAGTGACCGCGTAAAACAACAAACAAACAAAAACAAAACAGGGCGATTTTGTTTAACATCCTATCTGCACTATTACAAATACTCACGGCGATTGTGCTTAAGGCCACATCAGCACGAGCACCGATATTCACGATGATTCTGCTCTAAAATGCAACACCAGCAGTATCACAGATATCCACAGCGATATCCCGGCGGCTTCAACGACTGGGCCCCAGTGTACCCGATTATTTCCGTTCTACAGTGTAGTTAAGAACATGACCTTGTTCTGTTGCAGGGGGCGCGGGTGGCCCAGTCGTCTAAGGCGCCGCGATTCGCTGTGCAGAGTTGCGTCCCTTGGACACGCCAGAAACCTATGATTGTGGGTTCGAATCCCGGTTCGCCCCAATTATGTTTCTAGGTTTGTCAGCACCATGCTCGTGGGTTTCACCGAAGTGGTAAACGTCTGAGACACTGCATCACTTCGGGCTTTCCTCCCACATTAAGCTGACACGCCGTGATATAACTGGAATACTGTTAAAAGCGGCGTTAAACCCAACTCACTCACTCACTTGTTCTGTTGCAGGGGTCATGGGCGGCACGGCAGTCGGCCTCATTCTGGTCAGCTTCATCATCGGGTTCATCGTTCTCTACGTCGTTTACCGTGTTCGCGGGGGAGCGTTCACGCCCAAAAAGTTCGACGATCATTTACCGGTTATTACATAGTGTTAATAAAACAGTTTGTAAAAAAACTTACAGATTATCCAGTTCTTATTAGAAAAAAGATGATACTTAGCAAAACGAGGATTGATGCTAATTATTCATAAAACTTTGAAAACGGTTCACATATGTTGTAAAAAAGTACCATAATGTACTAGTTCTGTACACAAATGTATGTCTAACATATTCCCCGTTTGATAAGCTGATATTAACTGCTCATTAACCATACCCGACCTCTGTTATATCATGCATCCCAATAATGAATGAGTGAGTGAGCCGGGCTTAACGCCACTTTGAACAGTATTCCAGTTACATCGGGACGTGTGAACTAAGTGTGGGAGGAGTGAGTGAATGAGGTGGGTTTAACGCCACTTTGAACAATTTTCCAGTTATATAGGGAGGTGTGAACTTAGTGTGGGAGGAGTGAGTGAGGTGGGTTTAACGCCGCTTTGAACAGTATTACAGCTAAATCACGGAGTGTCAGCTTAAGGTGGGAGGGAAGCCCAAGGTGATGCAGGTCTCTGGCGTTTACCGCTTTGATGAACCCACAATCATAGGTTTCTGGCGTGCCCAACGAAATCATCTCTGTTGCGCCTTAGACGACTGGGTCATCCATACCCCCAACCCCACCCCCACCCCCACCCCCAACATGAGACGAGAAACTGACAGCCAACATGTTCAGGTTCATCCTTCATTAAGTTATTTGCGCTGTAATTAATCTGTTGCCCGTCCTGCGAAAGGTGCAACCAATCGGCGACCTTGCTACATTGCGCTCATTATTCATAGTTTGTTTTATTTAAAATGTATCAGGTTACATTTTTTCTTGTCGTTTTCACGCCGCAGTATTCCAACTTTATGTGTACATAAGCATGTTTGGCTCAGACAAACCAGTGATTGATAATATGAGTTTGTTTGTTGTTTAACGCAACACTCAGCAATAGTCCAGCTATATGACGGCGGTCTGTAAATAATAGAGTCTGGACCAGACAATCCCTTGATTGACATCATGAGCATCGATCCACTCAATTGGGGTACGATGACATGCATCGAGCCTGACCACCTGATCCCGTTAGTCGCCTCTTACGACAAGGGTTGCAGAAGACCTATTCTACCCCGGATTTTCACAGGCTGATTACAGTTGGGTGAAGCTCGGGCCCACTGACAGTCTCAGCTGACTTGATCGTGTTAATGCAAGTCAGTAAAAACACAGATTGTTTGTCTGATAAATCAGATTGTACTATGCATATCAATCTGTCAGTTGCTGACAGCCATACTAAGACACGGACACAGTCACAGTTTGACAAAACTCTCCAAGTAGGTCATGACAGAACCAAAATGGTCATGAGATCGCGGAGTTGCTTAAGCCACTTCTTTCAACTGTGTATGTGTTAGTTGATGAAAGTCGCATACACTCACTATGCTAATCACGGGAAGTTTGTTGTTTAACGATACATTAAGCAATATTTCAGTTACATGACAGCGATCTATGGATAATCGACCCTGGACCCGACAATCCAGTCATTGAAACGATGAATTCGTTGCCTCAAACAACTAGCAACAGGGTGCTGGCAACACATTCTGCCCGCATCCCCAGTGGGTCCAAACATAACATAATTTTACACTTTCAAGATGATAATAAGACTCTTTAATATCACAGAGCGAAAGACACACACAGCACCAACAAAACTAGAATGACAGCTCCAAGGAATGTGAAACACTTTAGCCATAGTCGAGACATGACGCCGTATATGTTCTCATGGCCTCCGAAGGCATAGGCAATGCGTTGATTGATGGTATGAGGGTGTGCAGTCCCTATAGACCGGGGGAGCGGGTAGCGGTGTGACAGGTACTTGCTCTCTGTCGTACGACGGTACTTGTAGGAGACGGGATAGTTCAGCTTTATTGTGGCATTCAAGTCTGAAAGAATAAATAAGAGCTAGAATGATGCAGTTTTAAATGAACCCATGCAAGTTCCTATGGTCAAAGCCAGGTCGAAAACACTGCAGCAAAGCACCAACAGCCCTGACTTACACAGCTGGAAGTCCAGTCTTCCAGTGGGCACTGACTGATGGGTCCTCACCAGAGGATCCAGAAGTCCAGTCTTCCAGTGGGCACTGACTGATGGGTTCTCACCAGAGCATCCAGAAGTCCAGTCTTCCAGTGGGCACTGACTGATGGGTTCTCACCAGAGCATCCAGAAGTCCAGTCTTCCAGTGGGCACTGACTGATGGGTTCTCACCAGAGGATCCAGGGTGTATGACGATTTTTCTGTCAACCTCCGAGAATTTGTGATGCTCTTTTTAAAAGGATTCTGAGGTTAATCGTACCATTTATTATCCATACTGTTAGAAATAACCCAGTAAAAAAAAATCGTATGTGCACTAGTGCAAATATGACTTCTCGCACACCTGTGTATTGTTTCCGTCACCAGGACAGCATTGTTGCATAATTCAAATCTTAATATTTTTTTTAATTTGAAGTTTACACGATATACGGCTTTTCCATTGGACGCGAGGTCGGTCACATGACCGCGAAATTGACGTTCATAAGTGTATGACACTGACGGACGACTTCCACATTCCTGGGGAAACCCCTGGGAATTCCCTAGCACGAAAACATGAATAAGCGTTCTTTCTGATCATTAAGAACCTCAATTTATTCTTGGTCTCAGCGTTTCAGTATACTTTGAGAAATGTCAGAGAGCGTGACTGCATGATTGTTCACGAATATCCTCGCTACGGCCCATCCTAATGAACAAACGAAGAAATGCACATCTAAACTATCGTAGTATCGACTCGATCCGTGCCCAGGCTGACATTGACCGTCTCCAGCAATCTATGAATTTACCTTTGTGTCTGTTTGACGCATGTTTATTCACCTTTCAAGGATCGGCCAGTTGATCAATGATGACTAACACATGTAACCGATACAGGTTCATTAACAACTTCGGAAATCTCTCCCGTCACGTTTATCGTGTCGGCCATTTTGACGTCTTGTACTTGATGTAAATGTATTACGACACGCTGTCATTGTGACTGACTTACTGAAGTAGTTCTTTACAGACCTTTCTCATCTAATGAGGATATGATTTGAACACATGTGCTGTGGAAGATGTTTCTGAAGAGCAAGTTGTGCATCCATACGCCCATGTCACCTCTCTTTTTGAGGAACTATTTTACTCCGCGATACAGCTGGTTGTTGTATGGCTGTCAGTGTAAACATGAAGTCACACGTACTAAATAAAATTGTGTTTAGATCTAGGCATACATTCTTTGAGGTAAGAAATTGTGATAAAAAATTATAAGAATTGACTTTCACTTTGTGTGAAAGCTCGGACGTTCATACAGTTTGGCCCTCACTCTATAAAGGTTGATACTCCAATGAACTCAAACAAAGTGAAGGTCAATTCTTAATTGTGACGTAAGGTCTGAATGATATTACACTAGAAAAGACGTCATAGCTGAAGATTGTTGACGTCATTCGGCAAATTGTGGTTTTCTATGAAAGCAGTGGTGATCAGTGTATTTTTCTTAAGGGGAGCTCAAACTGGGTTTAACGTGGTGTCCAAGATTATTGCACTTATATCACGACGTGCATGCACGCATGTGTGTGCGTGTGTCTGCTTGTACTAGTCCGGACTGATGCCGATTGATAGTGCTGGCACGCTCTACCACTAGACCACGGAGGGAGGCGGTCAAATGGGTAATAAAGAAATTATAACACTTATATGTGTGTCATACAGATTTTACGAAACTCTTGCAAAAATTCATGATTACCCTTGCTCTTGCTCGCGAAAAAAAGAATTCTGACACTCGTTTCGCAAAATCAGTATGAGAGACATGCTGTATAATAATCTCCATTAACCTGTGAAACAAACAAAGATGGTTTGGTGAAAAAATAACGGCCTTGCTGCTCTTCTGCAAAATCCGTTGTACTAAGTTGCACATTTTTTCATGAAGAGTTCTTGTTTCAATCTTCACTGCAAAATAAGGATGGAGTTGTACAATGTTCAGGGGTGAGAATCTTCCGAGGATCCGCAATTTTCCGCAGATCTCAGTGACCACAAATTTGTTTAAATCTCATGGCTTCCCCCTAAATACCCCAAAATTATGGACCACGCTCCATTACAAAGAAGTTTCAGCTGAAAAGTACAAGTCAGTATGGTTTTATGCAGCTTTATGGGAATGTTGACTGACCTATGTCCAGACAGCAAGACTTGATGAGGATGCGACACATGGGACAGGGGAACGTGGTACTGTTGTTGGATTTCTGTGCCAGCTGTCGCAGACACGTCTCACAGAACACATGATGGCATGGGAGGCAGGCGTGGGGGTGCAGAAACATGTCCAGACACACGGGACATGTGTGTTCCTCCAGAATGTCCTCCCCAAGGACGCTGTCATCAGAGGAAGTCTGTAATGTCCAAAATGGTTCAGAGTCAGTGGAGGTCGAAAGGTGAAATCTTAACATTAATACTCTTGTATTGAAGTTAGTTTGTTTGCTGTTACGCCATTCACAGCAATATTCGAGCTCTATGATGGCGGTCTGGAAATAATCAAGTCTAGACCAGACAATCCAGTGATTGACTTCATGAGCATCGATCCATGGAATGCATCAACCAAGTCAGCAAGCCTGACCATCTGATCCCATTTGTCGCCTCTTCTAACCCGGATCTTCACAAGTGCAATGAGAACTGGTTCAGAATTGTAGCTCACAAATACTACTCGTCAATAAGGAATACCATTATCAGATGTTTCCTTGTCTTCAGCACTATTTTATCTCGGACAAGCACAAATTTAAAGAAATTCATATACTTCTCAGCATTTGCTATACAGGACAAAAAGTTGAAATTTTAGTCAAAGGCGTGGTCCTCAAATGTTGATAAGTATATATTCCTATTCCCTAAAGAATGTTTCAATGGTTACAAGTCTTCCTCATGACAGAACCTCCCTACCTGCTCCTCCTCCAGCTGCTGGAGCCGGTTTAGAGTCCCCATGACAAAACTCTCCCTCTTGTCGTCGTCAACAAACTGTGCTCCCCTCCGCCTGGACCGCAACATCTTCTTTGTTTGGCATGGTTGCACACTACAGCCATTCTCACTTCCACCCTGGCATAGGGTCGTCTGACTGACGCTGGACGATCTGTCACCAACACCAATGCCTTGCTTTGTGGTTCTGTGAACATGGTCACACCCATGTCGGACAACTGTCTGACTGACATTGATTTGTTTCAATGAAGCACAAGCTGGATTAATTACTGACTGTTTATGCAGAGAATCACCAAACCCCTCACACATCCAATCAGAGTTCACTCCAACATCAAGACTGAACAAACGATCTATCTCAACAGCACTCGGAGTGAAGGAGGGATGTTCGTCAGCAGCATTTGCAGTAATGACATCCCACCTGGGTGGCTGGTCTGCTTCATCCTCACCACACACGAGCCCCCCAGTCCTGGACACCAGTCCCTGGGTGTCATCTCCTGATTCATCTAACCATCCCACTGGATCACAGCCCCGGGGTAGTGTCCCCTGGTTTTGTGAGGCCCCCACCACACTTCTGCTGCCCTCAGTACTCTCCTGACAAGAAGTCAGTTTTAGATCAATGGAAGTTCCTTTGATGAGACGACTATTTGATCTTGCCATCCTGCTGCTGAAATGTTGCTGCTGTGCTGCCTGTTTCAGCAACATTTTATCCACTCGGTCGCGAAGTATGTGAACTCCTGGCAGGGTCTGTTCACCACAAGGGCAGTGTGTGGTGTTCACAAAATCAAAAGACCCAAGTCTGCCATTACACTTTGGGCAGTTTAGCTTCCCCTTGATCCACAGAGCCTGAAACATTAAGAGAAACATGTCACAGCTTGACCTTGATACACAGGGCCTGAAACATTGAGTGAAACATGTCACTGCTGGACCTTGATCCACAGGGCCTGAAACATTGAGAGAATTATATCACTGTTGGACCTTGATCCAGAGGGCCTGAAACATTGAGAGAAACATGTCACAGCTGGATCTTGATCCACAGGGCCTGAAACATTGAGAGAAACATGCCACAGCTGGATCTTGATCCACAGGGCCTGAAACATTGAGAGAATTATATCACAGCTTGCCCTTGGTCCACAGGGCCTGAAACATTGAGAGAAACATGTCACAGCTGGACCTTGATCCACAGGGCCTGAAACATTAAGAGAAACATGTCACAGCTGGATCTTGATCCAGAGGGACTGAAACATTGAGAGAATTATATCACAGCTTGCCCTTGGTCCACAGGGCCTGAAACATTGAGAGAAACATGTCACAGCTGGACCTTGATCCACAGGGCCTGAAACATTGAGAGAATTATATCACTGTTGGACCTTGATCCACAGGGCCTGAAACATTGAGAGAATTATATCACTGTTGGACCTTGATCCACAGGGCCTGAAACATTGAGAGAAACATGTCACAGCTGGATCTTGATCCACAGGGACTGAAACATTGAGAGAAACATGCCACAGCTGGATCTTGATCCACAGGGACTGAAATAGAAACATGTCACAGCTGGATCTTGATCCACAGGGACTGAAACAGAAACATGTCACAGCTGGATCTTGATCCACAGGGCCTGAAACATTGAGAGAAACATGTAAAAACTGGATCTTGATCCACAGGGCCTGAAACATTGAGAGAAACATGTCACAGCTGGATCTTGATCCACAGGGACTGAAACATTGAGAGAAACATGCCACAGCTGGATCTTGATCCACAGGGACTGAAACAGAAACATATTACAGCTGGATCTTTTTTCAAACACAACAGCAGTTGGTGTGGGTGTGTATGTAAATAAAAAATTATTAAATCAGAAAGATAGGATTTAGGTAGGGGTGGGGTCTCTCGTGCCCCATCCCTATAATACATGAGACCCTAATAAAGTTTCATGGGCAAAATACGTCCCCAATCCTAGCATCCCATATTCATGGTAATAGCTGACAAACATTTGTTGGATTGTTTGTTGTTTAACGCCACCCTCAGCAATATTCAAGCTATAACACGGCAGTCTGTAAGTAATCAAGTTTGGACCAGACAATATAGTGACTGACATCATGAGCATTGATCCACGCAATTGGGATATGATGACAAGCATCAACCAAGTCCGAGAGACCTGACCTTCAGTTACCTCTTCTGACAAACATAGTCAGTCACCTTTAACTGCAAGCATGGATTGCTGAGGCACTATTCTACCCCGGATTTTCACAGGTGTATCTGACCAACATAAGGATCGAGTGGTCCCAGTGTGTGGCCTTGCTGATTCTGGAAGGATTCGATACTCAGGATATCATTTGTTGACGTGCCAAGTCTAGGCTCCTTCACATCCTGGTGAAGAATTGGTCTTCAGCAACCCATGCTTGTCAAAAGAGGTGACTATTCGGACTAACCAGATCAGGTGGTCAAGCTTGCTGACTTGGTTGATGCATGTCATCGTATCCCAATTGCTTGGATCGATGCTCATGATGTCAATTACTGGATTGTCTGATCCAGACTTGACATATAGCTGGAATATTGCTGGTATGAAAGAGTATACAGACAAACAAACTTACAGGCTGCCAAGATAGCAACGTCAGTCAAGTTCATCACAGTTACCATGGTTATAGTGGTCATAAACTTATCACATACACAAGATGCTCAAAGAAATGAAAAAACATTTCAGCCAGATTGTATCACAACTACACCTGATTGATAGCTTCCCGTATCCATGACAACTCTTCATTCTCCATAGAGATGTACCAAACTGACAAGGTGGAGGAACTTGAACATGATGATTCTGTGGACAGAATGAGTGAGTGAGAGAGTGAGTTAGTTTGGTTTTACGCCGCTTTGAGCAATATTCTAGTAATATCAAGGCAGTGGGGGGACACCACACTCTGTACCCATGTCACGAGTCGAACCCGGGTCATCAACTTGACGAGCAAATGCTTTAACCATGTTAACCACTGGGCTACTCCATCGCCCCTGATGTATGTTCTTTTTGGTTTATTTTGTTTCTTAACCCTGAAATGAGCTATGTGGTGGCGTCTGTAAATAGACAAGTCTGGACCAGATAATCCAGTGATTGACATCATGAGCATCAATCCACGCAATTGGGATACGATGACATGCATCAACCAAGTCAGCACAACCTGACCACCCGATCCCATTAGTTGCGTCTTATGACAAGCATAGTCTCTTCTTATGACAAGCATAGTCTCCTCTTACGACAAGCATAGTCTCCTCTTACGACAAGCAGAGTCTCTTCTTATGACAAGCAAAGTCGCCTCTTACAACAAGCATAGTCTCCTCTTATGTCAAGCATAGTCTAGATCTCCTCTTACGACAAGCATAGTCTCCTCTTACGACAAGCATAGTCTCCTCTTACGACAAGCATAGTCTCCTCTTACGACCAGCATAGTCTCCTCTTACGACAAGCATAGTCTCCTCTTACGACAGGCATAATCTCCTCTTACGACAAGCATAATCTCCTCTTACGACAAGCATAGTCTCCTCTTACGACCAGCATAGTCTCCTCTTACGACAAGCATAGTCTCCTCTTACGACAGGCATAATCTCCTCTTACGACAAGCATAATCTCCTCTTACGACAAGCATAGTCTCCTCTTACGACAAGCATAGTCGCCTCTTACGACAAGCATAATCGCCTACTTACGACAAGCATAGTCTCCTCTTACGACAAGCATAATCACCTCTTACGACAAGCATAGTTAAGGAAACAGCAGTGGTAGAGACTAACAGTTTTAGTCCACTACACCACATACTGCAAAACCCTCAAAAATGGCAAATTTGTACTTGTCCTTACGACAACTTAACTGTTGTGCAGTTTTGCAAGGACTACAGGACTAGTGCCAATTTCTAACGCTGTACAAAGTTAAGCATTTTTCTTTTGATGGAATTTTTGCTATTTGTTTAGTTGGCTGTGAGGTAGAGTTTGTTAAGTGGGGAAGGCGTTCCTAATATGTTGGATGTTTCACATCATATAACAGAGCAAAGTATCTCAGAGAAAAAAAAACTAGGTTTCTTTTTGAATACACATTGCCTTTTGGAAAGTGGTCAAAAGTAAGAAATGTCATATTTGGGATTTCACTTTCTCAAATTCAAATTACAAAGTACAAGTACAAATTCTTGGGTTGAGTCCCATCCGGGATTCGAACCCACACTGCCAGAGTGAGGCACCTAATCGCCAGCACACAAAGTCAGTGATCTAACCCACTCAGCCACCGAGGCTTCCACAAAAATGAAAGTCCGACAACTGGTAGTCAAGATCATGTAACTTGTGGAATTGGCACAGCTCCCATGGCCAAAAGCTATGAAAACACACTGTCTTTCAGAAAGTAGTCACAGATAACACATGTCATATTTGGGATTACACTTTCGTAGTAAAGTACAAATTCTACTTCTAGAACAATGTTTCATTAACTGGTTATCATACAAGCTAGTTTTTAGAGATATATAAAATATTTCAAAATTGTTACAGAGTAGAATTTTCCCACCGGAAATGTTGACTGGGATGAGAGTCGACGACCCCAAATTTGAAACAATCCCTATGAGAAACCACAGTTGGTTGACATTTTGTGTCCTTTGTTATGATATCCAGGTCTCAAGTTGTGATGTGCTGCTTATACTTTTTCGAAAATGTTCTGTTGGCAAATTGTAAAATGTCCTGTTTGCACTATACAAACAGGCAAGTCCGGCGCACAGACCAGTTTCCGGATCCCTGGATCACACCCTCTCCGAATGGAATTTCCAAAGACATTTACACTTGCGTTGAAAGGCTTTCGTAAAGGACAACAAAGCCGTGAAGAGACAGCTGGGCCATCCATCAGTCAAAGCCACTAAAGGACAAAGCTGAAATGTAAATTCAAGTGACGTGCTGCAGTCAGTGCAGACACTATTTCACCCAAACTAATGTAAATTTATTAGTTAGCACTTGGATGGTCAAAATACCATGTCTTGTTAATTTTACTGTGATATTGCCTCTCTGAGTGAGATGTGTCAGTCAGGCGCCGTCTTGTCACCATCACATGATTTCAAGCCCCTCCATAACAGTCAGGTTAAAAATAGATGCACAGCATGATCAGTCACATGACATTCCAGACAGGAAGTTTACAAACAGCAACTGATACATCATTGGAGCATAGGCTTGTTCTGATGCAAAATTATCATCAGATCAAGTTTAATTAAAATGTGCTTTTTAAAAAAAAGTAAATTTCAAGTTATGTTTTCATTACTTATTGAATATCTTACCTCATGTAGCTTAACTCGTAACATAACCTTTAACTGCAAGGGGCAAATACTATGATGTTTGCAATGGGCTTTGAAGAGCCTACTTTGATTTTGTCACTAAGTGTGTGGTCATGTATTGTTTAGGGGCTCGAAAACGTGGCAGAGCTACAGGTAAGTTGCGTACATGTTTACTCATTTTAGGAAAAACCCAATACAGTGATTGATGTGGCTCTGTAATTGTGTTGAGTAATATGTCAATGTATTGAATTACATGTAAATGTGTGGAATATGTATGTCAATTTGATCAATGCAAACTTGATTTATGTTGACACTTCTGACCTTTCACCGGTTGACCGTGGGTATTGATGATGTTGTCACTGACAAGGAGGACATAGCGACACCGACGACATCGCAGTTTGAATCTGTCCATGGTGGAACATCAGGAAGTGACCACATCGACAAAAGACCACATCGGCGACCGACCACACAGCAGTCAGCTCACTGTTGTAACAAAGTGTAAATTTGTTGTTGGTTTTAAAAAAAGGAGTCGTAGTTTGTCTTTTCTGTTGCTTAACGCCGCACTCAGCAATATTCCAGCTATATGACAGCGGTCTGTAAATAATCAAGTCTGAACTTGACTCTCTGGGACTGGCATTATGAGCAATGTTCAACTATGATTAATACTGGCTACCTACTGAACAGTTTGACAAAGCGTGACCCAAGTGAGTTTGTAACCCCTTAAGACAAGCATAGGTTGCTGTGGACGATATTTATGCCAACCAAAAGCGACGATGGCTTCCGCCTGTCAAGACATGACCCTACAGCAGCGATGGGGTCAGACTGTCAAGACATGACCCTACAGCAGCGATGGGGTCCGACTGTCAAGACTAGGGGTGTCATGATAAATCGAAATATCGATATATTGCTATTGGGAAGCACTTAAAGTCAATAAATCGATTGTTAAATCAGTTTCCGATCAACAGTATCAATTTCAGTTAGGAATATTGATAGTTTCGATTGTATTAAATACATCAATTAATTACATGCAATGCTGTACAAATTTGTTTTTCTTTTGATCATGAGTGGTAGTAATTTACACATGAATTTTCTTTTTCTTAAATTATTAGGGTAAATAAACAACAAATCAGTCACATCTCAAACTTTACTTTTTATTTGTTGTTATTGTTATCACATTCAAAGGAAACTTCAGTTCCAAGATTTAATTCAACTCTAAAATCCATCTAAAATGATACACTGAAAACTATCGATATTTATCACAATAGTTGCTTCCAATACCAATAGTTATCGCAATAGTTTCTTTCAATATCAATAGTTATTGCAATAGTGATTTCCAGACCAATAGTCACCCCTAGTCAAGAAATGACCCTACAGCAGCAATGGGGTCTGACTGTCAAGACATGATCCTACATTATGTGAGCAACAATGGGGTCTGACTGTCAAGACATGACCCTACATCATGTGAGCAACAATGGGGTCCGACTGTCAAGACGTGACCCTACATCATGTGAGCAACGATGGGGTCCGACTGTCAAGACGTGACCCTACATCATATGAGCAACGATGGGGTCTGACTGTCAAGATATGATCCTACACCATGTGAGCAACGATGGTTTCAGACTGTCAAGACATGACCCTACACCATGTGACGACGATGGGGTCCGACTTTCAAGACATGACCCTTTACCATGTGAGCAACTATGGGGTCAGAGTGTCAAGACATGACCCAACACCATGTGAGCAACAATGGGGTCTGACTGTCAAGACATGACCCTACATCATGTGAGCAACAATGAGATCAGACTGTGAAGACGTGACCCTACATCATGTGAGCAACGATGGGGTCTGACTGTCAAGAAATGACCATACACCATGTGAGCAACGATTGGGTCTGACTGTCAAGACATGATCCTACATTATATGAGCAACGATGGTGTCCGACTGTCAAGACATGATCCTACATTATGTGAGCAACGATGGGGTCCGACTGTCAAGACATGACCCTACATTATGTGAGCAACAATGGGGCCTGACTGTCAAGACATGACCCTACATCATGTGAGCAAAGATGGGGTCTGATTGTCAAGAAATGACCATACACCATGTGAGCAACGATTGGGTCTGACTGTCAAGACATGATCCTACATTATATGAGCAACGATGGTGTCCGACTGTCAAGACATGATCCTACATTATGTGAGCAACGATGGGGTCCGACTGTCAAGACATGACCCTACATTATGTGAGCAACGATGGGGCCTGACTGTCAAGACATGACCCTACATCATGTGAGCAAAGATGGGGTCTGACTGTCAAGACGTGACCTTACATCCTGTGGGTACCCGAGTCGTACTCAGGACCCACCCGACCCGAGGACCCGAGTTACCCGTCCCAGCCCTAGTCTCTGCTGTATGTTAAACTATTGCAAACCAAAACACAATTATTAAGTCCATTTTATATAAATACAACTTAAATATGCCAAATCAGCATCATTTTTGCAGTTTTTAAAACACGATAAATTGAAATATCATTAGGTCTAACACTAACAGACAGAAATAACGACTAAAATAGATGTCTCACGAAAATAGGTGACGTCAAAGTTGAGAACTGGCCTACTTTACTGACAGAAACAAGTGTTTGTTTCCCACCCCAGAATATCAAGTTACGAAAAACCAAAGCAATATCTCGCTGAGGCCACATACCGTCTATGCCATGGCGATACGGGTCGAATGTAACACGCAATCAGCTGACAACCGTCTCTCGGCGTTCTGGACTTGTTTGTAAACGGAGACGTGTAATGATATAGAGTTATCTGCTCTTGAGTTGACGGGACAAGCTCCTTCCCAGCGCGTGACACCTTCGTTACCCTCTCGGTAAGGTGTTATCGCTGTGAGGAGCTTAGAAGGGATTGTGAGCATAGTTCCTCACAGCGATAACCCGTTCGCGGAGCTCTCTGTACGATCGCGATGTTTCCGAGAGTGTAAACGAACGTGCCATGCGCTGGGAAAGAGCTTGGGATAATGTAGACTAGTTCCCGGATCCCCCGCGTGGTATCGCTGCACTCGTTCCGCTTTCCAATCAATGGACCGGTATCGCCCACCATGAAACATCGTCTGCTACAACAAGATGGCGGCTGTCAAAATGCATTGGGCGAAGCTGGTGAGCTCTGGAAAATTGTTGTTTTCCCAGTCATAGAGGTGAGTATTGGTACCAACATAAGGGCTAAGGGATGTCAATGTATTCTTTGGCTAATTTCGTGCAAATATTGACACGGCAGTGTTTTTGTTTTAAATGGAGGACGATGTTATTCTTATGAATTTACCTTCTGAACAGATTATCATGAAGTTCTTACGCAAGAAAATTTAAGTTTCTGAGATATTCTGTATGAAACTGCCGTGTTATCAACTATCAGTTGCATAGACTATTACATGTGCACTTATATTCATAATTCATATGCTTTTCATTGTGTCTGGTAATACGAAATTGTCATTTCTAGGCAACAACATGACACGGCCAAAATGTCAACGATGACACATGAAACTGAATTTTGACCGAAATAAAATCTAGAAATATTTTGTGAATAGTTTTGATGATTCCCGCATCAAAAAAATTAAAGGCAATGAAAGCACGAGTAAATATTTAGCTGCAAATACTTTATCGTGACAATACTTCATTTATTAATATTTAATCATTCATTACCATGTAATTATTAGTTGTATTCAAACTGCATACACATACATGTTTGTTTGTAGGAACTTTATAAGAATGAAGTCATGACTGACCCATCTGACCCGAGTTATGTCGTTTCTATGCCTCTCCTATTGACCAATCAGATTCAACCTCTCGTATCACTTGCATTTGCTTCAAACGAAACGGTGGCGACCAGTCAAGACGATCTGATCGATAATCAAGATCTATATTGTGATAAAACGAGTCTTACATCGCGAAGGGCATCAAATCACGTGAGCACCTTGATTAAAAACATGAAAAGATTTAGAAAATATCTGTTGACAACGAGTTAGCGGTACACATGCTTTGCAAATCCTGCAGGCGACCGAAATCTGCATGACACTTTACGAACCGGATTTCGATTTCGGTGCGCGATTTTGATTGGACTATGCATAGACTCGTTAGTACAGCCAAAATGTAACTCCATAATACCAGCCTAGTTCGGCAAGGGTGGACACTGGACTTTTATAGTCAGTTACCTCGGGAAGATGTGACTGACCGTACCATAACATAATCGTTGATACAAAGTTTAGGTGGTAAAGATTAAGACAAAGCAAACAGTAAGTTTTATATGAGACTCCCTACATTATTTTATTTGTTTTAAGCTGTTGACACAAATTTTGTATAAACATACTGATGTTGCACCATTTGCCTAAATTTAGAATATTTGAAAAAAAATAATATATATTATTTTGCAGGAACCATGCCATAATGGGAGATGGACTAGAGATGAGGAGAATTTTTTGACAGTTTGTGGAGAGCAGGGGGGTGGTGGAAAATATCAAATACAAAGATTGGAAGGACTGTGCCGAAGACCAGAGAAACGGGTGTACAGACTGATGTAACTTTTGGGCCTATGATTGAAGTGACCTGGGCATGTAGCAGTCATGCACTTTATACCACTCATTCGCATATCCTTAATTAGATATATACTCAGCCTCACCTGCTATATGCTCACAGACCTGCCATGTCTCTGACATACCGTCAACTGATGCCACTTCCCTATTGGTGCCCGAACAAACCTACTCGCAACCACTTACAGTCAGTGAGGGGGCACGGGTGGCCCAGTCGTCTCAGGCGCCGCGATTCGCTGTGCAGAGTTGCGTCCCCTGGAAACGCCAGAAACCTATGATTGTGGGTTCGAATCCCAGTTCGCCCCAATTATGTTTCTAGGTTTGTCAGCACCATACCCGTGCTCGTGGGTTTCACCGAAGTGGTAAACGTCTGAGACATGCATCACTTCGGGCTTTCATCCCACATTAAGCTGACACGCTGTGATATAACTGGAATAATGTTAAAAGCAGCGTTAAACCCAACTCACACACACATACAATCAGTGAACCAGCCACACCTGCTATACGCTCACAGACGTGCCATGTCTCTGTATACTGTTTTGTTTATAAATCTATTTTGATTGCAAATAATTGGGGTATTTTCACTAGTCTACAAATAATCTTCTTCAGAGTTATCATGCATCTAACTTGGATGAAGTGGTAGTCCAAAAGGAAATGTCAGTAGTCCTAGACTAGAAGATGTATGCTAATTTCAAACATTGAATAAACCAACTTTTAACATGAATTATGCTCGTTATGGATTCCTGTTGTTCTATGATAAGGGTATGATAATACAAACGGATGGAAGACAGTACAAAGCCTGCTGAATTTCATGCTGGGCTTTAAGGATTGTATGTAAATCCCCTACTTTGAGAAAGGCTGGTCGAAAGTTAGATTTCCCCCATGATATGACACAATGTGCCTCATCAACAATAATGTGACTGATCTGAAATTTGAATATGGGGTGAGGATAATGGGACACAGTACACTAAGACATGTTTATTTATAGAAAACGTTTAACAAAATGTGCCATAAAATAATCACTACAACAAGGCGATTTTGGTCTTCCCTTACGACCATATCAAAGTCAAAGAGAATTAAGCCTCCTGACCACGTCAAGGTATCGCCCTTTCAGGAGGTTTAAATATTAAATAGCACTATTTTCCGAACATGAAACATACATTTATTTTCCACCAATATCTTGTTTGATGAACAATTATAATAATGATAATAATAACAATTTTCTTAGAATTCACGAAGACAATACCATGACCATATCAATAGGCTATGCAACACATTTTCTTTATTTCAATGTGATTCTTTGCATAATTGTCACATGTTTTGGATCATGTTTCAGTAATTCATCAAGTGTTCAATCAGCATGTTCAGGTTATATAATGGACCCTAACTCGTATTATGTGTCCATGGTTATATGAAAACACTAACAACATACAACAAAATGAAATCGACCTAGATTTCTGTAGGTGACATTTATCTAACAATATCTGCTTTGAGTTTTGAGCTGACTTCTAACTTACCTGTAATGATATGTCTTTTGACATTAGAAATCGTTTAACAGAGACACTACACAGGTGCTCTTGGTGACCCAAAATAAAGTTAACCTGGCCACTCTTTACTCGCTTCATTTTCTTCTCCGACTCTGCAGATCCCGAACACCCATAAGATAAATAATCAACATCTTCATGATTAATTATTACACTGTGGCTACGGAGGCGATTGTGCTGCTCTTCGAGAATCGCATTTAGTGGATTCACAACCACGACAGTGCTGGCGGAATCGTTCAAATACGGTAGGCACTGTATCACAACAGTTTTGCCGTAACCAGTCGGTAGAACACCCAAAATACCCCTTGATGCACATGCCAAAATAGCATCAAGAAACAACACTTCAACTCTCAGTGTTCTTATCGGTGCCGTTTCAATTAGCCCGCAATGCCGGCAAAGTGATAGTTTGCATGTAGCTCTTCATCCATTACCTGGTGATACACGGCTTCTCCTTCTTCGCTCCTCTAATTGGTGTTGCATCGAGCAGCGCACCTAGATTATCACCGAAGACAAGTTGAACCAGTCGAAACAATTTAGGCCTAAATTATCAAATTTTGAGTCCGCGAAGAAAACGGCGATCCATATTTCAATAATGTTTAAGGCTCACGTCAGAACGACCTTTTCCGAACTTTGACCGACCAATGAAATGTCTAACGAGATGCATTCGGCTTGTCCAGGAATAACACGAGTTGGTCACGAATGTAACGAGATGTTGACACCTTTCTTGAGCTAAATACAGTACGACACAAGCACTGGCGGCGACCATACCAGACAACACTTTGAAAAATATTTTTTCTAAAGCTCTCTAGACAAAATTTGAAAACCGTACACACGAAAATTAAGAACAATGACCGGGACTTTATTGCAGTACATACACTTCCCACGGCCTACGGAAAGTCTTGAGAATGATTTAGACTTAATCAGTCCTACAGCCCGTAACTGTCGTTTGGAATTCCCCGTCTTAGCCACTTCGAGGTTACGTCATTAGAAAACACATTCCGACTTTCTCAGTTTGGCAAGGGGGCGGTCGGGTAGCCTAGTGGTTAAAGCGTTCGCTCGTCACGCCGAAGACACGGGTTCGATTCCCGACATGGGTACAATGTGTGAAGCCCTTTTCTGGTGTCCCCCGCCGTGATATTGCTGGAATATTGCTAAAAGCGGCGTAAAACCATACTCACTCACTCAGTTTGGCAAGTGTCGCTCCAACTGATTGGTCGGATGAAAGGCCGTTGTCATGTGACCCGATCTCCTCAGATATTTGATTAGCCGTAACGGGACTTTTTAATGAGATTGAAATCAACTGTAATTGTTCTAAAAACAGTAACTTTACCTTACGACTGTATTAGAAATTCGTGATTAACCTATTGGGCCAGCGTGTGAATGACAGCTGTGAAACGCCAGTGTGTGCTCTGAGTTTATAATTAAACGTCACATCGGCCGTATAGCGACGAGAGTACTCACATAGGTAAACACCTGTCACAAAGGACAATTAGATGTCAGAATGATTAAAACCTTTTCAAATACTATACCCGTGAAGATCCGGGGGAGAATAGGTCTTCAGCAACCCATGCTTGCCATAAAAGCCGACTACGCTTGTAAGAGGCGACTAACGCGATCGGGTGGTCAGGCTCACTGATTCGGTTGATGCATGTCATCGTATCGCAATTGCGTAGATCGATGCACATGATGCCAATCACTGGATTATCTGGTCCCGACTCGATTATTTACTGACCGCTGTCATATAGCTGGAATATTGCTGAGTGCGGCGATAAAACAACAAACAAATAAACAAATCCAAGATCAATAATAGAAACCGCTAGGTACACTTCCAGTGTACTCAATAAAATTTACAGGAAATTCTCTACCCCGGTTTGTCTTTCTTCACCTGGTCGATCTATCAGCATGGATATATGTAAACACACATAATGTATCTCTTCTGAAACCAAACACTCTTTTAATAAACAGAATAGTGATAGCATTTTCTCCGTGTCGAACATCAACAACATGTATTACAAGTGAATATTTCATCAAAACCAGTATTCCTCCCGGGTACCTCCCGAACTGGGACAAATTGTGTGGCTGGTAAACAAATAAAGTCATTTTCTATTGACTATATTTCATATTAAGCAACAATGTCCTGTTAAGATACAAAAGAAGCAAAGCCAATATCGGACACTTTGTTGCTTAAGACTTCTATATTCCAAGCGATGTAAGATATGCTTTTGCCTGTTGACTAGCTGTAACAGCCCTGGCCACCCTGTTATTTCCCAGAGGCTGAGTTAACCTTCGACCTTGACCGCAGCACCCGCACCCGCTCCACGTGAGTCGCGATCTGATGCTCATCACCTTCGAGAGTATAGACGCTGGCATGTCCTTAATAACGAGCTTGTCATTCTTATAAAAGCCCCTCTTGTTCTCAGAGGGGCGGTCGGGTAGCCTAGTGGTTAAAGCGTTCGCTCGTCACGCCGAAGACCCGGGTTCGATTCCCGACATGGGTACATTGTGTGAAGTCCATTTCTGGTGTCCCCCGCCGTGATATTGCTGGAATATTGCTAAAAGCGGCGTAAAACAATACTCACTCATGTTCTCTGATCTGAGCAAAGTCAGTTTCTAACGCTGTCGCTTATTACGAAACCGAACAAAAGCAATTGAAAATGGGAAAATAGTAAAACTTACCCTATATTTCCAATCAAACTTTGTTGATAAGAATCTTTTACAGTAAGGGGCGATATGTACGATATTAAACCTTAATGTAAAAAAAATATGATTTTTTTACATTAAGGGTTGCGGGTTGTCACTCTTAATATAATTTATTTCTTCTTACAATAAGAGTATTGTCTTAATTAAGGCTTGTAACATACCATAACATCACGGGGAATGCTAGTCGAGCATACACCACTCTAAGGGAGGTAATTTGTTGTGGTAGTTGCATAGCCTAGTGTCACATAACTACAAGTCAATACAACAAGGAAATACATAAACACAAGCCTCGCTGTGGTTGTTGTATGCACTGAACACCTACACTGTCGATCGGGTGATCTACTCCTACATGTAAGTACAATCAGATTTCTGTCAAGCCTCAAGACTTCCTGCGTTAATGAAAACAATCGACTTTAAAAGTTAATGGGCATCTAAATACATGTATGTAGTGTTGTCTATATTTAGAGTGATCTCCACCATGTCAGATTAAACCGAAACCAGATGTACATTGTAGTATCCGCCATCTTTGCTACACATTTGGATTGAAATGTGACGAATAAAAATCCACCTTGGTTGTTAACATAGAATCTGAGCACTATCAAATTACTTAGTAGGATCATTTTCTAGAATTCAATTACGGGCAGTTCAAGGATTTTAAACTAAATTGTGAGTGTTTTAAATTGTTCACTTATAATAGTTGAGTGTGTGTGTGTGTGTGTGTGTGTGTGTGTGTGTGAGAGAGAGAGAGAGAGAGAGAGAGAGAGAGAGAGAGAGACGGAGAGAGAGACACACGGAGACAGACATAGGCTAATAGGGGCTTGGCTCTGTGTTCGCTCATCACGCCGCCGAAGCCCGGTTTGACGCCTGTATTATCTAGATTACAGTAACCCACTGTGTCGTATCTTGTTCAGACAGAGACAGGCAGATGTGGTGTGTGTGTGAGATTGTCACATGAATCTTAACCTCCATTTGGGTTAGGTGATTCCCCTGTAATTAGCATTTGCAAAGAATCAAGTATCGGCTAGTTGTATAAGATTGTTTTGCCATTTAATGGTCGTATCGAGGATATAGCTGAAGAGGTGACAATGATAGATTATCGGGTGTTGATGCATGTTACAGTGCCGTCATGGGTTATCTCCCTTTCGTTAGGCAGACAGTTGTTGGACAGTGGAGTAGAGGGTTAATTGGGGCAAAACCCACAGCTATGATGGAACAGTCCTGCCCAGCACTGATAAAATAAAAAAAAATTAATATTCATAATCATTTACATTTTGTAGTGCTATGAATGATACTAACATTGTCTATGAGATGTTGTCAAATATAAAGAATGTTTAACGCATAACACTTTGTTGAGTATAGGCCTATCGGTCAATCCATATTATTCATCTGAGGTACCAGTATGATGCCAGTATGATACTAGTATGATGCCAGTATGATGCCAGTATGATACCAGTATGATACCAGTACAATGCCAGTACGATGCCAGTACGATACCAGTATGATGCCAGTATGATGCCAGTATGATACCATTATGATGCCAGTATGATACCAGTATGATGCCAGTACGATGCCAGTATGAGACCAGTATGATGCCAGTATGATACCAGTATGATGCCAGTATGATGCCAGTATGGTACCAGTATGATACCAGTATGATGCCAGTATGATGCCAGTATGAGACCAGTATGATGCCAGTATGATGCATGTATGGTACCAGTATGATACCAGTATGATGCCAGTATGAGACCAGTATGATGCCAGTATGATACCATTACGATACCAGTATGATGCCAGTACGATGCCAGTATGATGCCAGTATGATACCAGTATGATACCAGTATGATACCAGTATGATGCCAGTATGATTCCAGTATGATACCATTATGATACCAGTATGATGCCAGTATGATACCAGTATGATACCAGTATGATACCAGTACAATGCCAGTACGATGCCAGTACGATACCAGTATGATGCCAGTATGATGCCAGTATGATACCATTATGATGCCAGTATGATACCAGTATGATGCCAGTACGATGCCAGTATGAGACCAGTATGATGCCAGTATGATACCAGTATGATGCCAGTATGATGCCAGTATGGTACCAGTATGATACCAGTATGATGCCAGTATGATGCCAGTATGAGACCAGTATGATGCCAGTATGATGCCTGTATGGTACCAGTATGATACCAGTATGATGCCAGTATGAGACCAGTATGATGCCAGTATGATACCATTACGATACCAGTATGATGCCAGTACGATGCCAGTATGATGCCAGTATGATACCAGTATGATACCAGTATGATACCAGTATGATGCCAGTATGATTCCAGTATGATACCATTATGATACCAGTATGATGCCAGTATGATACCAGTATGATACCAGTATGATGCCAGTATGATACCAGTATGATGCCAGTATGATGCCTGTAAGTACCAGTATGATGCCAGTATGAGACCAGTATGATGCCAGTATGATACCATTACGATACCAGTATGATGCCAGTACGATGCCAGTATGATACCAGTATGATGCCAGTATGATACCAGTATGATACCAGTATGATACCAGTATGATGCCAGTATGATTCCAGTATGATACCATTATGATACCAGTATGATGCCAGTATGATACCAGTATGATACCAGTATGATGCCAGTATGACACCAGTATGATGCCAGTATGATGCCAGTATGATGCCAGTATGATACCAGTATGATGCCAGTATGACACCAGTATGATGCCAGTATGATGCCAGTATGATGCCAGTATGACACCAGTATGATACCAGTATGATGCTGTGCTGTGCACTCAACCAGAAACGTTGTTGTTATAAGGTGTCTGACAACTGGCTGTCTAACAAACGGGAGGTTACCCCTCCATGGCATGGATCGTCGGCCCTCGTGCATTCAGCTACTGGGTGTCCTGGCCGCCGAGATATAGCTTAGGACGTGCAGAGAGTGTGTTTGTTGTTCGGCGCCGCTCTCGGCAATAGTCCATCCATTTAAAGGCTTTTTATATATAAATCAGTCTGAACCAACAGTCATTGACACCATAAGCATCAATCCACGCAATGAGGAAACGAAGGCATGGAATCAGCCAAGTCAGCGAATCTGACCATCCGATCCCGTTAGTCGTCTCTTACGAGAAGCACGGGTTGCCGAAGACTTATTCAATGTATATACGGCGCAGGAGGAGCAACAGGTTCTATGTTCGTACCCGGCATTCCCACGGGTCTGGACAATCGGGGGGCGGTCGGGTAGCCTAGTGGTTAAAGCGTTCGCTCGTCACGCCGAAGACCCGGGTTCGATTCCCGACATGGGTACAATGTGTGAAGCCCATTTCTGGTGTCCCCCGCCGTGATATTGCTGGAATATTGCTAAAAGCGGCGTAAAACCATACTCACTCACTCACTCTGGACAATCGGGGGTGAAATAAGTTTCACGTTCTCTGAAGCGACACAGGATTTCGTGTTAAGATTATAAACATGTGAACATTTCGTTTCAGAATCACTCCCGCTAAAAGGACACGCATCAATGAAACGGGTCATACCGACCTCCTGTATATTTCCCATCTGTGACTGGCCTAAACAGTGAAATGAACTGTGAACATGGTCGAAACTCCAAAATATGTCACAATTCGAGGGTAGGTATTTTTCTATCAATGAAAAGTTTTACATAAGTCATAATCAATTCCAATAATTGTCAATAATGACAACTTGTTTTTTGCAAGTTAAAGAACTCCAGTACTTATTTTACTTTAAGGTCATACTTGTCATGGATGTGAAAGTGTTCGAGCGTCATTACCGGAGTCGGATGTATATATAGATGAAGGACTGACATACCCAATACCTTTCTGCATACATTTTGATGTGACTTTAGTGAACCCCCCTGCCACCAAACAGTTGCAACCTACACCAAAGGAACGTCGTCAACAACGCCGCACTGCTACCGATAACCTTGCAGTCCTCGTGTCTGCTGTTGGAAACTCCGGGGGAGGTGCTGTGTTGGTTCACATTGGCGGGGTGTCCACGAAAGATAAATACCATGGCTTCTTTGATGAAATGGTTGACGAAAAACTACATGGGCTTATTGAAAATGGCACCTTGTTTTCAAATGCATACAAAAAGATTTGGCTTGAAAGCCTTGATAGCACTTATTGGGGATATTTGTTGTTAGTTGTAGCGCAAGGCCAGCCCTTTGTCACTGCAAATCTTAATACGGCAATCACCCTTGACGACAGAATACTACAAGCCACAGGAACAGTTGTAAGGACTATTTTACAGAATAAAAACGAATTTGCCAGTAGACTAAACTTAAGTCGCCCCAAACCTGACAACGAAACGTTTAATATCCAGACAAAGCGGTTCCAACCAAACATCCCATTGCCTGAAACATCGGCCCTCACTGATTACATATGGCACACTTTACGCCTTAGAGAATATCTGAGTGCCTTTGCCAAATGCAGTGACGGAGGATCATTTTATGTGGGAATTGAGGAACAAGAAACCGAGAGTGACGGTTATAAAACGAAGGTCTTGTCTGAAAAGGGCATTGACACTTCGTTCCTAGCAACCCCGCAACAAATAGATATCTGCAAGGACCAACTGAAACGTCGGTGTGTGGACGAAATGCTCTTCTGTACATATGAAGGACACTTTGAACGCCCGAAAGAAACATCCTTTCACATAAGTTTTCGTGACCTGGGAAATTCAAGGTACATCTTGGAAGTTGCAGTGTGTTTCTTGCCGGGCATCCTGTTTTATGACCCCAAGGGACCAGGAGCTTATTACTGGGACCTCCAAAGCAATACACCCAAAAGGATTACCGAAGAAGAGTGGTACCGAAGGATTCTGGGGAATTAAGTAAGTAGAATAAAATTATGTAGGTAAATGAACTTTCATATATATATATGCACACACACGAAATATGTGTAATATATATACATATACATTTCACACACACACATATATATATACATAGAATTTCATTGCTCTCTCTCTCTCTCTCTCGCTCACGCTTTCTCTGTATGTATATTTATCGTATATATGTCAAATTATGCTAGAGCATAATGAACCTTCAATGTTTTCTTAATACACCAATAGCGTGTATTATTTCATGTTGCCTTTAGCCTTCAGTGAAGATTTGTTTTTGATAACCCAAGTGAGAAATATTGACCACAATGAATAGTTGTAATCCCCCAATAATCTATAACTATAACGACACGTACAACGACACGCCGGTGTTAATGGAGTACGTTGTCAGGACAGCGAGTGAACCCACACAATAATATATTGATATGGTTGGTCCAAAAGTGAACAACAGAAGCGTGATGTGCGCCATTGTTGAAAGTGATTGGTCCAAATGTGAACAATAAAAAGGCGATGTATGCCACCGTCGGTATGATTGGTCCAAAAGTGAACAATAAAAAGGCGATGTCTGCCACCGTCGGTATGATTGGTCCAAAAGTGAACAATAAAAAGGCGATGTCTGCCACCGTCGGTATGATTGGTCCAAATGTGAACAATAAAGGCGTGATGTGTGCCATCGTTGATATGATTGGTCCAAAAGTGAACAGCAAAATGACAGTAACAACATTAACGGCATACTACAACATTAAAAGTATACTACAACCTAAACATGACACTATAACCTTAAAAGTATACTACCACCTTCACATGACAAAACAATCTTAACATGATACTACAACCTTAACAGTATACTACAAACATAACATGATACCATAATCTTAACGTGATACTACAACCTTAACATGACACTACAAACTTAACATGATACTACAACCTTAACGGTATAATACAACCTTAATATGATACTACAACCTTAACAGTATACTACAACCTTAACAGTATACTGCAAACTTAACAGTATACTACAGCCTTAAAATGATACCACAACCTTAACATGATACTCCAACCTTAACAGTATAATACACCCTTAACATGAAACTACCACCTTAACATGATACTACAACCTTACCATATACTACAACCTTACCATGATACTACAACCTTAACGTGATACTGCAACCTTAACATGATACTACAACCTTAACATGATACTACAACCTTACCATGACACTACAACCTTAACATGATACTACAGCCTTAACATGATACTACAGCCTTAACATGATACTACAGCCTTAACATGATACTACAGCCTTAACATGATACTACCACCTTAACAGTATACTGCAGCCTTAACATGATACTACAACCTTAACAGTATACTACAACCTTAACACGATACTACAGCCTTAACAGTATACTACAGACTTAACATGATACTACAACCTTAACATGATACTACAACCTTAACAGTATTCTACAAACATAACAGTATACTACAACCTTAACATGATAATACAACCTTAACGGTATAATTCAGCCTTAACAGTATACTACAACCTTACCATGATACTACAGCCTTAACATGATACTACAGCCTTAACATGATACTACAACCTTAACATGATACTACAACCTTAACAGTATACTACAGCCTTAACATGATACTACAACCTTAACATGATATTACAGCCTTAACAGTATACTACAACCTTAACAGTATACTGCAACATTAACGTGACACTACAACATTAACATGATACTACAACCTTAACATGATACTACAACCTTAACATAATACTACAACCTTAACATGATACTACAGCCTTAACATGATACTACAACCTTAACATGATACTACAAACTTAACATGATACTACAACCTTAACATGATACTACAACCTTAACAGTATACTACAGACTTAACATGATACTACAACCTTAACATGATACTACAACCTTAACAGTATTCTACAAACATAACAGTATACTACAACCTTAACATGATAATACAACCTTAACGGTATAATTCAGCCTTAACAGTATACTACAACCTTAACATGATACTACAGCCTTAACAGTATACTACAGCCTTAACATGATACTACAACCTTAACAGGTTACTACAACCTTAACAGTATTCTACAAACATAACATGATACTACAACCTTAACATGATAATACAACCTTAACGGTATAATTCAGCCTTAACAGTATACTACAACCTTAACATGATACTACAACCTTAACATGATACTACAACCTTAACATGATACTACAACCTTAACATGATACTACAACCTTAACATGATACTACAGCCTTAAAATGATACTACAACCTTAACATGATATTACAGCCTTAACAGTATACTACAACATTAACGAGATACTACAACCTTAACATGATACTACAACCTTAACAGTATACTACAACATTAACGTGATACTACAACCTTAACATGATGCTATAGCCTTAACAGTATACTGCAACATTAACGTGACACTACAACCTTAACATGATACTACAACCTTAACATGATACTAAAACCTTAACATAATACTACAACCTTAACATGATACTACAACCTTAACATAATACTACAGCCTTAACATGATACTACATCCTTAACGGTATACTACAACCTTAACGTGATACTACAACCTTAACATGATACTACAACCTAAACATGATACTACACAACTACAGCCTTAACATGATACTAGAACCTTAACATGATACTACAGCCTTAACATGATACTACAAACTAAAGATGATACTACAACCTTAACAGTATACTACAACATTAACGTGACACTACAACCTTAACATGATACTATAGCCTTAACAGTATACTACAACATTAACGTGATACTACAGCCTAACATGATACTACAGCCTTAACATGAGACTACAGCCTTCACATGATACTACAACCTTAACATGATACTACAACCATAACATGATACTACAACATTAACGTGATACTACAACCTTAACATGATACTACAACCATAGCATGATACTACAACCTTAACATGATACTACAGCATTAACGTGATACTACAACCTAAACATGATACTACAACCTTAACATGATACTACAACCTTAACATGATACTACAACCTTAACATAATACTACAACCTGAACATGATACTACAACCTTAACATGATACTACAACCTGAACATGATACTACAACCTTAACATGATACTACAGCATTAACGTGATACTACAACCTTAACATGATACTACAACCTTAACATGATACTACAACCTTAACATGATACTACAACCTTAACATGATACTACAACCTTAACATGATACTTCAACCTTAACATGATACTACAGCATTAACGTGATACTACAACCTTAACATGATACTACAACCTTAACATGATACTACAACCTTAACATGATACTACAACCTTAACATGATACTACAACCTTAACATGATACTACAGCATTAATGTGATACTACAACCTTAACATGATACTTCAACCTTAACATGATACTACAACCTTAACATGATACTACAACCTTAACATAATACTACAACGTGAACATGATACTACAACCTTAACATGATACTACAACCTTAACATGATACTACAACCTTAACATAATACTACAACCTGAACATGATACTACAACCTTAACATGATACTACAACCTGAACATGATACTACAACCTTAACATGATACTACAACCTTAACATGATACTACAACCTTAACATGATACTAAAACCTTAACATGATACTACAACCTGAACATGATAGTACAACCTGAACATGATACTACAACCTTAACGTGATACTACAACCTTAACATAATACTACAACGTTAACATGATACTACAACCTTAACATGATACTACAACCTTAACATGATACTAAAACCTTAACATGATACTACAACCTGAACATGATACTACAACCTGAACATGATACTACAACCTTAACATGATACTACAACCTTAACATAATACTACAACCTTAACATGATACTACAACCTTAACATGATAGTACAACCTTCACATGATACTACAACCTTAACATGATACTACAACCTTCACATGATACTACAACCTGAACATGATACTACAACCTGAACATGATACTACAACCTTAACATGATACTAAAACCTGAACATGATACTACAACCTTAACATGATACTACAACCTGAACATGATACTACAACCTTAACATAATACTACAACCTTAACATAATACTACAACCTGAACATGATACTACAACCTTAACATGATACTACAACCTGAACATGATACTACAACCTTAACATGATACTACAACCTTAACATGATACTACAACCTTAACATGATACTAAAACCTTAACATGATATTACAACCTGAACATGATACTACAACCTGAACATGATACTACAACCTTAACGTGATACTACAACCTTAACATAATACTACAACCTAACATGATACTACAACCTTAACATGATACTACAACCTTAACATGATACTAAAACCTTAACATGATACTACAACCTGAACATGATACTACAACCTGAACATGATACTACAACCTTAACATGATACTACAACCTTAACATAATACTACAACCTTAACATGATACTACAACCTTAACATGATACTACAACCTTAACATGATAGTACAACCATAACATGATACTACAACCTTAACATGATACTACAGGATTAACGTAATACTACAACCTTAACATGATACTACAATCTTAACATGATACTACAACCTTAACATGATACTAAAACCTTAACATGATACTACAACATTAACGTGATACTACAACCTTAACATGATACTACAACCATAACATGATACTACAACCTTAACATGATACTACAGGATTAACGTAATACTACAACCTTAACATGATACTACAATCTTAACATGATACTACAACCTTAACATGATACTAAAACCTTAACATGATACTACAACATTAACATGATACTACAACCTTAACAG